CGCGCTCCTATACATGCATTTTGAATTTCAGGTTCAGTCGGATTTCGCCAGATTGTTGAGATAATCGGTCAGTCCTGTATGCATTGGTTGCACGATCGAAAAGTACACTTCGATTTCTGACCTCCATTTTCAGATCTGATCGTAATTATGATTTTATCTATAACTATATAAATTTGTAACTTTTAAATTCATAATTCTAAAAATGTGTGATTTTCCATCAAAGATCGATGACTCAAAAGATATGTGAAAGTAACTGAAAAAACTATTTAAACGTTCGAAATCTGAAGAATCGGTAATTTTAAGTGTCATGTTTCTCTCGTAGAACACTGCCGTCGAGGAAATCCAAAGCCAAATTTGTCTTATCCATATTACAAGCTCACGATTGATGGATTTCTCCAAGAGTATAATTGACGGGAAATATCCGTTCGCTTACCGGGCACATTCAGGCGGTACGTGGTTCCGCGTCATTCTCGGTTCTGGAGAAGACACTCCCGTCGCTGTTGCTTGCGTCCTTCGTGCTCCAAACTCCAGCCACACATGGTACTCTTACCCGCCCAATTCCTGCCGATCGAAGCGCCCAGTTTCTCTTCCCTGTCCAACGAACTGCTTTCCATTGGTTCCGTCGATAGATCGGCTGCCGGAGGAAAATACGAATACGTGAGAGGAACTCGGTATGACAACTCAATGCTAGAGAACATTGACAAAGAGGACAACGCACTCTTTGAGTACGAGTCTACCTCGTCCTTCGACATTGACTCCAGATTAACGTCCGCGTCGGTGTCCTGGCTGTTCACGGAGGATGTGTGATGGATGGAGCTGCTTTGTCTCCTCGTCGCTTTTCGTTATCGTCACACACCAATCTCGCCAGGTACTTGTCGATCATAACTAATAAATAAAAGTTACGTTCAGTCGAGAGAAGAGTTGGAAGAGCGTCTGTCAGTGTCGCTGTTCCGTCGACCTGCCAACTCCTCGTGCAACATGCGTGTCCAAGAGACGTCTCGTTGCTTCTCAGTGACGTCTTCAAGATGTCTTAAAACATATTCATGTTCTCCGGGCACTTACTCGTATATCTCTATGAGTAAACTGAGCGGAATCGTTGCGGAATCACCGTCGGGCTCGTGGTTGAACAACTGGCAGACCATGATCATCGTCTCAATGAGGTTGCCGGCAAGGAGACCCGCAGCGATAGCCAGGAATCTCTTCATTTGGCAGTTACAGCGAAACTGGCCGATCGTCGCGATCGTCTGAAAGTCCCGACGATTCAAGCAGAGACAATCCCAACAACGTGCGATCGCCTCCAAGGATAGAGTTTTGTTGTAATCTGCAACGAGAAGTAATGAATATATTGGAATGCTATATCAAGAGTATAAGCCTACTTTAAGATAATTTAAAATTCGCGACAGAATCTAAAACAAAATTCTATTCGTATTTTTTTCGTCTCCTTTTCTTCTTGCTTGTATTTCTCTTTGAACTTGTAATTAATAAAATTTAAAATCATCGTGTTTTGTATATATTGTTAAATTAACAATAGCAAAAGAGTTACTATTTGTAATTAGTGGTGCAAATCATAAATGACAAGGTCGAAGAGAAACGCAAGCAGAACTTTACTTGCGAATTATAGATTTTTTAAAAAAAGCGGCCTTTCTTTCCTCTTGTTCTCCTTCGTCAATTGAAGAACGTCCCAGAGCGATGTCTACTTTCAAATTATCGCAACAGCACCCTGAGGAAACCCAGAGTCAAGACCGGAGGCGGTACTTGGCGGTAGATATCAGCAGGCGGTACTTGACGGCAGATTCAAATCGTTTGTACCTCAAAGGACTCGGGAGTACAGACTTTTCAAAATACGCGCTGAAGGTACTTTCGCCATTTTTCAAGATATCTAAAAACGGCCAACGCCATTCGAAAGAGCATCGTTTGTACCCGTTTGTATCTCCTTTCAAATCATTTCTACTTCAAAGGGCTCGGAAGTACAAAATTGTTTAATATCCGGGATATATATAATGCGATAAATTTTTCAATTTTCAAGATATCTGAAAACGGCCGACGCCATTCGAAAGAGCATCGTTTGTACCCGTTTGTACCTTCTTTCAAATTGTTTGTATCTCAAAGGGCTCGGAAGTACAGGCTTTTCAAAATACGCGCTGAAGGTACTTTCGCCATTTTTCAAGATATCTGAAAACGGCCAACGCCATTCGAAAGAGCATCGCTTGTACTCGTTTGTACCTCCTTTCAAATCATTTATACCTCAAAGGGCTCAGAAGTACAGAATTGTTTAATATCCCAGATATGTATAATGCGTTAAAATTTTCAATTTTCAAGATATTTGAAAACGGCCAACGCCATTCGAAAGAGCATCGTTTGTACCTGTTTTTGTACCTCCTTTCAAATCGATTGAATCTCAAAGGGCTCGAAAGTACAGGCTTTTCAAAATACGCGCTGAAGGTACTTTCGCCATTTTTCAAGACATCTGAAAACGGCCAACGCCATTCGAAAGAGCATCGTTTGTACCCATTTGTACCTCCTTCCAAATCGTTTGTACCTCAAAGGGCTCGGAAGTACAGAATGCTCTTTCGAATGGCGTTGGCCGTTTTCAGATATCTTGAAAAATGGCGGAAGTACTTTCAGCGCGTATTTTGAAAAGCCTGTACTTCCAAGCCCTTTGAGGTACGAACGATTTGAGAGGAGGTACAAACAGGTACAAACGATGCTCTTTCGAATGACGTCAGCTGTTTTCAGATATCTTGAAAATTGAAAAATTTATCGCATTATATATATCCCGGATATTAAACAATTCTGTACTTCCGAGCCCTTTGAGATACAAACGATTTGAAAGGAAGTACAGACGGGTACAAACGATGCTCTTTCGAATAGCGTTGGCCGTTTTTAAATATCTTAAAGTTGGGCGCTGGCCATTTTTTACCCTGCCATAACTTTTTAACCCTTTAGGTATAAACGAAATAAAATGTTGTACAAACAGGTACAAACGAGATACAAACCTATGATATAAACATTTAAAAAATTTTTTAAAATTGGGCGCTATGTTCACATCGGTGTATTAGTAATCGAAATACAGTATGGTTTAAACTTCCCCGTTATCTTCATCGTAGTTAAAACAGTCGGTATTGTCATCGTTCTTCAATTACTGCCATGTTAAACAACTCAGTTATTGTGTGAAATGTTTCGATTTGACAAATTCATCTAAAATGTTTCATTTTTTACTAATTGACAGAAGTCTTTCACTTTCCACTAGTTCACGCTAGGGAAAAGATTCATGATCGCTGCCCTGAGCAACTGCAAGGTTTCTCCAATCACCTATGTCGGCGTGCTCCCACTCCTCGGATTTCTGTCATTAATAACTCGATAATTATTGCGAATCTCGCAAAACGGTATGGGACTTTTATGTTTGTCTCAACCCAATCTACCTTCATACTTCGAGTTGGCAACTAATTACCGGACACTTTGTATGTATGATTTTCATGATATTAATCATATGCAATGTCAATTCTTATTTTTTTTGTGCATGTTAACATGTTAATTCATGTTACAAACGCGTAACAATGCGCGAGACCATGCTTGTCAAGTAAGCTACTGTGGTTGTAGCACGGACATAAACCGCCTGAAAGTGGATGTAGCACGGACTGCCACCACATGCAGGTTTTACCGCCGAGACCTGAAAGTGGAGATGTAGCATCGTAGTTCCCCTCTCAAAATGGATGCCTTTTCCCAATGCGAAAAGTCGATGTCATCGAAAACGCCGTGTTAGCCGCTCTCAGGTTCCTCTCTGATATAACTAGACTGTTAAACCAGTGGCACACGGTGCTGGATTGCTTGCTGGATGAAAATACTGCGTTCTGATTGGTACTTTTCCGAAGATGGATGGAAATGCACCAATCAGAACGCAGTATTTTCATCCAAGCAATCCAGCACGAAAACAAGAACCGTGTGCCGCTGGCTTTAGAAATCCTTAACCAGGATAAATTTTCGTATCGGCTAGAGGGCCCTCCAGCGACCCGGAGGTAACGGACGACGACGATGACGACGATTTATCAGACCCATTATTTTACTTATTTTATTTCTCGCTAGGTGCCGCCACCTCTCTCGTTTAAAAATCAAGATGATTGTATTCTCAAGTAATATGACTCAATAACTAGTCAGCTAAAGTTTACTATCACATGAAACATAGATAAAAGTCAACATCTTCTTACTTCGGTAAAAATAGAAATCATTAGATGGTTCAAGAAGCATTTCATAGCTTAAAGTCTATACCTTTCAAGAATATTAAATTCATTACGTTGCTTATTTATTGCAAAAATATATTAAATTAAATGAGAAATGACGTTTCTTTAATTTTCAAACATATCTTTCAGTTAAATATTTACATTAAAAATTTATTTTTATTAAAAATGCGATAATTGTATTCAAGAACAAAACGTTAAACTGTTTATTCATTGTTTAACAAAATTATACACGTATTTATTACCATATTTCTTTTTCTATAAGTGATCAAAAATATTTCTACTTTAACGCTAAAAATTTCGAAAGAAAAATCGCACTTCAATCTGTAGATACACGAATTAAAATATAAGTTTGACAATTTTAAATAATATCAAAGTCATTTATGTGACAATGTACATTAAAGCAGTACAATTCGACAAACTTCATCAAATATTTTGATATTTGATATAGCCTAATTTATATTCATGTAGTATTATAAAAAAATAAAATAATTTATATATTCAAAAACATATTTGTAATCTAAAGATTCAAAGCTGTAAAATATTTGTAGAACCGTATCATTATCGATATTCTGGCAAAAGTCATGATTCGTTAAATTTTACATATTTTTCATGGTCGAGACAAGTGATTGTTTAATTTTTATACTTTTATTTTCAAGCATTGTGGTTCGATGACACATGTTGAAACATTCTTCTTGAATATGACGAAAAGAAATGGCACATAGATATTTATTGTCAAGTAGTAAGAAACGAGATATCGACTTTATATATGACAGGCTTTACATAATTGCAGCATTCTCGCATTGCGAACGGTCATCTTATCAAGCTCACCGAAGTTTTAAATTCACATCTCAAAGTAATTTTTGATAAACAATGAATTCCGTGCGGTTAGTAAATTTGCAGAAGATTATTATAAACAACTCATGGTATTCATCTAATTCCATTTGATTCACCGTCTTACAAGGAAAGATCGAATCACGACGAGAGGTTATGTCCGTAGGTTCGTCGTCAAGGCCACTCTGGCAAGCGGTATTGTCAATTACAGCATTCAACAGGGTCTATGGTCCAAATCCGAAGATAGTGTGCAGTTGTACGGAAAACTCTACAATTATGTTACCCCTTACATTAAAGAGAATATCCCAAAAGAAGCCTTGAACAAAGTAAGTCTTCTCTCAATGAATGAGTGTGATATTTAGCACATTCAATGTTGAAATTAAACGTTAAATGTTATCATTCAACTTTAGGATTAAAGGAATTAAATGAAACTATAAATGACTGTTTAGGCCAGTAATATGTATATTGCATTTATCAAGAAATTTGTTTTATATTTTACATTGTTTTCTTCAGTCTTTCGTTGGAGATTGTTTATAAGGAAAAATTATTAAAATTTGCATAGCTTCCACCAATGCTGAGTGTCAGTGAATGCAGCAATTTTATTAAATCAACATGGAATAAAGGGGTCATAGCAAGTATGAAATTCCTATCTGAAACTCCTACATACATGAGCAACGGCATACAAAGTCTTTCAAACACTATGGGACAATATATAGAGCAACAAAGTGCAGCTGAGAAAAGTCAATAGTATGAGCGATTTCTAGTTTTGTTTTGTGGATTTTAGGCAAGCCTTATGTGATAATACTGTCATTAAATATTGAAATATATATTTATATACAAATATATTTATTATAATATAATATTGATATTATATTATAATAATATAAATATAGTTACTTCTGCCATATTTACATCTGTTTTTTTTACATTGTAAGGTATGATAATTTCTTAATTTATTATACATGCAATAGAGATATTTTATCACATGCTTGTTAAATTATAGCTTATCTGAAGATGTCAGTAATTATTAATAACATTAGTTTATAGAATCATTGATAAATCAATGTAATATTTATATGACGATCAATATATACATATATCAATGTTCGTTTCTCGTTAAATATCAAACCATTGCCAACGTTGCTGCACCCAATAGTTACACATTCAAGAGACTAACAGAGTATCTTGATTTCCTGAAATGATATTCAGAATGATATCGTGTATACCTATGTTTCATGTACCAAATGACAATAAGTTATCAGCACTTTCTCTCTCTCTCTTTCTCTTTAGATTTATCATCAATGTTTACGTGACGTATTATATTTACAAAAGCTATACATCAAATACAGATAAATTGTCCGCGCTCCTCTTGAAACTGACCAACGATGCTCGCGACTAGAATCGAGAATCGATTCGTACACTATCGTAATCTCGCAAATTTAAATTTCCTCGCAATAGAAAGACTCCGCTGGATTCACCCATTAAATTCGAAACGTATTAAACGACATTATTTTCATCTTTCAGACATGTTGACTATTATGAAATTCCCGTATCGAAAGTTTCCATATTCAAGGTAACTATATTATAAAACAACAGGAGCGCTTTGGACGATTAAAAATTCCGAGCAAGTTTACGTCGAGCCGAGAAACTGCAACGCGCGCTTTCGAGCGGACGCGTTTGCCCACGATAATTTCCGTCCGATTGCCGTTATCGATCTGTTGCTTTAAATAAAGGAACTTTCGACTTATGTGTTCGAGGATCGGCGCGCAGTTGAAAATAGACACGGCGTATCACGACAACCGGCTATTTTCATTCGCGGCGGCTCAACACTCCCGGACGTGAAATCGTGACTTCGCATGCTCGTCGCGACTCAAGAGAGGCAACCGCTCGAAGCGTTGCTTCCTTTTGTTAATACGTCGCGTATCAACTCCAAAAGGAATTGATCTGTACAAACATACATACGTGTAACGTGAACAGCAAAATAATACGTTGACATCACGGTTTCACGCCGGATATACACACTGAGTGCGTTTGTGCGTCGATGAGTGACGCGAGGTTAAAACGAGATTTATTATTCAACGCAATTATCAACGATATACGTAAAATTGAAAGTGACCGAACTGGATATTAAACGATCGCGCGAGAAGAAGGATATATTCGTGGTGTCAAGAGAGTCGCCCACCACGCACGCGCGGCGCCGCGTTTGAAGGTATCAGTACGTCACTTGTTTACGCGATTATTTCTTCTGCCTATTATTGTCGACAACATTGTTTGTCTTGCTACTTTTTATCAATTACTCACCCGTTTTATCCAAGTCGCAGAAAAATAGAGAATAAGAAGGACTCTTTAAGCAGAAACAAAGTTCACGAAAGTGACAATAGTAAGTTTATTTCTAACAGCACACTTAGTTGCGGAGAGAAACAGAGAGAAAATACATTTTTTAAAATAGTTATAATATTCGCACATAAATGCGAAGTGAAATTCGTTCAGTTATGCTAACATGTCATTCGTACGCAGGCCGTAATGCAAGTATCCGCGTCAGCCCGAGCAACATTTTGCGCGTATCACTTTATACGAACGATCATGCGGTTAGCACGTCTGAAAATCGCAATGTGCGATCATCGCGTCGCGCGTAATGGAAAATAATCGATAATATCCGCCTCGCGGCCTGCAATGTCAGTCGATCAGCGCGCAGCCAAGCGCTCGCGCTTGCGGCGTCCATCAAAGTTTCAACGAAGAGGTTATGCACCGTCGCTCTCGACGTTTATCGCATTATTTTCAGTCTTATCGTATCTGACCGCACTGTGAGAGACGCGCGATGACTGTCCGCGGCGTCCCGATACTCCTGTTCCTCGCCGCCGTTTTCATCTCGTTGCCTGCTTGCGACGCCGCCTCCGCACACATTCACACGCATCAGCATAACAAAGTCGACAGCAATGAGAGGATGGAGGATGGGGCCTTCAGTCCCCGCGACGCCGATCACTATGCGGAGGGAGAACATCATCAGGAATTCGACCATGAAGCCATCCTTGGTACGAATCGCATGATTGAGATGAGTCGAAATGTCGTAGTAATTTTTGAAAACTTTCTCTCCTGAAATGTTTTCACATGTAAGATTACTCATAATTTTGTGTTTTACACAGTTTACAAACTGTGTGACTAAAAATTTCGACATACACTATTGTTTTCCTAATTGTCTTGTTGAAATTTATAAGCTGTAAACTATATCTGCCCTAATTTCATACCTTATCAAAAGTTGTATTTTACAAAGAAATATATATATTATGCAGTAGAAAAAAATATTAATGTCTTATTAAATTAAATTACAATCGGGATATATATTTTGATTTTTATGAGCATCTTTCTTTTCTCTTTGACTAGGTCTCAGATTTATTATTTCACCAAGTTATAACTTGTTCTAAACAAAAAAAAATTATTCTATGCTGCTGATATTATTTCAAATGCTTGTATATTATTTTTGTTTATTTTGATCCTTTTTGTAGAAAGATTTTTATAAAAAGAAATTTCATATTTTATTTAATTTTATTCTGTTTAATTTCATATAATAATATAATAAATATTTCATAGGAAGCGTAAAGGAAGCAGAAGAATTTGACAAGCTTCCAATAGAAGAATCCAAAAAGAGATTGGGGATTTTGTTGACCAAGATGGATCTGAACAAGGATAAGTATATAGAAAGGAACGAACTGAAAGCTTGGATCTTACGTTCATTTAGGTATATTGTTTACTCTTAACATAATGTTAATGTTTATTAAATACACCATATGTTAATAAAATTTGGCAAACAGCATGCTGTCCGCAGAAGAATCTCAAGATCGCTTGGATGATGCTGACACAGACGAAGACGGCAGAGTAACTTGGGATGAAGTTTTGCAAGATACTTACGGCAGTGATCCCGAAGATCTAGCTCAAGATGATAAGTTGTTCAAAGACGACAAAGAAACGTTTGAAGTTGCCGATTTGAACAAAGACGGTTATTTGGATACGGATGAATTCAAAGCTTATACTCATCCCGAGGAAACGCCTAGAATGTTCCCTCTTTTATTGAAGCATGCCTTAGAGGATAAGGATGTAGATAAGGATGGTTATATCAGCTTTCAGGAGTTCATCGGTGACAGAGCCAAATCGAAGGATAAAGAATGGTTATTGACCGAAAAGGACAAGTTCGATTACGAGCATGATAAAAATGGAGATGGCAGGCTCGACTCGGACGAAATCCTTTCTTGGCTTGTGCCGAGTAACGAGTGAGTACGCTATATCGTAAAATGTTTTTACGATACATATAATAATACATTGTTACAGTAAAGTATTCATGATGATGATAATATCTCTTGCGTTCTTCAGAGAGATAGCAAGTGACGAAGTGGATCACCTGTTTGTGGGTTCCGACGACGACCACGATAATAGATTATCGTTCGACGAGATCTTGGACCATCATGATATTTTCGTGGGTAGTGAAGCTACTGATTACGGTGATCATTTACAAGATATCGATCGCTTCTCGGATGAGCTGTAAAAAATCGGCTCACTCATTAATCAAAAAGTTACATGTTCGTAATACTCATTGGAGATTCGAGTGATTAAAATCATGAGTTTTAGCATTTTTCAGTGCGTACCACTTAGTAATTATTTGTTTAGGTTTACCCGTTTATGCAGCCGTTAGAATAAATTCTAACACAAAATCTATGACATTTGCACGCCTATATATATTTATAATTAATGAGTATAGCGTTATATACATGAATCATCGTCTTCCAATTTTTACCAAACTCGAGTGCCATATTAAAAAACGCGTGGGGAAGAGAAATAAATTAGGACAGGAAACACTTTTATTTTTCGTTGTAAGCGCATGTAAAGTTATTTAGTTTAAATTCTAGCGACGATGTCATTATGCTGTATATATTATTGTACTTGTATTCCACACCAATAGCACAATCTTCAAATTTGCAAAGTTGACTGACAACTTTTATCTGATCTTGAACGAGTTTTCACTTCTTCCAAGCACTTTATCGAATATATACGATTTATAAAATAAATTACGACGAATAACATGTGCATTATGACCGACTTTTCTAATAAAATATTTTAACAATTTCATATGCTCCTTTGCTCTCTCTCCAAAAAAACTCGTTCGCTTATGTTTTCGCGAGAATAAAAATGTTTGGGGGAAGGACTAATTAAAATAAGATACCCTGTATATACGCACACGCGCATACATTATTTTTAGTATTGATACTTTCTAATATTTTCATTGCTTCATGTGCTTCTCTCTAGTTTCAACCTATACTTGTTTCGAACTACGCGCTGGTAATCTGTCTCTCTCTCTCTCTCTCTCTCTCTCTCTCTCTCTAGAGATAATCAGCGCGACTTTTAATTGGTTTCTGCTTTTCTGCCAAAGTGTGAATCCTCCTTTAGAGGATTCAGAAGAACAAATTAATCAAAAACGATAATCACTAAGCACTTAGGCTACGTTCCGAAATTCACTGCCAGTACTGAAAATACATAGTTTGTGTCACGTATACTATAGATTTTCAGTACTGGCAGTGAATTTTGGAACGCAGCCTTAGTAAGTAGCTTTTTCTGTTGATCGCGGCCAATAGTATGGCTGGTGTTCATAGTCAGGTCTTATATTTAAGACTGTCTTTCACTTACAAGCTGCGTTCTGATATTCACTGCCAGTATTGAAAATACACAGTTTGTGTCACGTATACTATAGATTTTCAGTACTGGCAATAAATATTCGGAACGCAACCTCAGATACCCTGTAGCCAATAAAATAATTTATACAGCATCTGAAGATGAACTCAAGACGGTCTTAAATATAAGATCCGACTATGAATACTGGCCTATGTTGCTGAATTCTTTGGGCAAGAGCACAGGCTTTTGCATCAAAATTCTTCATTTCTGTCCTGAGGAGGGAAATGAAGAAAACTAATTGGTTTATTCCCTCCTTATTTATTGGTTATTGGTCCTTCCTCAGGACAGAAATGAAAAACTCTGATTGGTTGATTCTCTTATGCGTTGTGTATTATGCGTTATGCAGAAGTCTGTGCTCTGGCCCTTTCAGATTTTGTGGCACATGCGCATATGTGTAACTCTAGCCTCCAATTGTTTTATTATTACTGCTTCGTTCGAATGTGATCGTAACATTCATAAGAAAAAACGCAAGGTATACTAAATATTATTATAAATAAACGAAAGATAGTGAATCTTTAAAATATAAAATGCCGTACGCCAATCAACCATCAGTCCATATTTCGGACTTAACTGAGGAGAATGTAAAGTTTCAAGTGGAATATACGGAATTAAGGTAAAATAGGTTAGGTCTGAGATCAAATATATAGTTTTAATTAATTGTTCATTAATTTTTAGCGTTGCAAATAGTATGAGACGTGTCTTTATTGCTGAAACTCCAACCATGGCCATTGACTGGATACAACTAGAAGCCAATTCCACTGTATTAAGTGATGAATTTTTAGCCCACAGAATTGGAATGATACCATTGATCAGTGATGATGTATGTTGTGACTGATCTTATATCATTAAGCATTATAATAGAGGCAATATAACAAACAAAATTGTTTTCATTTAGGTGGTCGACCGAATACAATATACAAGAGATTGTCAATGTATGGATTTTTGTCCAGAATGCAGTGTGGAATTTACTTTGGATGTTAAATGCACTGAAGATCAAACCAGACACGTAACTACTGCAGATTTTAAGTCAAGCGATCCCAGAGTATTACCTGTTACATCTAGACATAGAGAAGATGATGCAAGCGAGTATGGAGAAACAGATGGTTAATATCTTGTATGCTCTACAATAATTATTTTAATAAAAAAGGTACAACAGAAAATGACAAAATATATCTTTCAGAGATACTGATAGTAAAACTAAGAAAAGGGCAAGAATTAAAATTAAGAGCATATGCAAAGAAAGGTTTCGGTAAAGAGCATGCAAAGTGGAATCCAACTGCTGGTGTAAGTTTTGAATACGACCCAGACAATTCTATGAGGCATACTTTGTTCCCTAAACCAGATGAATGGCCCAAATCAGAATACAGTGAACTTGAAGAGGACCAATGTATGTGTACATAAATTTAGTTTAAAATGTTGGTAATAAAATATATGTTATTACATATATATATTTTAGATGAGGCACCATTTAATTGGGAAGCAAAGCCAAACAAATATTATTTCAATGTTGAAAGTAGTGGCGCCTTAAAACCAGAAAATATTGTCATGATGGGAATTGCAGCACTGAAGAACAAACTGTCAAATCTACAGACACAATTGAGTCACGAAGTACAAAGTGACGCATTGAGCATTCATCATTAAGTCATAGATGAAAAAAATAAGCTAATGTTACTTATATTACTATGCACTTATATCTAAGATTACAATTTAATTAATAATTATATAATAATTCATATATTGTATTACAATGAATTGTCCTTTGTGAAGATTCGTAAACTATACAATCATCACTATTGATTCGTTGAATATATTTTCTAGTGAGAGTAAAATGCTTTTATATTCACACTCCCAAAATGCTCAACCTACAGGAGAAATTGTCTCAAGCAGCAATTTTACATGTTGATGCAATAATAACATCTCTCTTGCATAAAGAAATTACACAGATGATGAATAATCAATATGCCATCCGTAATTTCTGCATAAATTCTGGATAAATGCATCTCAGTGCAAAGAGTGTGGAACGGAACTTGTGGTGCACGGTGGAACGATAAAATTGAAACGATTGCTGACTTACCATTTCTATCATGACCACCACCATCCTCCACGGACAGGCAGATGGAGCAAGCTTCGCTGTTGCGTTATAGCGTGCGTTCAGACAGTCCGATGTGATTCGGTGCAGCGGGCGAAGCGGGTGCAGCATGGTGAACGGTGAACGGCGAGCGTGAACGAGCGACAGTAGTAGTAGAACGTACGAGCGCAAGCGGGACGGTGCGGGTGCGGGTGCGGTCGTATTGGCCGTATTGCGCTTGGTGTTGGCCCGACGACTATGCGCTTCTAGCAGTGTTTGCTCCTGCAAGCTCGCGAGAACGTAATTCGGACGGCGCCAGCTGGTCGTAAAAGCTTCTTCCTAGTGATCAGTGTTGCTTCCTGTGCCGCTCTCGCACGTCGACCTGGCAAAATGTAATTTTCACGAGCCGGACGCGGACGTTTGCCGGACGATTTCCCTGGAGCCAACGGGAACCATCGCAACGCCACGGTACGGCTGTCAGAAATTCTATTCCATAACGATTCTTATCCCGTTAGAAACGCTCATAGTTCTTAGACGTATCGATCGGCTCGGACTGTCTCTCTTTCTCGAGGCCGTGCTTGGATACGCGAGTTTGCGTCGGTTGCTCGCGTTTCTGCGATTTTTTCCTCAGACACGACGAGACAGACGTCGTCGAGGACTCACAGCTCAAGCCGCAGCAGAATCAGAGAAGAAAGCTCGCTATATGTCACCTCGCGTTTGAGTCGCGTTTCGTCTTGAAATGCGATCCCACGCACCGGAGCGATCAACGTACTTCATGAACGCAAGTCCGCGCTGCAAATTCGCTTTCTATATTTATGCCGCACAAGTGGGACTCTCATGTAAAAAAGAATAGCGTATCGCGACGGGCATTAGTTAACCCAGTTTATCGGGCCGACGAAGGAATTTCTTTGCATGTGTGTGTGTGTGTGTGTGTGTGTGTGTGTGTGTGTGTGTGTGTGTGTGTGTGTGTGTGTGTGTGTGCAATAGCGCGTTTAAATGACCCGAGAAACCGCAAGGAAATCCTGCGCGAGCGCCGGAAAACCGGCTATGCTACTGCAAGTGTGTACTCGAAATTATATCAATACGCACTTGCGTCTTTCGTTCGGGCGTTCTTTACGCTCGCCTAGACATCCTTTTCCAAGCGTGTCTCCTGCAAATGTGGCTGGTCAGACACGCGGAATCGATTGTAAACACGTGCACGCATACACACAGCAGCGGCCGCGACAGGCATTCCTTCGCAGCTCGCACGGTCGCGAAGAACAATCCGCGAGAAGCGTTACGTTGCGCTATAAAGCGCATCAGCAGTCACGTTGGCCGCTTCAAGCGAATTGGCAAATGTGCTGTATGCCTAATGAGCGACAATGATCGCACGAAACTGGAGAATAACGCGCGCGTGTATACGTGAGCCGCGCATACGGCGGCCGTTTGAGTGTGTGTAACATTTTTCGACGATTACGCGAAGCGCAATAGAGGTCATAATTTTATGGCTTGCTTCGCAACGCGATAATAACTTTAATTTAATGATGTCACGGTCGGTTAATAAATTCAATGCCTCCCGAGAGCGCAGATTATTATTATTCTTCTACTTATCGATTAAAAGCGCCAACATACTCTAGGATCTCGATAATGCGTGAGAACACTTGATGGAAATACGAGAGTAGCCTTGGCGGTGCAGTCGCGATGGAAACAGCGGAGGATAAAATCCAATGCGCTTAGAATCGCATTGTTGCTCATTGTTTGCCTTCGTGCGGAGCGCGGGTTTGCTATATTAAAGAGAGGGACAGAGAGAGAGAGAGAGAGAGAGAGAGAAAGAAAGAAAGAAAGAGAAAGAGAGACTATTCTCTTGTACTCCCACGTGTTCTCGTTTGTGCGCGCATTCGCGGCGATGAATTATTACGAAGAAATTTTCGAAACGGAGCCTGCCGAGACAATCAATCAAACGCCACGACGTAACGTCATATTATGAAATTTTGAGGCGGGAGCAATATCGCGGAGTAGACTGAGATCGATTTGCCGTCAGAGCTGGGCACTATAGATCGGGAAACGCTTCGCCTGAAATTGTAAACCGCGATCAATGTTACGGTGCTATCGACTAAACCGCTTCAACGTTCCCGTAATCCGAAAGGTCGCCCGGATAAATTGCCGTAATTCAGACGTCTTATTTTACAACAGGTTCACGACGTCGCTCTCTCTCTCTCTCTCTCTCTCTCTCTCTCTCTCTCTCTCTCTCTCTCTCGTCGGGTTCGTCGCTCGAGCGGGATAACGCGCTCGAGCGACGCGCGCAAGATCGATCGGCTTTCTTAAAAGAAAAGCGCGTCTCTTCGGGATTTCTAAAAATAATCGATCGGCGGTCGCGCGCTGAGAGAGCAGAGGATAGTATCTCCCTCTGCAGCTGAAAGAAGGAGCGAGCCTTCGAAACGAGCTGCCGCACATTAGTGTAAGTATCTGCTTGCTCGCGATCTCAGCTCGTACGATCGCAAATGGACCGAGCAGCCGTTCCACTTTCCATGAATCGGAATCGCTTTTCATTCGCTCTCGTAAAAACACGCGCGCGCGGACGCTTTGCACGAGTCGCGGACGACCGCGGACACTCTTCGGCGGCTTCCACGGCGAGTTGCACGACGTCGGGCCTTTCTGGTTAGCTCTCTCGCCTTGATGTTTAGCGTGGATGCGGCGAGCGCACGTCGGATCGCCTCTCGTCGTCGGCACGTCAAGACATCGAGACGGCGTCTCATCGATCCATTCACTCTCACTGCCGTTCGTACGAAGCATACAGTGTCCTTTCTTCTTCCGTTTACGGCGTCCGCTCCTTTCCGGCACGCGTCTTTCAGGCATTTTCCCCGCCTGCGTGATCGCAGGCCCGTGTTCCGCTAAGGCGTTTACAATTCCTCGAAGTAATACTTCACATGGGGAGAGAAACCTTGATTAGGCGAGCGCGACGATGAACGAAGCAAACGCGTCGCAGGCTTGAAGGGGACAGAATTTCTGGCCTGTGAGACTCTGAATTTCGTCGCCGGAGATTCCGTTTTCTCCGACCGAATGCGTTTTTTTCCGCTTGTCGTCACGCTAATTCAAGCAAACTTCCTCTCGAGCGATATATCCAACAATGACAGTCAATCACAATCTAATCCAACGCGGTACTTTGCCGCAGACTGAACGATTCCCGCACGATGGGATTGTCCGTCGCGAGATGACGTACTCATCATTGAAAACTGCGCGTTTGCATGCTTTGTTCGAGCCTGAGGACTCGAGCGGATTATTAAGAGTGACGCTTCGATAAATCATTTTCAGCGCATTCGATCAGCATTCAGATCCTTCACACCACACCCTTCCGATCTGACCTAGAAACTGAAAGGTGGGCGCGGCGTCCCTAGACAATCCCCCTTTGAACTTTCCTATCTATAAGCCGTCTATAATAGCTAAGAGAGTGACGACGGAGTGATGAAATCAAAAGGTTAGTCCTCTGCACAGCTCACACCGCGAAGCTTTTTCGCGCGCGCGCAGCCTCGGGAGAATGATGGAATCCGCAAACAATGTCGATCTCTGGCAAATCGTCAGAATCAAGTATCACTTATAGCAGATACACGAGCGTGGAAGCGACAGCTGTGGTGGAGGCCTGGACGAGAGCAGAGAGAGAGAGAGAGAGAGAGAAGGACACGTACCGGCCGCAAATCACCGCCGCGTGCGCAAATCTGCCTGTTTTAGCGCGAACGTTTCTCCCGATCGGGGGGAGCTTTCCCCGGCTTCGTGCACCGTGGGATTCCTCTTCCAGCGAAAAAGAAAAGCAGAAGAAAGAGCCGATTCCTTCAGCCACGTCCATGTTTGCGCGGGCTACGCACTGTGGTCACGCGGTCTCATTGCCAAATATGGCTGGCCGCGGTATTCTTAGCACTGCTCGAGCGCGAACGACACTCGACGGAGCCGCCCGAGAGCATACCTCTCGTCGTCTTCGTCTTCGTTTTCCCCTTCGTCGGCGCCTCCGTCTTCCTCTTCGTCTTCGCCGTCGTCATCGTCGTCGTCGTCGTCGTCGTTGTGTAGACCGCCGTTGTCATCGGCGTTTCTTAATGAAGGATAAATTAAGATGGGACTATATATGGGACCACACCGGGTTTCAGGGCGGTCCGAACGCTCTTTTTCGACACAGTTCGGAACGCGGCTGATGTCCGACGAGAGCAACTTAATCTCCGGGGAATGTTCTCTTCGGAATCGAGCTCTCTCCGGCTGCGCCGTCGCCTACGTTCTGGACTGCGTCCGGAAAAACCGTTTCGAAAGCCAGCGTGTGCTACACGTTGCGGAAAACTGAACGTAGACACGCGGCAGCTTCAGGCTAACCGATCGGATTGAAGTTACGCGTCTCGTACCGTATCTCGAAGTATCAAAATAGCGAGGGAGATCGATAGGTGCAGAAGTTATAGTAGCATCGCGAATGAAGCGAAGGAGATGTTGACTGAAGAAATTCCCGAGAATTTCAGAAGAAAAACAGAGAGAGAGAGAGAGAGAGAGAGAGAGAGAGAGAGAGAGAGAGAGAGAGAGAGAGAGGAAATCCTTTGTGTGTATTCATAGAAGAACCGGACAGATCGAGGTTTATCGCCGCAACAAGAGATCGCGCTTTCTCTCTCGCTCGCTGCGATACAGATGCGACGATCTTTTTCCCCTACACGCATGTACTATTTATCGATCTATGACGTGCGTGGAATCTCCGTGCGACAGCGGCGGGTCTTCTTTGACTTTTTTCTCGCGCGTTCCGCGCGACGTCGTCGATATCGTTGCTAAGCAGGGGAGCGTACACTGCGGCCGGTTTGTCCGCGATATCAGCCCTTTAACGCCAATTAGGCCATAATTAATTGATCGTCGAGAGCAGCCAACGAGATTATTAGGGTCAGTAACGGTAGTCGACCCGTGATACGAAACAGTTGATGTACCCCGTCCGTCTCCGCGAATAATCTTTTCTGCATTGTGATTACGTACGGGAAACTGCGGCATTATTTCATCGTCGGCATGTATAATGTTTCGTTGATAAGAACTTGCTCATCCTCACCTCGCCTCGCCGACCTATAGATCGGCTTAAAATGGCATTTAGCGAATGGCAAGGGCGTGAAGACACGATAGGAATACAACAGAGGTGTCTACTCGAGACTACTTGCTGTATTTTCGCCAGAAGCGATCGACTACCCAGGCAGCGCAAATGTTTAAAATACACCTTAAAGACATCTGAGAGGTGTCTAAAACACACAGGTGGATGTATAAAATAATAGTTTCCAGACGTCTCTCAGACATTTATGCCGTCTGGCTATTTTCCTTGGTACATCAAATCAGAGTTTCGTCGTGATGTCTCAGTAAACATCAACTAACGTTGCATCAATGTTACGGTTTCTCGCTCTCAACGATGTAACTGTTATGTAGAACTTGTATTTTATCATACTCACATCTCAGTATGGAGCTCTCTCAGTATGGAGGAGTATAGTACCGACGTAATGTTGCTGTTCAGTCGGTGTATACCGGATTATTATTATCATCGATGGTGACGAGCTGAGTCATTACTCGCAATCGAGCGAATCGCAGCGGGCAACATCTCGGCAATAATCTGCAATAATCTGCAATCTGGCTGATTTTTCTACAATCGAGGCTTGCTTCCGATCCGATGTAGCTGTACGAGACCGCCCGTGTGAATACACGGGGGTGGTGGGGGATTGTCGTAAACTGGCAGTGGGGGTATCGACCGTCACAGTCGAATACAGACTTTGCAGCGAATAACAACACGTTTAACCAGCCGAAACTTAACGTTATTTCCGTCAACAAAGCCGAACGGGGGCAGTTGCGGTTTGTAACGAATAATAACCATGCACGAGAGAATTTAGCCGCGCAAGCCGGTTCTCGCATCTGCATGAGATTCTTTCGAGCTGAACGAGCGTATCTCGTGAACGGGGTGGTTTCTTTTTTTAATCTGCGGATCCTCTTATCGTTACCCAAGCTGACGTCAGTTTTTGCTTCACAGGTCGCCACTCATCCGTAAGCCTCACACGTATCACACTTCCGTTGACCGGTCGTAAAGCCTTCAGTGATACAACGCTGACCGCAAGAGCGACGAAGACAAGAAATCGAAAAGATAAGTAGCCGAAAAGTGCAAGTGAAGAAAAAAACGGCAATGACAGGTCACGCGGTGGAAGATCACAGGATATCGTCACGGTTGTGGAGAACGAGATTCTTGGGCCAACCGGCCTGAGATATGCCAGCTATAGCGGTAACACCTCTGTCCTCAACGACACCCTCGTCGCTCTCGACCGGAACAGCGGAGCAGTGTCGACCGGCTGCTTTGTCGACGTCCTCGTCGTCCTGGGGTTGCCGGGTCTACGCGACGCGACGCGATCTCTTCGTATCAGCGACCGTCGATCCGCGTCCAAGCAGAGCAGTGCACTGTCCGGATTTGAACGCCTGCCTGGTGAACGAGTCGCGTCCGGGACGCGAACAAGTGGACTGTCAGACGATCCACTTCGGCTACGCGATACCGATTAACGTCGTGCCCGTCCGCGAGAGCCCCGAGCTCGTGGAACTGGTGTTGGACCAGTCCGACGATTTGAGCAGCCGGGCGGCGAGTTTCCTGCTGAACCATCATCCGCAGCTGCGCCCGTGCCGACGACAGTGCTTCTATGAGATGGCCGCTACAGCCAAGCACGATCTACGTCGCAAGTTTCCCGCGGACACGTCCAGCTCCGGCGAGGAGGACATCGCCGCGATCGCCAAGCAGATCAGCGATCACGCGGAGGCGATTTATCAGACATGGAAGAGTCGTGGTTTAGCGCCGACGGAGATCCTGACCTGCCACAGCAACGCGACCGCCGTCGACAAGTTCGGCAGCGCATTGACGCCCTCCAACTCCCCCGCTGCTGGAAACACCGCCGCCGGCAACAATATCGGCACTAAGACAGCGTCGCGGTCACCGTCACCCTCCCCGTCGCCGTCGCTCGGTCGCTCTTCCCCGACCGCGGTGGATATATTAGTTCAAACGCCCAACTTGGACAATGGTAACCTTGAGAAGCTAGTCAACAATTTTGTGGTGGAAGATAAAGCGAGGATAGCCGCCTCGAAGCAGAGGTCATCACCGAAGCCATTACCATCTTCCATACAGTTCGCCCTGCAGAAGTTCGAGAGGAACTCCGTGCAGCAGCAGCAGCAGCAACAGCAGCAGCAGCAGCAGCAGCAGCAGCAGCAACAACAACAACCGTCGCCACCCGCGAAGAATAACGTGACTGACGGCTCGAAGAAGCTGACTGGCATCCTGTTGTCTCCTACCTCGCCATTTTCGAACAAACCGTCGCAGATAGTAAAGCCCCAGGTACCCGCCAAGACACCCAGCTCTCACCACTGCGAAGTTCTCTTGGAGACGATCGAAACCACCTTCCCGGTCGACCTGACACCCACCAAAAGATTGACGCAGCAGAAGAGGCCGACGAGCACGTTAATCGCATCGTCGCCCAGCAGTTCCTCGTTAGACATCGACCAGTCGCACTCGACGGGCTCGGGATTGACGACGTGGCCGTTGAAAAACAAACTGAACGATGCCAAAAGAATCACGGACGCGTCTCGCACGAAGCCAATTGCTAAGACGCCTCAGCCGGAAGATATCGCAAGAACATTATCCGCGAAGGACGAGAAGAGATCGCTCGTGATGGAGAAAAACTCGCGATGCGCCTACCTCGACGAGGTCGCGCGGGAGGAGGAAAGACTGATAAATGCTTTAAAGACAGGCGCGGTTATCAGTGAGGAACCTGACAGGACCACAGCGTGTGCGCGCAGTAGACAAAAGCCGGCCATCAAACGGGAGAAGCCGAAGGTTGAGCCGGTGAAACAAATCATTATCGGCCACAATCATCACGGAGCTGCTGGTTTGACGGTAGCGAACTCGGTGATAAGCACAGCGAGCGTTAGCAGTATTACCACCGCCACTGCCGCCGCTGCCGCTGCCGCTGCCGTCGTACCTGTTGGCCATATTCCGCTAGTCAATGAGTCCAAGACACTCAGCAAGGATGACCTGTCCACTATGTCGGCGGTGGACTACGCTAAGGTCAGGTACCAGGCTGCTCAGCAGAATCCGCCGACCCAGCAGCGACTCGAGGAACAGAGGGCTTCCGGACATCCGTACAATTCTACGGAGCAATTGGTCTCCAGCGCGAGATCCAAGTTCGAGATGGAGATACGTAAGGACAAGGACGTGAAAGAGTGGACGCCAGTGAACGTAGACGGTGATAACAGATGGAGGCCGAGAATCACTTCCCCGCGGCCGCGGCTGGAGCAGGCCGTGCCTCATCCGGAACTGACCAGCCAACAGAAGCAGCACATCAGAGCGGTCGCGGCCACGGGGACGGGCAACAATCCCGTCAGACCGTTCCTCACCAGAGGCTCCGTGGCGGAGCGCGTGCTCATCTTCGAGAAATGTCCGAGCGAGCTGCTGTTGGATAAGCGTGGGCCCCGTCAGCCGGCCATCAATACGTGGAGAAGCGGTCACGAGGTGCAGAGCAAGGCTCAGGTAATTTCATCGGCGATTCGAGTTCTCATCGCGGAGATTTGTCCTTTCTCTCTCTCTCTCTCTCTCTCTCTTCCTTTTGGTAAACGCGTATTATTGACGGAATACGACGCTTACAGAAGCATGCTGTATCCTTGTCTGTCCGCTAGTCCGTATGTAGGTAGACAAGTTATATCCGTTCGCATTGGTATTAGCGTCGCGTGGGTGTGCAAAGCATTGCTCAAGTGCAAAACGGTGAAAGTTTGCCACTATTGAAATAATTCAGGGACGGCTAATTCACGCGACGCGATTATTGTTCAAGCGATAGGCTTACTTGGTTCCGCGACGGATAATTATCAGCGAACGGAAATTGGCTCTCGTCTGTCGTTGCAATGCAGACTCTTAAGGATAAAGTCGTCTCGTTACTCACGCCCTGTTGGTCAAGATCCACGTACAAAGGAGGTTTAAAAATAAAGGAAAAAGGAGAGCTTTTATTAATATGTGAATACACACGCGTCACTCTTCTCAGAAGATGAGATTTGCCCGCCGATATTTAGCACGTGCAAAAGGCTTCTCGCGCAAACGTGCGACGGCTATTATCGTGCCACGTGAACCGAGCGAGAGCAGTCGTATAACGGTCGTGATGTAACCAGCGGTGCGACCGTAGCGCGGCAATGCGCTGATCGCCTCTTTGCATTCTTCGAAACCTTCTTGCGATGTCTCGTAATAGGATGTCAGTGCGTCCTTGATTGTCCCGCCGTTATAACGAACTCGCGGAATGCAAGCCTCAGTAGGAAGAGCCTGCCGCGATCTCCCGCCCGATTCGACATTTCTAGCGGCTGGCGTAGATGTATTCTTGAGGATAGGTACTTGATTGATTTACCATAAATGCATAAATAAAAACAGATTTAACCGTAGCGTTATTTTTTCTTTTCCCTAGACTTACACAAGAGAAAAGACTCAGCAGAAGAGCTTGCCGCCGCATACAACGCTACAGAGGCAGGTGAAAGCCAATAGGAATGTTTACATACCGAGGTTCGTATTTCTCGGAAAATTGACGAAGAAGGTCCGTTCGAAGGATCCGTCTTCGTCTTGATTTCATTCCAATTCACAGAGATATCTCATTAATTTTGAATGATACACCGCGTTATCTTGTTTCGTAGATTTTATTTCCCCGGAGGGAAACCAACCCCTCTCTCACAATTGGAAACCACCATCTCGAAGATCACCGCCGCTTTCCAAAGCTTGCCAAATTGTCGTGCTTTTCGCGCGCAATTTCATACCATCACGAAGGTCAGAATTTGTATCTTCATATAGCAAACGTTCTTTCAATGATTCATAATGATAATAAGAAAAACGCTATATTAACCTGTGATACTCGTAATTGGAAAAAGTTTGCGATATTATTCTTATACATCTTACTTTTCTCTATTTTTCTATTTCTAATCTCTATTTTCTTTTTTTATATCTCTCTCTATCTTCTATACATTCAAAAACCAGAAAAATATAAAATATGTTATTTCTGTTTTCTTGTTATAGGCATGTGACTTGCCATTATATTGGAAAATACCGCTCTTTTTGGCAGCAGACGGTGATCCGAAAGGATACGTCGAGATGAATGCATTCTTGGAATTTTGGAAAGAGTAAGATATAAAACTTATATTAATTATATTAACATCAATTACTTATCTATAAAGTCACGTGTGGGGAAACATAATTATAAATATATATGAATTTTACTTATATATGGCCATATATATAATCACACGTATGTAATTTTATATATTTATATATAATCCTTTTTGCTTGAGTGTAAAAAAAATATGAAGCAGGATTTTTTGTCTGCTTGTTAAAAAAACTTGTTGCACTTATTATGCTACTTATTGTACTACTAATAATATTTATAATTACTGCACACTATGTAGCATTATATATCAATCGTTACAGACTAACAAGTATTCACCACGACGCAGCTAGTAAATTTATCAAAATAGTCACTCGGGGAAAACAAAACTACATACTCCCGGAGGATTTAATCCCACTTGTGCAGGATGTGGTGGAAACGCATCCGGGATTGACATTCTTGAAAGAAGCCACGGAATTCCATTCCCGCTATGTGCACACGGTTTGTATGAGATAATTCTCTGTGTCATTTTTCATTCAACGAGACAAAAATTATTCTCTCTCTTCCTCTTATCATTAAAAACAAATAATCAAGAAAGCCCACCATACGATTGGTAGGTGATCGCTAGGATATTTTACTGCGTGAATCGAAGTTGGAGCAGCAAAATTTCGATCGCGGAGTTAAGAAGAAGCAATCTTTTATCCGTAATCGCTGTGCTTGAACACGAGGAAGATATCAATCAAGTTACAGCCTACTTCAGCTACGAGCACTTCTATGTGATATATTGCAAATTCTGGGAGCTAGATCGTGACCATGATCTTTTTATAGATAAAATGGATCTAACGAGGCACAATGATCATGGTGAGGGAATATGTACTCGAAAACATATTATTATAATTACAAATATCTCATGTACCATTCTTTTCCATATCAAATTTTGCCAATTCTATGAATTGTCTTCAGCGTTGTCGACACGAATGATTGAGAGAATATTTAGCGGTGCAGTGACAAGACCCGGAGGAGTCAAAAGCAGTAACGGCGTGCAACAGCCGGAAGATAAAATGAGCTATACAGAATTTGTTTGGTTTCTTCTTAGCGAGGAAGATAAAAATCACCCGACTGCCATTGAATACTGGTTTAGGTAATTATTCTGCGTCGGTTGTATCGAAAGTCAATAAAACTTAGTTGTATCGTTTACCTTTTAATACGTTAGTATTATAATTTTTCGTCGATAGATGCATGGATCTCGATGGCGATGGTTATTTGTCGATGTACGAATTGGAGTACTTTTATGAAGAGCAGCTACATCGAATGGAAGCTATCGGTCTGGAAACATTGCCTTTTGAGGATTGTCTTTGTCAAGTAAGTAATATCAGAAATCTATATATTTTATCTTAAAATAATAAAAAAAATATACAAATATAGTCAAGATGACTATAATTTATTTTAGATGTTGGATATGATTCATCCGGCAACACCAGGCAAGATATCGTTGAGCGATTTGAAAAAGTGTAAGATGACGTCTATTTTCTTCGATACTTTCTTCAACCTAGAGAAGTACCTAGATCACGAGCAAAGGGATCCGTTTGCTTCGACGAGGGATCACGATGCAGACGGTCACGAGGTAATCGTACTTACCTTCTACTATCTTCTCAATTTATTATCTAATTTCGTTTCAACTCTGACCTCATTAAAGACGGACATTGTACAAATAATTTTGTAACAACCGCGATTAACTTATTAGAGAAAATGTCATAGTTGTATTTTATCTTCGATAGCTCTCGGACTGGGATCGTTTTGCAGCAGAAGAGTACGAGTTGTTGGTTGCTGAAGAGAGCGGCAATGAACAACATGAACAAACGTAAGTGTTATTGGCGTGTTAAACGTTCACAGTTTATCCATAAAAATGATATTCTGATCTTCTATATTTGGTGACGCAGTATGCGACCCAAATTGTCTCCACATACACACATAAATATATCTTAAATATCAAATATATAATTACATATGTATATATATATATATATATATATATATATATACACATACGAATATATACGGTTCCGACGTATTAAGTATCTACTACGTGTTTTATAGATATCTTATACTCGACGTCAACTAACAGTACGTATTTCCCCTTTATTATGATTATAATGCCAATGGTGCGATATGTACGTTTGTTGCAGGCTGTGTGATGATGAAATGTAACCATCATCTACAGCTCAGTAAGTAAAGAACAAGAGAAGATGCTGAAAAAATGCATGTGTTTAAACATAAATTAACACACTGAATTAACGTTCAAGCTTATTCCATGTCTGTTTCACGAATTATCGAAAACGCGTTTTACATTCTATTTATCTTTTGCTAATTTTATCTCTTTTTTTATCGGAATTTTGCATCTCTATAATATTTTATTGTACTTGTTCTAATATTTTTAATATATACATCACATGATTTACGTTTTGCATATATACATTTTGCATAAATTGATTTATTCATTAAGTTGATTTATAAATTAAACATCAATTAATTTTCCTACATTCTTCTTTAAGATGTGTATATACAGAAAATTTTATATTTTCCCCCCATATACATTTGCATTTTTATGAAGCTTTTAGCACGATAACTTTATAATTAAATTTTTATATTTGATGAATATACGAAAATTTCTAGCGGTTAAACGCCTGAATATTTTTTAAAAGAAAAATATACAAATTATTTTAATACCTCACCGTTGAAATCAACTGCAAAATGTAACTCGGTTGTTTAATGAAATCTCTTGCTCGTAGGTCATACAATATTGCGTCAGGGGACGCATTATCGCCAAATCTGGACATTCTAATGGACGATTCAATGGATATGGTTAAGGGCGCAAATTTGTTAACAAATTCATTGGATATCCATACGCAACAGCGGTCAAAGCAGGACGATAGCGGCGACAGCGACGATTATGCCGACAGCGACAATTAATTTTTTTAAGGCAGTACATTTTTCGATAACTTAGTTGATAGAAGAGTTACGAAAACAACAGAGCCGGTGTTACAAATTGGCCGAGCCGGAATCCGTCAGCTGATGTAGTCCGCTGGCACACGCTATCATTATGTAAAGTCCACCAATTGCGACATAGCCGGATATCTTTCTTCGCATTATTGATACTGCAAACTACACTCTCGATAACTTTTCAAACTCAAGCGTCCATGCAACCGTTAATCGTGTCCCCTTCTATTCAAACGCGATATTTCGTTCATTAATATATGCACTGGTCTAGTACATTGCAAAGTACATGATTGCACACAGTACAAATAGAATATGTAGATATTTCAAGATACTGCAATGTTACAGTATATATATAAACATATATACACGTATACATACATACATATATATTCGTAACGATGTAAAGTCCATTAGAGGAATCTGACCACTGCTGCCCAACCATGTGATACATAGAGTGCTGTTCAATACGCACAGCATACGTCGTGTATGCTAAATTGTACATAAAGCATTATATCGACCATCGACTCTTATTTCTGGTCATCGCAAGAGTCGAAAATACGAATCTCAAACCACGTTGAAATCTATATGTACTCTCATGAATTCGTAATCGTCAATTTGAAGAATCTGTATAGCTAATGACACTTTTGTACAAGAGTCAATTGCAATATAAGTTGTTTTTTCAATAGTGTACTCGTATACATACGAACGTGCACCTTGTAAATACACACTGTGTATTTAAAAAAAAAAAAAAAGAAATCGATAGGAATCGGAGTAGTAAATTATTTTGTATAATACTGTCTCTTCTGTAGAGATGTGTGAGGATCCACAACGGATGGTATCCCTTGTAGAACGAATTCGTTGTTATTTGTACTTGTATGTTGTGCACGAAACGCGTTTTTAAGTAGTCGAAAACAAGAAAGATACGCAGTATAATCTCCTCGGGCGTCGAAAAAGAGGCAGAGCAGATTATTTTCCTACAAGTTTCCACTTTCTCTCCACGTTACGTGCTATTATCATATCAGATCTATTAGTAACTATGATAGAACACGTTTATAAAGATCCAATATGTATACCAGATCTGATACACACACAACACACAGACAGACACACATACATGTAAAGGTGCTTACTAAGCTATTATATAACAAATTCTGTATATTTAATGGTAGAACGATGATTGAAATGTTATCGATGCTTTCGTTTCCTAGTCACACGTTTATGTAATTACGTTTGAAGGCGATACATTTACTTTATGTAACGAGTAAAATGAGTCTCGATTTTTATATACATTTTTTTTATGTGAAATGTCACAAGTGCATATATCTGATTTAAGTTTTGCTAGAAAGTATATGTTACTTTTCTTCCTCCAGTGATTTAACTGTGAGTCAGCTGGAATACCTGTATAAAATGGAATAAGTTACATAGTAGCGCGTGTCTCTTCTCTGGCGCGTGTATATCAATTTTAATTTAATATATGTACAAATATATTAAAATAATATTAGCATGTTATGTTCGTATATGTATATGCGATATATTATATATTCGACGCTCTTCGACTCTCCTTCGGTCTTCTGCGTTTAAAGCGCTCGTGTAAGAGCACCAATGACTAGCATGTCCCATAATATTAATAACAAGATTAATCGGCCTGCAAACGATTTCCGATGTTCCGATGCTTTGAATTCGTAAGCATGAAATATAACGGAAATCGTTGGTAGAACCTTATTGTTAGAAAATGCGATTGACTATATATTTATAATTAAGTAATATTCTTCATCGGTTTATCGTAACGCTTAAAGCTTCTTTATTACTACAGAGTGATTATATTATGTTATATATCGTATCGCGTCTTAACAATATTACATATCTTTATGAAAAATATCATGTATACACAAGCCAAAGAAACGACGTTCTCTCTTAAGCGCGAAAGACTAAATGAACATTGTTGCAGTACATTGTTCATTTGTTCACATTGAACATTTCGAACGATTTAAATTAGTTCGAAAATTCTAAAACGAGAAATGAAAACGTACGAAATATATACGCCTTATTTTTCGCCATATTGGCCCGATATCATCTCTCTCCTCTTTTCTTCAATCAACGATTGTTCTTTAAGACAAACAGGTTAATATTTCATCAAATATTACATTGTTCGTTAATAACAGCATTGCCATTAGTACTTAAATATAAGTAAAATTTTTGTAACGTAATAATTAGATAGTGCGCGTCTCAAGCTTCCCAATTTTCGGCTATTTTAAGATATTTCATTTTCACACGACCATTTCGCACGCGCGACAAGTTACAAAGATCACTGGATTGTATATATTACTTATACGTCTCCGAAATAAGTTCAACGGTTATATATCTTTATCTAGTTCAAATATGCGCTCTCTTTCTCTCTCTCTCTCTCTCTCTCTATACAGGATGTATCTAAGTATCAGTGTCAAATCTAAAGTCTTTTCTCGTTAACTGTCCTTCCTCGTTTCTCAAAATGGACCTAACGTACGGATCATGAGATGTGAGTAATATGTGTGTAATATTCATTGTTCAGTAGATGCATTCAAACTCTCGGATCGATAACTTTAGCATCGGTATTTGCTAAAGATTATTGAATGTATTGTGCTGCTTGTTATTATTTACGCCGTTGTTACACAGTTAATATGTGACAAATAGTTTTATATTTATATGAATAGTTTTATATTTATCATGAATTTCATTTTAACAAGTACCGATGAGACACAGGCTGTCACAATGTGTTCGTTTTGATGATGATGTATTTTTATGCGTGTTAGAACGGATCATTTTTCTCCTCCTTTCTCCTACTCCTCTCCTCCTCTTTCTCTTTATGTTGAAGTGGAAAGAAAATACCAAAACTGTAGAAACAAAAGCCGAGAGCTCATCCATTTTACATTGTATGTGCAGTACGTTATGCAGTATAGAAATTTTTTACGATAAACCATGCGCTAGTTTATTTTTGGTACTCTAGTTTTTGGTTTAGCTTTTGGTTTGATCGACTATCAAGTGAAATATGTGTACGTAGAGACCGAAAAAGAATATTCCACAATATCGTGTAAGCTTACAACAATGAATGAAGCACCACACATTTTATTCGCATAATCCAATTTGAACTTTGCACGGTACAGTTTTCTCAAATCTATCTTAATGGAACCTTATAATCGGGGTATTCGCATAAATATGTACCGTGAAGAAAGCCCGTTAACGCGTCTTCACCATTCGTCACCCGTCGCTAAACGTTCGCAATATATAATTGAGAAGTATGATTATAATCGTCCAGCGCTGTTTCAAGCGTTTGTTGTATACCTATCATTAAATAGTAATAGCGACACCGTTTACTTATCTCCGTCGTATCGCCATAACAACCAAAAAGAAAATTATCCGATCTACTATCTCGACGAATATCTGTACTAGTTGTGCAAGAAGAAACATGGGCAACTATAGCATTTCGGCAGCGATTTTCGGCGAGATCTCGCCTCTGCTACGAGTCACTTTTGTAAAAAAAGAAAGGGCTTCTTAGTCATATCTATTAGACGTAACTTGCTAAATGCCATTGAGAGATGCCAATATTTTGTTACGAAGTAAAATAATTTTAGTCCAACACAGCATCGTATCGGCGTATCTCGCATACACACCGGGATATATTGTGCAGCGAAACAATTCTGTTGACTGCCCAAAGATGTAACTTATAATTTCGCGTAGGATATTATTTTATTTCTAACAGTATATATTCTTTTTTAAGGATCTTTTTAATTATAACCGCGTATTACCACTGTGCGTATTCTGCTGTAACAACGCCCATCAATATTACGTACTTTCGTTAAAGCAAGGAAAGCAAGGACAATAAGAAGTAATATTCAATTGTTAACGTATGTGGCCATGTCTTCGATTGTTATATTTATTCACTCTATGATGATTTTATCACTGTTTTACCGATTTACTGAATGCCTATTCGGATTCATGGATCTTGTTTAAGTTAATTGTTCATGTGTGTTTCTTCCATTCGATAGGATATTTATATATATACATATATATATATATATGTTTATATATATATATTAGTATATGAAACATGACCAGATCATATTTTCGTGTTTTTATTGATGAATGTCTATTACATCGACATTCTTTATAATTATGTACGGATATATTTGTTTATACACTTTATCTGTGCCGTAAAACTAGACAAGAAAATTTTACAAATTAATAAAAATAAATGACGAAAGTATCGAAAAATATATGTATTTATGTCAGCCCGATATCCATCGTCATCGGTTTCTCGATCTCTCTTTCTCTTCGCGTATATTCTATTTCGTCACATATAATATATTAATCAACTAGAAAGGTATTCTGTCATTAAAATTTTAATATATATTTACGCGTTGATGAATGATAAAATGGAGAAATACGAGTATCACGACTGTCTAGTGACATTACGTAAATAACAAAAATCGCGTCATACAAAAGAAAAAAAATATTACACGCGTTATATTATTAAAAACAATATTTTTATTAAAAAATCTTTTAAGAAAATATGATACACAAGCGAGTCAGGTTTTTTTGTTATTTAGCGAGAAATGGACGACGCAATATTGCTTTTATGTGTTCATAAACATAAGTGCGTATATAGAATCGTAATATTTTGCGTTTTTATACTTTTTCATCATACACACAAGCACATACATCGGTATGTGTCTGCTCGCGAAAAAGTACGAAGACACGAAATGTTATCGTTTTCCATATTAAAGTTTAGGAACACATATAAGTGCAGTATTGTGTTCCACATTGATATATATATATATATATATATGTATGTATATTATATTCACTTAACTAAAATTACGCTTGACAGTATGCATCTTAAATAGGAATGAGCGATGATTTGCAATATAGAGTATAAATTATATACTGTGAGGAGAAGAAATATTATATAATCGAATAACTATTCAAGAAATCAGAGGAAATCCTTTTGCTACATTTTATATAAAAATTATCACATTCGACAGCACTCGCGCAATGTCGTATGTCACATGCAGTGTGTAATATTTTATCGGATTTCTAAATAATTTTATTGCATTATTCGCAATTATCTTTGCGATAAATATCGTTATGACAGATATTAGGTGACACATTTGCGTTTTATATTGTTGCAATGCCTGCTTGCTCAGGGGAAAGCTTACACAGAAATTATTCCCTTGTTAAAAGATTGAAAATTTTTTTTGACGAAAGAATTTCGAGAGTAATCATGTCAAAGTTTTCACACTCGGTAATGTGTGTATCGATGTGTTAGGTGTACATATTTTGCTGTTTAATGTATTTATAATCTTTACTATTTATTATTGACTTTATATATTACTATATTATGTATCAGTAAAACAGATTCATAGCTTTTGGATCTTTCCTTTATATTTCTTCTACGAGTCCTTATGCAAACGTTAAAAACTTAGTAACAGGTGTTGTAACGCGGCACATGTGAACTATATTGATAAATAAAATACTCGCTATAATATACATGTAAGCATATCCATCGGAGATACGTTAGCATACGTTAGATTTTGTGTATTTTCACTGATATATATTTCATGCGGAAATATGTCAGCGAGAACTTAGCAACATGTGTAATAAGTTACGCTTTATCACATAGCAGCAAAATCCGACTAGAGATATAATAAAACACGCCTTTATTCGTTTATTATTATAAGTACAAGAAAGTCAAAGAATGGAAGAAGGAAATCGTGATATTATTCGCTGAAATAAAAATGCCTATAACATCGACGTGCGCAAATTCGATGTTTTAGATTAAAAAGATTATAGAGACTCGCTTTAGGAAGTTTTTCTATCGACAAAGAGGAATCTTGATATCCTTTTGCCGTTACCGAAATGCACAAAATTGCAAAATCGATCTGTTAGGTTTGAAACGTTTAAGTGCAATGAAAATTGCGCACGCGTATGTACCATCGTATTTTAAATTCAAAGTTTTTTACTCGAATATGATATAGATACATTAGAAAACAAAAAAAAATAAAAAAAGATATTATCTTAGTTTAACAACTAATCTCCTTGTTACATCAGCTTTTTTTCAATTTTACTCAATACTTCTACAAATTTACAAGCATATTGCAGTCATGTATTATAATGAGAAAATTCTGTTTCGCGATATTGTAGAATATTATGAATCGACTGATCCTTTATATACGCGTTTACCATTAGGGAATTTTTTACGCGAAATAAATAAGTTTGAAACGAGTAACATGCATGGAACTTGTTCAAGAAACTGTACGATAAAGATACAGTGCCTACATTAACTAGTATGTTTTCCTTCACTAGGCTAAAAGTGCCTCATTGCGGTTTAGAAAAAGATGGCTCTAATTTTAGTTAGGCAGCTTCGAATGTACGCTTGATAATTGTCCTCTTAACGCTAGAAGAATTAGATCTATGATTCAATAAGAAGATAAAACGTGATTTCTCTTACGGTAAAAATGCGGCAAGAATGCGGATTCAATCACGAGGAATATGCACACTATATCCTTATCACGAGTACATTCGGTACATGTCCGCAGGAACAAGGCACAACTGATAAATCGTTTCTCTTCGCTCGAGAATGATCAGTATCGCATCCGAGTTTCCGGGTTCAATGGTGAAAAATATGCGTCGCCTGTTTTTTCACACATTCGATACATCTTTTTTTTTTTTATTTCCGTTTTTAGCTTCCAAACAATTATATTACTTTCCACATCTAAGTCTAATTTATGTCAGTAGAATTATACCAACTTATTATTACGAAATTTCTAGTGCGATGTTAAAAAATTATGTTTATTAGGATGGACTTCATCTTGAAAAATATTCTCCTCGCTATCGTATCACAAATGAACGTATATTTCTTTGAAAGATTCGTCTTTTTACCGCACCGCTCTGCTTCGCAGCAGGATTTTTTTTGTGTTTTCACTTCATATAGAATATGTATCATCGTATAACGAGCTACCTTATAAAACACGCGCGCAACGCGAGGTATTACGAAGATATTTTTACAACGCTGCCAGGCTTCCAGACGCATGTGCGAATAAGTGCGCGAACACACCCGTACATCGTATGTGTGAGGGTAATAAAAATTAACGAATTATCACATCTAAACTCGGCTATCTACAAAATTGTATAATATTTATTATGCAACGTACAATACGATCGTGCGAACTAACAGCCGTTAAATCGCTTGATTTGGATGAGTAATCTAGACGCTACGTTCACGCGTTCGCAAGAATTAGTAGCAAAAAGCATTACGCCATCTCCATAAAAAAATTACACAAGATTCAATACGAGACAGATCAGAACTTCATTTGTAATGCGTTTAGTTCTAATATGTCTCCAACATTATCTCAACTCACAAATAAATATATATTAATCATATAATATTCAAAGTAATGAAAAAATGTATCTATAAATCGACATTATATCAAACACATTGGTTTTGTTTTAAAAGTATATTCCGTCACCATCGAAAATACAAATATGTTGATTTGTAAAAGTCATTTCAATACCCAACCTTCACATAGCTTTACATATAGAATATGGACAATACCATATAATAAAAATATTTTTGAAATCTACAGTCATGCAAAAATTGCAGAAACAAATTCTAAATGAAATTTTATTTATGCTTGACAATATTTCGAATCTGTTTTTCACGTTAAATGTAAAATTTATTTATATTCCGAAATGAGAGGATATACTAACTCAATATCCTTAATATCCTTAAATTTATGTGATAGGTCTCACGTAAATGCCGTTTATGAACATTGTTCCGTTAGAAAAGAAAAGAAAAAGAAAAAAATATCACGCGAATGATTTTTACTAGGTCCGTCGGTTTGATAATTCGCACATTCGTTAGAATTATTCTTCTCGACATCAAAATTGTTTAAGGCAGGGATATCTTACTTTGCTACTCTGTGAATTTCTTCTTTAAACTGGACTGCATCGTGCGTCTTACGTGATGTATAAAATATCTTACCAAAAGCATGATAGCACGTACCTAAACATGCTGTAGTGTATATAACTAGACATTATGAAGAATATATGAAGGACTAGGAATCTTAATGGATCCTGATGTATCTTGTAACCCTCTCTCCTCGACTCGTTTGTGCCAAGAAACGTTCCATATTTATAAAAATTTTCCAAAAGCGCTTCTTTTTCTACCCATCTGTCATACAACCATTTAGATAACAGTTCTGGTTCACGAGGAACCTGTAACAATTATATTACATCATATAATAATACATTATTAAATTCTAATTCTCTCTCGTATACATTCGTTCGCAAAAATTATTTTGATATGTTTCTAACTTTACTAGAAAAGGTGCATGAAAACCGTTCCGCAAGCGAATATATATAGTATGCGATCAATTTTATTTTATTAAAACTTACCACTGAACTAGGAAACAGTCGATAGAACAACACTGTCTCGCACGGAGGTCTTGAACCAGTTACGATGGTGGGTAAGTCGATTGGCTTACCTTGAGGATACGCTATTGTTATATCAAGAACCCAACTAATTTCTGGTTTAGCTACTGTCATACCTACAGAAAATGCCACAAATAAATTTTACTACAGAATAGTAACAATTGTTCATAGTGAGTATAAAAGATTGCATATCACAAATGTGTGTACATTTGATAAAAATAATACAGAATGACTTTTGTCATATAAAATTTACTTGGTCGACTATTCAACTGTTGATCTTCTTGATTTTTACTCCGTGCTGGTCCAAGTGTCTCGAATATCGTCTGCATAGCTCCTACTCTTGGCAGAGTCACATTTTCAAGAATAGGCAAATTATTCTTTTTAGCATATTTTTGTGAAGTTTCCCGTCTCTTGCATAGGAAACCTCCTTCAGGGAAAAGAACCATCCATTTCCTTTCTCGTGGTATATAAGACTCTTTAAGATGTCTTTCTAATTGTTTTAAACTTTCTTCTCTTCGTTTACGACCCTGCAATTCAATGTACAGTGACTGAATCGCAAGTCCACTTACATAAAGTATATGTGTTTTAAGATATAACTTTATACTTACTGATACAATGAAAAAATCTTGATGCAATATAGAAACTATGCCGAAGTTAGTAAATTTGAACACTCTATCCATTATCCACATTAAATTAGGTAGAACATTCGGTTTAGCATTAAATGTTGTCATTAATATAGGAACATCACCAGTGCTCTGATGATTCGCTATAACCAATGTTCTTTCACTTATGATTTTTTGAATGTCATCCCCTTGCTCTATTACTGTAAAAAGATACATTTTGTATAGATCTATGTGGCAACTTATTCTTTTCTAATTTATATTTACATTATTTATACTTACTGTCATAACCTGCAGACCATGTCCACATTGACACCATTGCCAACAACCAGTGGAAAAATAGGCCTTCGATTCGCCAATATACTTGAGGTTGATATACTTTCACAGGAAATAATAGCATCATCCATACTACATATGTAGGTATGCAATAGACATTGTTTATTATCACAAATCCTGTCCGAGCAATACATTTCAATAAAGTCACTACGTTGTTGATTATCCTGGAAAATAAATATTGGTCAAAATTTCTTCTCAGTCCTTACTGATATTTTATATTATACAATTATAGTAACTAATATAAAATTTAGTAAATCTATTATTTGCTCAATCATGAAGTATAAATGATCATATTTAAACTTTAATAATCTATAATTAAATATTTTTGAAAATTTTTTAAATTATAAGTTATAACACATTTTCTTTATCAATTTTTTACTCAACTTTTTAAGAGAAAATAGCCTATCTTGTAAATATGGCATGATAGCAAGTTTATTAATTTGAAAATTGTTAAAATAATATCCAGGTTGACTGCCTGGCTTTGAAATGATTCATCAGAAAAAGAGAACGCTAATATAAGAAAGAAGTAATTTCAATTTAGAATGTTAATTTTCTTACTTTAGTATAAATAATTACAACCTCATATCCGCGATTCGATACAAACAATAGCTAATTTTGTAAGTATTTCCATTAATCAAGAGGAAAGCTTAAAAAATATTCTGAGGCAAACAATGCTTCATTGGTATACTTGTAAAGTAATGTACAATTTTATCTTTAATACTCCTATATGCACATTTTATATCAAGTACAACACTTATAGATCTGATTTTAAAGGCAAATATAGTTTTTCACTGAATATAATTGACATTGACCTAGAATTTTTATGTAAATAAGAAATAAAATATAATAAAATATACAATGCAATAGATAGCTAATAAGTATATATATAATACATAAGAATTATGAATATAGAAAATTTACATACTTATATATAATATAAATATATGATTTGCTTTTTGCTGTATTTTGCAGTATTTTATATATATATATATTCATATATATATATATATAAAATAACTAAAACTGAATATATATATATGAATATATATATATATATATTCAGTTTTAGTTATTTAAGGAAGCAACTCTCTTGTGTATTGTGTATGTATGTATATTGTGTGTATATTGTGTAATTATAGAATCATATATCCATAAATAATTATGGAGATGATTATAAATATGAGCATCAAATTATACAAATTAATGATAAACTAAATTTCTAATAATCTGTGAAAATGTTCAGTACAAAAAGAAACAATAACACGTAAAATGTTTAAAACAAAGTTGTATATATTGGACTACACTAAATGATGTGTTCTTTAATTTCTCTTCCACTTGTTTGCATTTGCATGCTTTCGCACGCATAAGGTTATAATCATACGTCATACTTTCTACGATCACGTATTAATTTTTACACGATAAATCAAAATTTCTTCTATTATTCGATGAGTTGTTAATAATAACTTTAGCAAACGTTATGTTCATAAAAGATCGTATGATTTAACTTTCATATGTCAAGGAATTTACCTGACAAGAGTAGAGGTGGTAGAAGATGTAGAGTCAGTCATTTTCGATAGCCACCATCCGCAAAAAATCGAGAAAGTTTTATACACTTTTTCTTCACCATAGCATCCCTCATGTGCAATTTACGTAATGAGAAATCATTATTCAGAATGACACGCAACTCCCGGAATTGTTTACACGTCAAGAACTACTGCAACGCCGACATAGATATTCCAGGCATTCAATGATCGCGCTCGATCTTCCGTTTTACCACTATGATCTTCTCGTGTCAACCTCGTAATTCGCCGATTATAGTGCGAAAACCCGATAAAAGTCAATAATTTACGAATTTTTCTTATTCACCGTCAATTAAACCTTAATGAGTCTCTTTCGTTGATGAAATATATCACTCATTGCTTTACTGTTGTCACTCTCAGTATGCAAAATTACTTCAGTGTACGTACGTAACTTACTGCAATGGCGGTCCAACTCGGTCCAATCCGCCGCGTTTCGGCTCATCTCGACTCAGTTCGATTGATACAATTAATAATTCATAGACCACAACGGTATGTGAAGCATTCATACTGCATCCAATGTCAGATGTTTGGTAGCCAATAGGAGAACTTAATTTTTAGTAACTTTAGTTCGAGACATCTTATATCTAGAAAACAATTTCTTCTATTGGATATCTGATGTAGGACTTTAATGCCATGTAGATCTCTTATTAAGGCCCAGTTCCACAACTTGCTTTAAACTCCGTTTAAAACAAGTTGTGGAACTAGGCCTAATACCTCGTCTACAATAGAAGTCGTAGAGTCGTAAGTCGTAGAAATTGACCAATCATAGTCCGGTAAGAGAAAAATAATCGACCGCGATTGGTCAGTTTGTACGACTTACGACTCTACGACTTCTATTGTAGACGTGGTATAAAGGTCATTCTACAATACGTGTAGTAAGTTGTAAGCCGTAAAAACTGACCAATTATAGCCGATTATTTTTGTAATAATCGACTGTGATTCGTCAATTCTTACGGCTTACAACTTACGACACGTATTGTAGAATGACCTTTAAGCGACGTCTACAATAGCAGTAAGCAGTAAGAAGTAAGCGTGAACAGTAAGAAATGGACCAACCACAGTTGATTATTTTTATCATAATCGACTGTGATTGGTTTATTTCTTACCGCTTACACTTACTTCTTACTGCTTACTGCCATTGTAGACGACGCTTTATACTCAGTGCAGTATACACCTGAGGTCCGTCTACAATGGGATTAAGAATATGCAGTAAAAAATAGACCACTCACGTCGATCAGTCGATTATTATAAGAATAATTGTTGATAATATTTAACGTTTAATGGCCTGTTGTTCCAATTTCTTGATAAGTTAACTAATAGTTAAATCATATGTTTGTTTTTATTTTTTCTTTAATTTAAACAAAAACAGACATATAATTTAAATATCAGTTAACTTACCAAAGAGTTCGGACAACCTGCCCTGAATTAGATATTTAACATTCAACATTTTTTAGTGAATCGGATGTAAATAATTTCAAAACCGATAACTAAAATTTTACGTATATACATTCGACTAGAATTGTTTGGATGTGAAAAATTTTCAGATTACTATGTTTGTTATAAAATAGTAATTTCATCCCTTTATTTTCATAAACATAATAAAAATGGAAATTTTGTGCGATTTTTATTAAAAGTACTTTTTATTCGTATTCCTGAGACAAAACATGAGACTTTTTGTCATTATCATATGTCGATATAGACATGGAGCAAACCTTTTGAAGTATTTTAAAATACCAGGGCACATTGTGTACTAGTATAATTCAGTGCCCCCCCCCCCGTATCTCTCTGTTGCTATATATTAGATTCTCATTTTATCCCCGCAGAGGTAGACGATTCGCTAAATAAGAGTCGAGTTGTTGTCAAAATCTTTATTGAAAACGTTGTCGCAGTTGAAAAAAATGACGCTAAACATACTGAAGTGTCGTGCTACTAATTGCGGCTTGCGTCAATTAAAAGAATTGTCAGTTTATTCAGCACTAAAATTATATTTGTCTACTTCAGCAGTTAAGATGTACAGTAAGGTATAAATTTTGTGATATTTTTCACAGACACATCTGGATTTTACATAATCAACTAATGTTTTTAATTAAGTTGTCGAGATAAAAATGCAACAATATAACATAGGAAGTAAAAATAATTCTTATGATTCTATCGTTACTCTCAATTCACAATAAATAATCTATGAAATTGTTAACAGAATGCAACTATAAGTGTTATTTGATAATAAAAAATTACATGTTATAGTATTAAAAACATAAAAGAATTAAGTATTTGACACATATAAATAATAGAATTGTACTTTATGTAGTACTTTAATGATGAGGATACACATTTATAGCTAAATTTGATCAAATGGTTTCTACATCAGCATTTTTTTACATATTCATGTTGAATCTTAAATGAGTATATCTGGTAGTATGTATCAAGTATTGCTCACATATTTTCTTATCACACAAGACCTTAGGCATTCCGACTTTTAGAGTCTTTCCTGCTAACATACTACCAGCTATACTTAGCATCTTACACAATTCTGATAATGGTAATATAATTTTTACTTTTGCATATATAATAATACAGTATTGTTAACTTTATATTAACATATATGCTCTATATTTTACTCTACATATTGCTGTTATATTTGTTGTTATGTTATTAATATAAAAATAACCATGTTGGATAACATATTGTACATATAGGATTGCGAAGGAAGCAAAGGTTACAGAATAGAAAGAGATACATTTGGAGAACTAAAAGTTCCAAGTGATAAATATTATGGTGCCCAAACTCTTCGATCAGTGATGAATTTTCCAATTGGTGATACATTCGAACGTATGCCTGTAAGGAATAATGGTACCTTAAATTTATATAAAATACATGCATTGCTTATCACATCAAATCTAATCAACACAGATTACTTTTACAGTATGGTGTGATAGTTGCTATGGGTATATTAAAAAAGGCTGCTGCAAAAGTAAATACAGAATATGGTTTGGATCCTAAAATTGCTGATGCCATTAGCAAAGCTGCAGATGATGTAATAAGTGGAAAGTTATATAACGATCACTTTCCCTTAGTTATTTGGCAAACTGGATCTGGCACACAAACCAATATGAATACCAATGAGGTTATTGTCTATATTAATTTCAATATTATAATATATTAAATTTATAATAGTTTACTAAGATAATGTATTAAAAATACTCAGGTTATTTCCAATCGTGCAATCGAGATACTTGGTGGTGAACTCGGCTCAAAGAAACCTGTGCATCCAAACGATCATGTTAATATGTCACAAAGTAGCAATGATACTTTTCCAACAGCTATGCATATATCTGTGGCCTTGGAAATCAACAAAGTTTTGCTACCAGGTTTAGAACAATTGCACAAAGCATTAAAGGAAAAGTCAGAAAAATGGAAGGATATTATAAAAATTGGTAGAACGCATACTCAAGATGCAGTCCCCCTGACATTGGGTCAAGAATTTTCAGGTTTATATCTGCAAGTTGCTTTTAAAGTTTGCATGTAATCTACATTCAAATATCGAATTTCCTTGCTCAGGGTATGCTATGCAGATCGAATATGGCATTAAGAGAGTGAAAGATACGCTACCGAGATTGTATCAATTAGCTCTCGGTGGTACAGCAGTCGGAACTGGATTAAATACACGAAAAGGCTTTGCGGAAAAAACAGCTGCAAAAATCGCTGAATTCACCAACTTACCATTTGTTACCGCTCCGAATAAATTCGAGGCTCTGGCTGCGCATGATGCGATAGTCGAAGTACACGGTGCTCTTAATACGGTGGCTGTTTCTATCATGAAGGTACAGACTTGAGTGTAATAGCTGTTGCAAAACCATGTCCTTTAATTGCCAATATTTTACTCATATCTTTTTTGTATAATTTGTGGAGGTGGCAAATGATATTAGATTCCTTGGAAGTGGACCGAGATGTGGTTTAGGAGAATTATCTCTTCCGGAGAATGAGCCTGGAAGTTCTATCATGCCTGGAAAAGTAAATCCTACGCAGTGTGAAGCAATCACTATGGTGTGCAGTCAAGTAATGGGCAACCATGTAGCGGTATCCGTTGGTGGCAGCAATGGACACTTTGAGCTGAACGTTTTTAAACCTGTTATGGTTGCCAACACTTTGAGATCCGCGAGGCTGTTAGGTGACGCCTGCAACGCGTTCACAAAGAATTGTGTTGCAGGCATTGAACCAAATATTGAAAATATAAAGAAGATAATGAATGAAAGTTTAATGCTTGTCACAGCATTAAATCCGCATATTGGTTATGACAAGGTATTGTATAACGTTTCTTTTTAGAACATAAATACGGGAGACATCGATATATTTATAAGTATATACTTCCATAATCGTTTCATAGGCTGCTGCAATAGCTAAACAAGCGCACAAAGAAAATCTGACACTGAAACAATCTGCACTGAAACATGGATTAACGGAGGAGCAATTCAATCAATGGGTTAAACCTGAACAAATGCTTGGTCCGAAATAATTTTCTTGTTGAAAAATGTTGAAACATGCAGTGTTATAAATGTAATATTCCGTAACATATTTGGTTTGTATTTATTGCCATCATCGTCTGATTTATATATATAAACATTTTTTAAATTAAAAATATTAACATTTTACCTTTAAATTTTTAGAATAAAAATAAATAAGACCGCTTGTTGGGTACGGGTACTTACAAGGATGATTGTAATTACATGTGTAGTGGATAATCATATGATGTGTTATTTAATTCTCTTTTTAAAGTTCTAATTATAAATTGATATAAATATATATAACATAAAATGCGAAGAAGAAGTTGAAATATATATTTGTTTTTTTATGCTTATAATTTGATCAAATAATTACGTTGATTATTAAATTTGCGAAATATTGAGATGTCAGAATATTGATATACAAGATATTTTATATATTTTGATCAATTGAAGTATCTTTGTTGTATTTGATGGTACGAAAGTCTAAAGAAAAAGTTGCACTGTTTAAAGGAGTAGTTATGATGATAAGTATATTCTATCTCAAAGTCATTTTTTCGAAAATTTTAAGATCAAGATCTTTTTTTAAGTAAAAATGAAATCAATTTTTTCAACGGTCTTACAGCCAGCATTGAATATATTTCAACAACAATATGAAGCATAAATTTTTTTATTTTTCTGAAGGGGAGAAAATTTCTTATTAAAGGTATCAAGTATTTACCCAAAGTCAAATTGATAAAGCCAAATTTTTATCTGAAATATTTTTTTCTAAAAAAAAGGCCTTAAGAAAAAATATATCATAACTACTCCCTTTGTCACACAGCAACTTTGTCTTTAGACTTTCGTATCATCAAATACAGAAATATTTCAGGTAGTCAAGATATATGAAACATTTTATACAATATATATTTTATGTACATGTGTATCACATATTGAAGAACGACACGAGTAGCATAAAATTTACATACTGGAAGTAAGCTATATGAGCATAGAAAGATTTTCTTATATAATCTCAAAATCTATCGTTGCATAATTCAACTTTGATATTTTGATTTTTGTTTGTTTTTTAAAAATGTTACGTAATCTTTGTTTCTCATAGATTTTGATACGACCACACGTATGAGCTAAACTCATTCATACGTTGTTTGCCTAATTTGCAATAACAAGTTCTACTTGAAGTAAATACCTTAAGTAATACCTGCACAATACGGTACGAAGCGTTGTAGAATAGCGATTCTACTTTGAAAAGTGGAACGCTGATAAACTTGAACAATTTAGCAGCTTATATGTAAGTTCTAAATGATGTTCCTTTGAATTATTTAGCAGTGCTATTGATTGATCGGCTGCAATTAATGATCTAAATAACAACGTCATTTCAACGGAATGAAAAGAAATTAATGAAATTAATGAAAAACAACCGTCGTCATTGCAATAACAAAGTTTCGTAATATTTTTATCAAAGAACTTGACATTATACATTATCAGGTGAATTTGAACATTTAATAATATCAGCTATAATGTATAAAAGTAATTACATGCCGAATATTATGTATCCGACGTACAAGTCACGTGTTCGCTGATAAGGACGTGACGCAATCATTTGCGAATTGATAGGGATTAATTACATGATAACACATGCATATTTAATCGAACAAATAGGAGAGGATAACGAGCCACACCAGGCGAGCCGATTGGTTTCTGGAGCCATTCCGATTTTCACTCCTTACCTCCTTGTTGCGCAACAACCTGTTCACACGTACACACTCGCACACACGACAGCATGCATGTTCACTCAAATCGACACGTCTCAAGAACTGAATAAAGTCATCGAGAGTAGCCAAGCAGCAACAAACCGGTCTATATGGAGTTATTCCAGGCAGTATACGTTTAGCCAGTAGATCGTCAACATCGTGTCGACGTGTTCTGCGATTCTAATACGTATTTCAATTCGACTATTCAAAGAAGAGAAAGATGAATTCGTCTGTATTGAGATCCGTCTTCCGAAATGTACGTGATTTATTAATATAACGTTTTTTTATTTTCTATAAAATCTACGTGAAACCCTCGCTCTCATCGTAAGGCATCTTATCTATGTTCACATTTACAACAATATTTGTCGTGTTATTGTCTGTTCTTCCAGTGATTATGTTATTTTTAATAACCGTTCGAGTTAATACATTGATAAAAAATACATAGCTCCAGTGCTTTTTTAATTAATTAATTAAGCAAGAGTATTAAACAGTGATAATATTCTAATTAAATTCGTTAAATAGTTTTTAAATTTTGTTACATTATGATAAAAATCGAGCACTCGAAAACGCGTGATACGTGTCTCACTCTCATCGTAAGGCATCTTATCTATATTCACATTTACAACAATATTTGTCGTGTTATTATCTGTTCTTTCGGTGATTATGTTATTTTTAATAACCGTTCGAGTTAATACATTGATAAAAAATACATAGCTTCCGTGCTTTTTTAATTAATTAATTAAACAAGAGTATTAAACAGTGATAATATTCTAATTAAATTCGTTAAATAGTTTTTAAATCTTGTTACATTATGATAAAAATCGAGCACTCGAAAACGCGTGATACGTGTCACTAATTTAAAATAATCGTGTTTAATCAACGTTTATCAAAAAGATTATCTTAAAACAATTTTTAGTTTAATATTTTTGATTTGTAAATTATTACCACATTAGCCTAAGTAAGCCTAATCCACTGATGACTGTAACAACCCGTAACTAATTGAACAGAAGCGAAATAAAATATGTTAAATGAAGAATATTCAATTCGATTTTCGGCGTCTTTCATTGGTAAGAGTGGAAACGTCAATTTGGATATTGCACGTAGTGAGCCGCATAAGAGATGATAAGGAATCGTCGCTTAAAGAAGAACACTTCTCATTTTTTATAAACTTCATTTTTGAAAAATGAAGAAGCCTACTGGGGATACCACTTAAAAAAAAAACGCGTCAACAATAGTACCTCATGGGTGACGTGGAAAACTATTGGAAACACGCTCCTGAGGTTCGAGCGGCTTGTAGGCAGCGCGCGGAGCGGCGAGATAAAGGGAATAGCGGTGGGCGGAGATAGTAAAAAATTGGCTGTCGCATGCGCATTTTGCCGAGCTTTCGGTTATCTCATATCTTCTTCCACTTTTTCCATACTTAAAGAAGTGTTTTATTTTCATGCGTACGTACACGCACATATACGTATCTTCATTTTAACTTTATAAAAAAAAGGGTTCTATAGGAATTTTTTATTCATTATTATAATTTTTGTATATTATTTATCGGTAACGATAAAACACACGAAATTCTTAAAATAATTTTGTAAAAAAACCGAATAGTAATAGATCGTGTTTAATCAATGTTTTTATTATATTACGTATTCTTCATTAATCTTGGGAGTTTAAAGACTGTATTCCATACACGTTCGTCGATAACTTTGTCGATTCGATATGAGTTATTGCGCAACAATATTATGGTATAATTATACCTATTGGCAACATTTATCAGGCGAAAGTCATGTACATATGCGATAGGTGTGTATGGAATAATAAAGAAAGAAACCGAATTGTTTAATTCTCTATATTAACCTTTTATAAGAAATCTTTTAAATTATATTTAACAAAATGCTATATACATATTTAGGCTTAAAATAATGACACAAAATTTACATTACCGCATATGATAAACGAACAATCAATCATATGCGTTATCAAAACAAAATATCACTTTTAATTTTAAAAAGATCAATCCTTCGATATCTTTTCCACCAGATATTAATTAATAGCGAAAATACCACCTGTGTTTTGGCTCTTGATATATTTTTTTTAAACGACCTGTAGCAAGTCTCTTGTCGTTACTATATTACTGACAAATTGCCGTATGGAATTGAACGCCTCTCGTGTGCTACGTTTAAATTCTTAAGGTTAAATAACTGATAGTAGCACATGACAAGTCAGAGTCATCAATGTTCTGCATATGCGTACACGTCAGTTACATAAAAACAACTTACATAAAACAATATATATATGTGTGTATGTGTGTAAATATATATATATATATATTGATGCATTTTTTCTCCGATATATAAAGAACGAAATTACTCTATAAATAATATTATATATTAATATAATTATAATAATGTATAATATAATTATAGTAACATTTTTCATCATGCAGTTAACAGATATGTATTGTGTAAATGTAGCATGGAGAAGTAACAAAAAAATTATATATACATATATATATATATAATTTCAATTTTCTTACAGATATCACAGAAATCACTAACGCAAACACGTAAAATACATTTATGTGCATCAAGGCTCCAACACTATCCATTGACCGAATTTTCGGAAGATGAACTTATGATGAAAGAGAGTGGTAAGCATCAAGTTTTCATCTATCGAAATTTCGCCGTAAAATCCCGTATAGCACACTTGCAAATTTTTTGTTTGTTAATTATGTAGCCTATTTTCACTAATTGATGAATATAACATACATTTTTTTCTTCTCCGTTCTCAGTCACTAAACTAGCTAAGGAAGAAATCACCCCACTTGTACGGAAAATGGAGAAAGAGCAGAAAATAGACGACGGCCTTCTGAAGATGCTTTTTGACAATGGCGTAAGTACCGAATAATTTCAACAAATAATTTTGATTTCCCGAATTTTCGGGAAAAATGTACTTATACGATCAACGGATTTCGTTCAAAGACTGTCAAGAAAATTAATCTTCGCTCGTGGCTTAGTATATTATAAATTTCCATGATGAAAGATATTCCAGCTTTATCCGATTGAAAATAAATGATATGCTTATCAAACCATAATGATTACGCGCGTTTATTGCACAAATGTGATATGTATTATTGTCATCATTGACTCATTTGACCCATAAAATAAAAAGGAGCGGTGTGTTTACTCATTAAAACCGTAAAGATAAAATATTTTTTCCTCTATTTACCCCACATCGTATGTTACATTTTTAACGATGTTATCTTTGGATTTTCTAGTCATATGGAATCAATATGTTTCAATATAATTCCAATAAGGACAATATTTGAATAAAAAACAAAAACATAAAAAAGACTTTAACCTTCTTGAAAACAACCTATCGTTAGAATTTCTTGTCAATAATACGGCAATTTTTGTTAATAATAATTCCGCAAAATATTGAATAATAAGTCCACTTTACGACATAACAGCTCAAGTCTTTTGACGCAAGCTTCTTTCAATTAATCGTTACTCTACGAATATGTCACGCATGACCAACATGGTCGTTCGCTCGTATACAGAGTAAGAAAAAAAAAAGAGAAGGGAGAAGACAAATAAAAGATATAAAATCAAAAACAAATACAAAATAGAAGATTATACAATATATTCTATATAAAGTCTATCTATATTAATGTCTATATTTTTTTCATAAATGCGAATAAATTAATAAAATAAACGTATTAAAGAATATGTTATTATAATGTTTAAATCTTCTGGTTTTGTTATTCTCAGTTTATGGGGCTCGAAATTCCAACAGATTACGGCGGCACTGGAAGCAATTTCATGAGCACAATTCTAACTGTTGAAGAAGTGGCGAAGGTCGACGGAGCTGTAGCCGCTCTCGTAGACATACATAACACTTTGGTGAACTCGTTGATCATTAAGGTCGCCTCCGAAGAACAGAAACGAAAATATCTACCTAAATTAGCACAACAATGCGTGAGTTATCATGCGTACAATACATCGACAGATTTCCAGGAACAATTTAAATCTATAATATGCATACCACGTAAATAACTCTTCTAGGCTGGTAGCTTTTGTCTGACGGAACCTGGCTCGGGTTCGGATGCATTTGCTCTCAAGACCGTAGCGAAAAAGGACGGCAGTGATTATGTGATAAACGGTACGAAAATGTGGATTTCGAATTCCGACATCGCGGGAATTTTCCTTGTTTTCGCTAATGCAGATACTAATGCGGTAAATATATTCTTGCGTATATTATTTATTTGCCTATCTACAAAAAATGGAATAAAGGAAAAGAAATTTGTGTGTATATAATTTTTTTTTCACTTAAAAATTTAAAGTAGATAATTTTAACATCTTGATTATATATCATATTAATCGATATTAAGGAACACTTCCCTCGACGCAATTTTATATTAATGTGTTACTTTAATATGCTAATTAATTTATGTTTATTATTCAGCAAAATTCACAATAAAAACTTATACTCATGAAGAAAATATATATTCAGTTGACGTTTGGAACAAAGAATTCGTTTTGCATGTCTACTTGAGATAATTCGTATTTAGCAATCAGTATATGTTAATACGTATTTATATTGATTTCCTTATAAAAAAAAAATTTTAAGAATTCTCACTTCCAATTCTCTTTTTAAAAAATACGGAAACGTGTATAGATGAAAAACAAAATATTAGTGTCAGTATAAGTGAAATAAAATTCGTTAGAGTAAATAAAAGTTGACGCAAGAGATGGCAATATCAGCTTTTCAATATATTCAATATGTTACAGGGATATCGCGGCATTACAACATTCTTCGTAGAACGCGATACGCCTGGTATGACGGTAGCTAAGCCCGAAGATAAGTTGGGTATCAAGGCATCCGGAACTTGTATGGTCCACTTCGACAATGTCAGAGTATGCGTGCCAAATATGCAACAACAATTTTATGTTTTACTAGATAGTTTTACTACACGAACGCATAAAATCAAAACGACTTCTTTAATCTTATTTCCTCCACATAATTTTTGTTTGCTCTTTTCTATTTCCTAGGTACCCGAAAGTAATATTTTGGGTCAGTTTGGACACGGCTACAAATACGCAGCTGGATTTTTGAATGAGGGTAGAGTTGGTATAGGAGCTCAAATGATCGGTATAGCGCAAGGATGCTTGGACGCGACTATACCGTACACACTGGAGAGGAAACAATTTGGAAAAGACATTTTCTCATTTCAGGTGTAATATACGTGTAGATCTGTTTATTATTCTCTGATAAACTCCCACATGAATTCTCTTATCTGAGAAATAACTTCTATTTTCAGTCGATGCAACATCAAATAGCTCAGGCGGTAACCGATGTAGAATGTGCTAGGTTGCTGGTTTACAATGCAGCTAGGCTGGTGGACGCTAAGAAGGATGTTATGAAAGAAGCAGCTATGGCCAAGTTAATCGCATCCGGTATATTATTGTTTCCATTAATCTGTTTTCTTATAAATTTAAGACTGATAGCTAACACACATACGTTGCACATATACAGAGACTGCACTGCGTGTCACTGCTAAGTGCATAGATTTCATGGGTGGTGTCGGATTTACGACAGATTTTCCTCAAGAGAAGTTCTTCAGAGATGCGAAAATCGGCACTATATACGAGGGTACGAGTAATATGCAGCTATCAACGATTGCAAAGTGCATACGCAAGCAGTACTCGTAATAATCTCGACAACGATCAGTATGAGTTTTTCTAAACTTGTGATTTGTATAGCTTATATAACGTATTATAAGAGATAAAGTACATATACCATTGTTTCAAAAGTATATTTTGTACTTTTATACGATTCGAGGTTCAAAAAAACGCATTTATTATAATCATGGTATATGTACAACTTGGTTTAAGAGCACAAGAGATACACAGAGACATGTTAAGAAATAAATTCGATTTTCATGATATATCTTCTTACGATTACTTTTTGGATTTTTGCAGAAATCAAGTCAATGAATAAACAAATAACGAATAATACGGAATATTCGTGAATTGATAATATTTTAAACATTCCTATGTATATTTCCATTTCTACTTCTAAGTTTTACTTTTGACTTTACTTTGGATCATGAGGTAATTTAAAACCCACGAGGTCCGCAGTTTCTTTTATACTACGTTCGCCTTTACCAGCATATTGTTTGTAAATATCTTTACATGCTTGCTGAGATTTTAAGTAACAAATATATATTTCCGCTAAATTCTTCAATTCCTCTCTTGCTTTGCACAACACTTCAGATGTTTCTTTGTGAGCATGTGCCTGTTCCATAATGTATTGTAACATGGCATTATCCTTCGTACTCTTATTTTGCGAGACTCGACGGAGTTGTTGCACAAGAGAACGTACAATTTGAATATTATTATTCATTGTTGTATATTTTATCTAAAAGAGCAAGAGAGATCATTAATGCAATTGTCCATAGGAAATCATCATATTTTGTACTAGAAGTCACATGGAGATAATTACAATATCTTTAATATTATTTACCACAGTGTCGCCGTTCTAATAAATTCTACTTCATCTGTCAAATATCGAGGTTCCTCTCTAGAGTCCCAGAAATCTGGCGGTATCTTAAGCAAGTCTTGCTTAGTAAAGATATGAATGTTAAGGTCGTTGAAAACTTCCTCGTGTACGAAGGAATTTTCCAATTGAAGCTCTGTAACATAAGGCCGAATGCGCAGCATGTAACCCGCTGTGTCCAATATGATTCTACGCGAGCAACTGTTGATTATCCTCGAGAAACTATTGGCAAATAGAATGCAGTTGCTCAAGCCATCTCCCCAGTTAGCATAGAGGAAATTATTCATCAGTTGCCTGGAGCAATGTGGCATGTATACAAGAGTCGTAGTTTCATCTCGGACGATGCGTTTGCCTTCTTCGTTTGTTTCTATAATCTCTAAACCCAAAGCACGCAGCACTAGCACCTCCTGGGGATTAAAGATCGGGTCGTATATATACACGCGAGCATCATATCGCTCCTTCAGGTACAGCAGAAGCGCCAATTGATATCTCGACGACCTGTGTTGAGAAAATCGTCCTAACCCGTAGCAGACTATCTCGGAAATACCATTAGAGTTTAGAATAGTCAATGATTCCGTCAGCCGACTAAGAACGAGCTTGGCGAACGACGTGTCTCTGATCTTGACTAACGTGCCGTCTAACGTGCTGAAAATCGTTGTAAAAGTAGAGAAAAACGCATTGCCATTAAGTTATATCATACCAGATTATAGGTTAACCAGCGAACTCGTAGCTTCGCCGTCATTAAACGAGATGATTGTGCGACGACTTACCGAAGGAGGTAATAATAATAAGAAGAGTCGTGATCGACTTCGCAACCCTCCCAAGCCTGAGTAAGGGTCTCCGCTCCTCTGCTGAAATTTCTCCTTCCGTTGCAGCGTTTTCTTCGACGATTCACAAGCACAAAGTCGCTCATACTCAGCATGATGTTCCGCCATTCGATGTCATTGAAATTATTTATTCAACCGTGCGTCAGATGGTGCCACTATCTGCGATCGCTCCGCGAGCGGTATAAAAGTTAATTTTAATTTATAGAATTTTCTCAATCGACTATACTCCGGAGGTTTTATAATCGCGTGTCCTTGTATGCACGCGCGCACTGTAAATTAGGAGCTAATATTGTCATATTTTATCTTTTTATCGCTATGAAGACAATAGTAATGTACAGTCGCGTGCGATAATAGTCACGCTGCGCAAATACTCACGAGGCAATCTCGAAACGCGCGTGCGAGTCACCGATATTTTTCATTGTTTTTTCTCTTCTTTCATCAAATCGAGCAACTGACTCGAAATATTAACCGTATAAAGCGCGAAAATGCTGCTCAGATGTTACAATAAATAGACCGATCGCCGAGTGTAAGCATGGGAAATGCGATTAATGTATCTGCCTGTACATACTCGACATACTCGACGTATTTCTCTATCTATGAACATTTGTCCCGCTGATGTATATATGTCGCGTGTCGTATGCTCAAAAACCTCAACAATGGGAAGTCCCGTTAAAATTAAACGCAACGTAACCGACGCACAGTATCTGCTCGACGGTCTAAACAAGCGGACGACGATCAACAGCGCGGAAAAGTGTCGTGTGGCGTCTCATATGCGAAGACATCGGTTCTCGTTCAGGGTCGCTAAACTGGTCACGTCTCATACGTATAATGCGTACGGGATTACGGCGATGGTGCAAGGTAGTGGAAATGAGTCATTCGCTGCTATGCTCGCTACGACCCATCGCGTATAATCGAGCAAATAAGTCGCAATCGTGCCGCGCTGAAGACCGCCAACGACTGGCTTCAGCCGCACGGACGTTAATCGATAGAGTAAAGTTTCTGTAGAAATTCTCACATTTTTCCCGCAGTCTTGCGAAGCCGGCCGTTACAGTGACTCCTCCGGAAGTTTACTTAATCGCGTTCCCAACGTATTCTTTATTCCGTTCCTTGAATTCCGCCGCCATCGCCGCCGCCGAGGCCCTACATTTGAAATCGTCCTTTACGCGCGTGCAGTGAAACAAATATTTGACCACGAAAAATTTCGACTCGCGCGATTTTGCCTCCGTGACGAGGTACGGCCGACCGAAGCGAAGAGCTCGTGAAGCGTCAGAAAATGTAATACACACACACACACACACACACACACACAACTTGGATCCTCACGTTTCCCTTACAAGCGCCTTATTAGCGCCTCGTGAATTTCGTTATTGAATATTTCCAATTGCAAGTAATTGTGCGGAGAACTCGCGTGCGCGCAGAGAACGCCCGCGCCTTCGCAATAAGCGACGGTGTCGAGTGTCACACAGAGTGATATAACTCATGTATTCAATTTCAATATGTACAGTGTGCGTGGTAGAAGTATTCTCTGAAATAGCGTTTCCTCTAAGCTAACCCGATGCGCCATGCACATATTTATTTTTGCCCACTGAACGAGCGTCGAATCGTTAGGCCTTGCGATATCTTCGACGTCCCCGTAAATCTCGCATGCCGAACTACATACATACTGACTGGTCTTTGACGGTACATATGTAACTATGCTAAAATGTCGCTCAATTGTCGAATAAGACAAGGTGCAGCAGGTGTGTATCGCGGTATCGCGGCTCGGCATCCGATTAATCGCTTAATGTAATGTCGCGCGCCGATTATCACGATGTCCGTCGTCTCAAGAACGAACAGATGGACCTCGAGGCTAGTCATTGCACTGCAGCTGGTCACCTGGAGTACAGTCAGTATAATTCTACTCCAGAAGGGCGTGAGTTCCTTGCAGAGGAGGAAGCTAGAAGCCAGCCATGTTACCGAGGTAATCGACACCCGCGATCGGATCCTTTTACTCACGCGTGTTTCTTTTCGCGCGCACGAACGTAACGATCGAACGAGCGGCTCTCGGGAGGCAGATCGATCGGATCAATTAGGTTTGAATTGGAATTACTCTTTCGTAGGCGAATCCATCGATTGATGGGCTGAGCGCCGAATCCAGCACCGTGTCGTCCGCAAAAGCCAGTGAAAACAAGACGAGACAATCAGTCGATGAGATCGCAAAGCTGATCATCCGGTTCAACTCGGAATTGGCACGGCGAAATAACCGTTCCGGATTGAATATAATTAAGAACGAGTTGGGAGACGAGTTTAAATTCGTGTCAGAAGGACGACGACCCGTGTCCTTGCCGAACTCTCTCGAGATTTCGACGACTGATCAGGATACGTTGAGCTCCTCGCTAATGGGAAACCGTTTATTGGACGAGCGTGATCCTGACGGCAAAAGCATATCGAGCAGAATTCTGAGAATTCACGATAAAATCATCAGCCATGAAATTTCGAGAAATCGCGCGGAGGAAAACATCGCGAGTTCAGAGAAATCCATTTCGCAATCGATCTCGAAGGAGGAAAGAAATCGCCACCAGAAAAAAGAAGATAACGATTTTGCAGAGAATATATCGCCATCTACGTTATCATCCACTCGAGAAAAACTTGACGACCAGGTGCCAACGTTGGATTCTCTTTGGAGGACGAAAGAGGACGCACGATTTTCGCATCGCGTAAGCTCCAGCGGAGCCGCGATGGCCGTCGTTATGGTAGTAATCGGGACCATCATGTTATTGTTGGGACCGGCTGTAATCGTTTTGCGACTTTTGGATGAAAGAAGAGCGAGGAAATTACAAAATGAACTATCCGACGATACTGCGTGGCAAGAGGACTTGCCACCGGCGTATGAACAAGTCGTTTTGATGGACGAGGAAGCTCCGAGATATTCGACGTTAGTTTTCAGCGGTCTGGTTAGCGATGATGTACACTTGTCGTCGTCTTCGTCGACGCTTTCGCCTTCGCCTTCGCCTTCGCCTTCGCCTTCGCCTTCGCCTTCGCCTTCGCCTTCGTCTTCACCTTCACCTTCGCCTTCACCTTCGTCGCCTTTCTCATCTGCTTATGGTTCTTCCCTGGACATTTCTGAGATAAAGATACATTCTCATAGATGATGTATCTCTGATCTGCTGCATCACGTTGCTACAGGATGAAAGACATCCTTTTGTAGCTTTTTTATACGATATAAATAGTTCGTCCTGACTTTATAATTTTAATATTATTTTATCATAGCTGTTTATATGATCATGCATCTTTGAGGCTTCATCTGAGAAAAAAGAAAAAGATTTGTATTGAATTGTCAACTGATTAAGTATTACAGATAAAGTATAATTTTATACTTCCTAAGTTAAAAATTATATCTAACTTTTGTACAGTAAACATACAATTAAGAATTTCAAGATATTTTTATATAGTCCGCATGAATCTTACGAATACGAATATGTATTTAAAAAAATGTATAATTAGCGTTGCAGGGTTAAAAATATTCATTAAGCTATTAATATTAACATTTTTTAGTGTAAAGATATTATCAAATGCCGGCAACTCTAGTCCGCATTGGAATAAGAGATGCGAAAGGAAGATTTATATACTTTTTATTTTTTAACTTATAGATTTACGTTGGCGCGATATTCTTACGATCATATGAATATTAAAATAAAGTTTTAATAGAATATATATGTGTGTTAATATTAATATAATTGTAATTATTTCTCATTTATAATCTAATAAAAATAATGTAATTACTATTATTTAAATTATACATATTCTACACACGCGCACGCGCGATACGAAACAGCAGTAAATGAAAATCGAATACAATCGCACCGTCTCGCATCGAACGATATAATGCAGTCGATCCATCCAAGATGGTGCTGGAAAGTACTATGATATGGTAAGTCCCACGTTTTATAATATTTTCTACCTTTGGATCGACTTTTGCGCTCTTTTTATTAATCGTGTGGTATTCACTTGTTATAAATAAAAAATTCCAATGGAAATTTCTACGTTGATTTAATTCTATACGTGCGAAATTGTTTAAACTGTAGTTTTGAGGTTAACGTAATGACAATGACATGACAATCTTACATGTAAACTGAAAACATTCATATCGCCAGACGATCTCGGACAACAGTTATTATTGTTATATATCTGAACTAATAATGTATGATTGTAACTCTGCAGCGTCGATAATAGCGATTACATGAGAAATGGGGATTTTGTGCCTACACGCTTGCAAGCACAGCAAGATGCTGTCAACTTGGTGTGTCACTCCAAAACCCGTTCAAATCCGGAGAACAATGTCGGTCTTATAACGCTCGCTAAGTACGTTGTTAATTACGAAAACACACAATTAGTAATAATTCTGATACTGGTGACTCTCTAACATACAAAGGAACTTCTAATAAGTTAAATCTAAATAGCTTCCTGATATTTATAGTGTTGAAGTATTGGCAACACTCACGAGCGATGTCGGCCGAATATTGTCAAAGCTTCATCAGGTTCAACCGAATGGAAAATTGGCTCTTGTTACAGGCATTAGAATTGCTCATGTAAGTATATATTAGTTTAATTTTGTAAGAACATCTAAGTAAACTTTTATTGACATTTGTAAAATTTAGTTAGCTTTGAAACATCGACAAGGCAAGAATCATAAAATGCGTATCGTTGCATTTATTGGGAGTCCAATAGAGATTGATGAGAAGGAACTGGTAAAATTAGCAAAGCGCTTGAAGAAGGAAAAAGTAAATGTTGACGTTATAAGCTTTGGTGAAGAAAGCATCAATAATGAAGTATTGACAGCCTTTGTGAATGCATTGAATGGCAAAGATGGTACTGGAAGTCATCTTGTCACTGTTCCACCAGGACCGCATCTGTCAGATGCTCTTATTTCCTCTCCGATAATCCAAGGTGAAGATGGAATGGGTGCAGCTGGTATGGGTGGTGCCGCATTTGAATTTGGTGTTGATCCAAATGAAGATCCTGAGCTTGCATTGGTTGGTAGTTAGGTTTAATATTTTATTGTCTTCCTTTTCTTTTATAGGGATAATGATTTCATATACAATTTATAGGCATTACGAGTTTCTATGGAAGAACAACGGCAACGGCAAGAGGACGAAGCGCGTCGTGCGCAGGCGAATGACACTACTGTGAATAAGCAGCCGGAAACAATAAAAGAAGCTCCCAATGAGGAAGCCATGCTGAAGCGTGCGCTCGCTATGTCTCTTGAAGGAGCTGACGACTCAGCTGCCACCACTGATACCACTGCTCCCTGCAGGGCGAATGTACCGGACTTCACTAATATGACCGAAGAAGAACAAATTGCTTTCGCAATGCAAATGTCTATGCAGGATCAGCGTAAGTTTTTGGTCAATTAATTCGGTAATATTTTCATCGTGTTTATGTGTATGTATGTGTAATATAAACTCATGATTACTTGTAATTTCTGATTATTATTATCCTGTAGAGGAACTCGAGTCACAAAAGGAAGAAGCAATGGATGTAGAAGAAGATTATGCAGCTGTTATGTCTAACCTCTCTGACCCTGCCTTTCTACAATCTGTTCTGGAAAACTTGCCAGGTGTAGATCCGCACTCCGAAGCTGTGCGCCAAGCTGTTGGGTCGTTACAGCAAAATAAAGATAAAGAAAAGGAGAAGGAGAAAGACAAAGACAAAGAGAAAAAATAAACAGCATTTTTTAGTTCTTTCATATTTACAATAATGTCATTTGATATTTTCCATTATTATGTATAATATTGTAGCTAATTTGTCCTGCTAATAAAATATATTATCAATTTCTCGAAACTAAACTTTTGTGTTAGAATAATTGGATAAACGTGCATAATGATAATTACATGGTTCTACTACATCGTGTATTGGTCAGATGTTTGAAAGAATTTAGTTGAAGTAAATTGAATAATTTAAAGTGCTTTTAAGCTTAACAAACAAAATATGTATATATTTTTTTGTAAATCCCGCGCTGTCTAATGTAGGACATTTTAATGTCCAATGGAAAAGCTCGTTTCCTAGGAACTCTTGTTGGCGAAATCTGTAGTAAATTTTTATGTTGTATAACGAATGTTGCATACCTGATCGTAGTTAGAACGATTGCGCATCTTGTCGTTTTGGAACCGACGCAAATCGAGGACAATTGTAATTGTTCTATTTCGAAGGTATGTGTTGTACAAAAGAAATGGACAAATTACGTAACTATGTAATTGTAAATTCAATATTACTTTGACAACTTTTTTTTATTTTGATTACAGTCTATCGGTTTTCGTTCCGACGAGTGAATTGCACATGCTCGCTACAAGATTTGAATTGACAAAATGGCGCCGCGAAGGAAAAACTTTCAAACGTTACGCCGTTCATTAAATGACGCTTGTTACAAGGAGAACAATTATTTGTGTTGCCTGAATGACTATCAAACGAGAGTTCGTCGGCGAGAGAGTATCAGAAACTCAAGGATTCATGTGGTAAGTCGTTTTAACGAATTTCCTAATTCGGTGTTAAAGTCCGTTGACACGCCTTTAATATTACTTTGTATTTTGACTTATTAAGAGTTTCTTGGTTTATCTTATTCGACAATTATTTATAAGCACATGCACAGCTATGTTTCACAGGTTTCGTCATCTATTAGAATATGACATATGGAATCAAGCTATTATATAGGTTATGCCTGGCAACTATGATAAATACATGAGTATTGTGATTTAAATGTTTGCCTGTCATGAAAAATTATAACGTCAAATTATACAACGTAAATTATATAATATAATATTGCAGAATCATTCATGTAAATTTATAAAATCTAAAACTTTTCATTTATATAGGAAACAAACAAATATATTATATATGCCATTTGTTCTCTCCTATGTAATAATTTTACAAAGTATACCTTAATAGAGGCTTTTTATACATATTCTTTCAAATCGTTGTATAATACTGTATGTGTAAATAATTATAAGTGATTGATTATACGCCTGTCATCTCATCATCAGTAAGAACAGCGAAACTATACATTGTGTATTGCCTGTAAGAAATATATCTTGAATATCACTGAGAGCGCATAGAGTTACTTTATATGGAACCACATATTCCATCTCATTTATGATCAATTATACATATTCCAAACGTCAACATTGTGACATACTATATTAACATTGAATACTTTAGCTTCGAGCATTTGGATATTCATATTCTAATACATGTATATTTATTGAATATATACCCTGGTAGCATATGTTCTCCTGGGGACGTCCTAAGGACCTCATCCTGAGGATGAAGAAACATCCCCAGGATGTCCTCAAGACGTACTCTGAACATCCTCTGGACATCTGTGCTATTAGGGATATGATTTATCGACAGGGAGTACACAGTGAGATATAATGGCAAAGATATACAATTATCTGCAATTTGTTATGATTTGAACTTTAGGATTAGAAAATGAATGATAATAACACATAAATTAGCATAACAATGAAACGAATAGATGCACAGATGCTGATAATTTGGTAACACGCCCGGGAGTACGCGCGTGCGTGCACACGTACAATCGTCTCCTAGATAATTTGACGATAATTAATCTACTGTGCACAACTAAATGTAAGAGTCCACAGCGGATGCCCACAGCGTAGGCGATTCCCCCGGTGCTCTGCTCTCTTATCCGCGCTATATCCAATCTATTGTCGGTTAGGACGCCGGTGGTTCTCCCCTCTCCGGCACTGTGCATGTGGTGCGTGATGCGTGATGCGTGGTGCGTCCTGTTGATGCTTACACAGTCGAATGATCGAGCGTCATTCAGTATTAGTCGAGTGCTTCCCGGGTGAACGGCGGCGTGTCTTTCTCATTTTTCTTCCTCTCGCGGCTAAGAGCACCGGCGTCCTCCTCGAGTTCCGCTGCTACTTCAGCTTCTTTAAGACTCGACCATTCGTCGTATCTAGTCCGATCTAGTCGCCAGCGATCTTAACAAATCGCAATTCCAATCATACACCGATATATACCTGGTTTCGCCCTGTCTTTCACGATCCTGCGAGACCACCGAACCACACATGGGGCAGAAGATGAAGATATTGCCGAATCGCAAGTATCAACGGCCATCCGCAAGGGACGTTTTCCGTCGACGATGGTGAATCATGAGACACGATTGGGCGTCGACTATCGCTACGGAAACGGAAAAGGAGGAAATTTAGCGGAGCAAGGCGAGCAAGGCGAACGAGTAAAGTATTTGGAGAATCGAGAGGCGAGCGGGAGACAGCTCGCGCCTCTTATTTGTTGTCGTATCGTGCGGAGGCGCGGTATCGCGTCACTGCTTATTTTACAGCTAACGAAAATACGTAGGACGATCGTCCCGAGCGCCTGTTCACGCTGTGTGTGTACACAATCGACGAAATTCTATTATCGGTGTGGTGTTGCGCGACGCTTTTCCCGCGTGAATAACGAAAAAAAAAATATCGAGAAAGTTCTACAATGTGACAACAACATCTCTCGTCACTTTATCGGAAATTCGCGTTCGAGAGCTCGAAGCTTGTTGCCGTTGTGCAGAAAATCTTGAAGGAGGAAAGAGGAACTCTGTGACTCGACTGACCACCTTGACTCGAATTCCTCGCGGGAGTGAGGATCAGAGAGGACAACCTCCGTTTACTCTCTCGCTGGCTCTTGGAGGACTCGGGCCAAGGTTCCCAGAGGAAAAAGCGACTCGTACCAAATTCGTGTTTGCCAAGCACGTCATGATATTCTGCGCGAAATTTCGCGCTCGGAGAAGCTAACGACAAAAGATCGAGCGACGTGTGACCTGTAACGATGCGTGTCCCGAGGCACGATCTCGAGTTGTCGGAGTCGGAGTAACTTCTTACACGACAACGAGGACGATGTAAATCGGCCGACGAGCGACGACGTTTATTCGAGAACACGAACAAACACAGAGAAGAGAAGAGAAAAATGAACTCCTGCTTCCCGCACTTGGCGATACTGAATCCACGAAATGCGAACAAGCCGAGAGATCGGCTCAACGACGTCGGGTGCAACGTCGTAAACGCCGAGGACGTTCGGACGCGGCGTTCAAGGAGCCCGACGCTCGCGGGCAAGAACGATGTCTTTCAGGACTTGGATCTGTATTACGTGCGGCAGATCGCGCGAAACTCGAAGGTATGGCGGGATTCGACACGAATTTTCCGGGGGAACAGCTGCTCCGTTTAATTGCGTGCGTACGTGCGTGAGGCCACGGAGCTCTACGCAGCACGTTTCACGGAAGCTGTGTCCAAGTTTCCTCGCGAGAGTCGTTCGTATTTTTAGAAGCCGTCGTGCGTGTGATATCCCGTCGGTCGGTCGGTCGGTCGGTCGGCCGGTCGAACGGACGGACGGACGGACAAATGGCAATGTCAAACGAATTTGAAATTTTGCCCGAGCGTAACGCGGATCTCGAGTGAGAGATTCGCTTGTGCGTCGGTCTATCGGAATCCCGGCGGAAACTCCGCCGCAACGTATCGCGATAATCTAGTGGGTTTATCGCTTACGTCGGAAGTATCGCAATTGTACCTTTGGCTATTTTCAGTCATACGTTTCAATGTTATTTTTATCAGCAGATGCTTCGAAGAAGATAATACACACTGTGTATCCCCCATATAGTTCGGCATTTATTCGATATTTTATCGCGTCGTGCAATCGTGGGTGAAGAAATCCTTCGAGACGGGAGAACGGAGATAAATAATGTTCTTAAGAGGTTCCATGCAGTTGCGATACTTTCCATCGGCCCCGTCGACGCGACCCACGCGCGTTCTCGTATCGTTTTATTAAAATGTAGCGTTTTATGGTCGCGAGACTGGCCCGTGTACGAGAGAGAGACGGTACACGCCGCGAGGACGTCGCGGGCATTAGGCGCGGAGAAGAGAGTGGTTGTTGCGTTCGCGGCTCTTGGCAGAAGATTTACGCGAGAAAGGAAGACGCGGGAGACGCGCGCGTCGCAGCGTCGTCGCTTGCGGTGACCATTGCAGGCACAACTGCAGCGCGGGGTATTGGATTTCTACCGACTATTTTCGGCGAAGACAAGCCTGTCGGGAAAGTGGTGGCAACGCGAGAGAAAGTGATATTGAGGGGGAACACACGTAGGAACGAAGGACACAGAGCGAAGCGCGACAGAGCTCTCTTCGAAGAGGGAACAAAACAACGAGACGCGTGGACACGAAGAAAACGAAGAAACGAGACGGCGGCCGCGATGCGGCGAGAGACGTAGACGCGCGGAGCGCGTATCTAGTTAATATTTAACGTAACGCGCGTGTCGCGTGCATGCGTACAGCGTAATAATATAGGGTGAAGGGAAAGGTTGGGACATATGTACGGACAGCGCGAGAGAGAGAGAGAGAGAAAGAGAGAGAGAGAGAGAGAGAGAGAGAGAGAGAGAGAGAGAGAGAGAGAGAGAGAGAGAGAGGACAGCTCGCGTATTGTTGCTACATCGCGCGCGCTCGCTCACGTGAACTCGTTTGTCACACAGAGCGCGCGCATCAACGAGTTCCATCAAGACTCGTTTACGGCACTGGCCACCGAGGTCAGGGATTAAATGTGGACGCGCTTACCCTTGCGTCGTTGCAAAATTCCTAGTCGGAGTACACATGTGTATCACACACGTGATGCCTATGATGTATTCCTGATAGACCGCGCCGAGCCGCGAGCGACGAGTCACGCCGGCGGGCGAGGATGCGTCGCGCGTTAACGGAATACGAAATTGCTCAATGCGTGCCGATGATTCATCTCTCTTCATTATTGATTTCACTGATGCGTCCGTTTATTTCCGGATCGCACGCGTCACTGGAATATTACGGAAATTAATGGACTCCTCAGGGCTCGGCGACCGCGCGCGGCAACCTCACGAGGAACCTCCGCGACGCTCCTCTCACCCGGAGATGTGTATTAATAATTTCGCTTGAATCGCTTCATCCTGTGCGAGCGCGTTTGACTCTTTTTCTCATCCTCGCCACCGAAAGTTACACGGGAACGGGTAACTTGTCGGATCGAGATGTGTTCTTTGCGCTTTTGCCGACCGGCAATGGGGAAAGTTCCTCGTCGACGAAATTCACAGAGATCTCTCGTTTATATTTAACAATATCGTTGAAACACGATGAAATTAACATCTCGTGGAAATTTAACGGCGACGGAGAAGAATCGCCGGCGTGTCCCCGGCCGATATACGATTTTTCCCACCTGGCAAGAATAATTATGATCTTTCGTGCATGCCGGCTATTATGCCGAGGAAAGCCGCTCGGATCGATATTCCCCGGCGCGATAGCATGGTTTCCCGAGGGTAGAAGGAGGAGAGGGAGCGTCACCCCCTCAAGTGCATTCACCACTTCCTCGAATAGTCGGTATTTCAGTCCGATTCTGCGTGCCGCCAGCAACTACGCTGCGAGATCCGCGCGAATTTATTTGCGCTTTCGCGAAGTTTGCTTTTTCTCACTCGACCGGGCCGAATTGCCCGCGCGCGACCACCGTGCTTCGCTCTCGCCGCAGATTACACACGAGTGATCGGATTGTAATTTTATGTCGGGACGAGAGATGAGCGAGAAGGTCGCGTCTCCTCAGGTTGTTGTCGCTTTCGCATCGTCAAGGCGCTAAGCCACACGCTTGCCCGCGCAAATTCGCCTTATCGCCTCTATCGTCTTTTTGAATACGTGCGACGCTTGGGATCGGTATGAATGAGCGGCGTGCTCACGCAGACTCGTAAAACGAGCGCGTTTCACCTTCGTAAAATATGACGGTGTAAGAGGTTTTGTTCGCTATGTAACCCGACGCCGCGAACGCGTGACCCACGTGCTGCCAGCCAGCTGGACGCTTTTATTGCTGACACTTCGATTTTTCCCCGATCGTGACTATCGGCTGATTTTTTTTTTCTTTTTTATGCCGCACTCGACACCTGCGAAACACCTGTGGATTGAGATTACGCTTTCTAAGGCTATATTCGCGGGGGTAGGAGGGGGGGCTTTCGAACGATTTCTTGTTCTTCAAATCGCTACCGAGTATTCCGACGAGTTGTCTAATTCGTGAGCCGTCAGTGTGCGATTTTTCGATGCAACTATTGAACGATCGCGAATACGATGTGTTTCAGGAATACGATCTGGAGCAAAAGATCGAGGTGGAGATCAAGATGAGAGAAGGTTCGGCTAGGCTCTTGGCGGCCGCGAAGCATCGCGCTCAGAGCTTGGAGGCCGCCAGGGCACTGCTCACGTCCAACGAGAGAATGTCGGTTTACATGGCGGAACTGCAGAGTCGTCGTCGGGAGCCTATTAAAAAGCCATGGTTCGTCCGTGAATTTATTTGTAGAAATTACGAGCTGGCGACAGAGAGATCAAAGACGCGCGGGTACTTTGTATCGCCGCTTTTTTTTTTTACCGCGGCGTTAGCATTAAGTAAATAGAAGAGACTAATCAGATAATGCGCGTATTTCCAGCATTCCTGGTAGTGTGGGCAAGTTATCAATTTCAGACCTCAGGATACCATTGATGTGGAGAGACTCTGATCACTTCAAGAATCGCGGTGATCATCGTCGATTCGCTGTATTCTGCTTAGCGCGATTGGGCACGGAGATTCACGACACTTCTTTATTGTGCCCCATCGACAGGGCCCACACCGATATCAGTTTTCCTGACGTTTTGATATTGTAAGTTCATCCTGCTCTCAATAATCAACGCAGTTACATAACAAAATTTAATTAAATCTGCCGCAAGTACAAGTTATATCAACACAGTAGCTGGACTATATGAAAAACGCGACGATCTTGGATCTTGTGTCGCGATCAAGTTCTAATTTTGGTTTTCAGTAACAACGTACCAGCCGAGTTCGAGTTAGTTTTAGAAATTTACAGCCACGTCTTGCAAGAGGACCTAAGTATCGCTAGCACGCCGAGAAGAATCAAAAAGACAATTCACTCGTCGATCTCGAAAACCGTCGGCAAAAAGCTCGCTGCGTCGCTTCGCGATGAATTCAGCTCCGGAAAGTCGTAAGTCGCTGCTTTCTCTCACGTGAATATATATAAATCAATTGATCATCTACTACAAGCGATTATTCATATCGAATAATTTCCCACAGTGGGCCACACTTTGACCTAGTTGCTCGTGCAAGGTTGACCCTAGACGACACGGATGATAACATTCACACGCATGATCTCGTTATTAACAACGTCGGTGAGTTGCAAGAGTATCTGAAATATTTGAATTCTCGAGAAAAACATCACAGTCTTTCCCCTTTTTTTTTTCTTTTTAGAAAATAAGTATCACTCTCTACCGCTTTTCGGTCACTTTTGCTGTCGATTGGCGGCACAACCGGAATGCGTCAGTAAGGAGATGTGCATCGGCAACGTGAGCGTAGACGGTCAAGATTGTTGGGCACGTTTGCAAGGATTCTCCATAAAAATGTGGGAGTCGAAGAAACACGCGGAAGAAGGTCAGAATCCGGAACGTGTGATACCAATTAATAAGGTAAGTGATATCTTCGCACATATATGTATTATAAGATTTTTATAAGCTTTATTGTTTCATTTTTACATCTACTTGTATAGGAAACATCCATTCAAGTAGCCAAGTCTTCCGCTAAGGAACTGTTGGTCAATAATAGCAACAATATGAGCAAATTATTGTCTATTAAGTTTGAATCAAAGGAGGAAGCTCAAAAGTGGTTTAAATTATTATCTGCCCACATTAATGACCATTCAAGATGGAAACGTGCCGCCGAAGTTATACAAAGAGTGTCTAACATCGAAAGTACAAGGAATTCTTTTATCAGCAATAAAAGGCAAGGATCTTTATACGACGAGACTCCTTTAATTGGTAAGTCTCACAAGTTATTACAAATATAATTATAAGTATATTTCTCCAATTACAAAAGCAAGATAAATAATTCTTACAAAAAGAAAACAATCATTTGTTAATTAGTATTTCTTCTCTTGCAGAATCAATCCCATCGGATTATACGTCCGCGAGATCTAATATACAAACAATTTTTGATCTCACACCAAGTACTAGTCTAAGCAGTTCTAGTTCTACGAATAGTTTAACGAGTCTGCGTTCACGTTCGTTAAGTATCGGCGGTGCGTTTAAACAAAGTGCCATTGCCTTAAAGTCTCACTTAGCTCCCTCTAGTAAAAACGAATTGTAACGATTTTACATTTCTTTCCGAGGAATCCACTTATCTGACATGTCCGAGTTATCATTAAGACGAATATATTAGAATTTTTCATCTTTTTCATATCATTCATATTAAATCTCACACAATATGTACGCCTTAAGATTAAAATAGAAAAACATAAAAATTGTATAATAAGAATATATAAATTGTATAGTAGTAACATATAAATAGTATAATGAAGACAAATTGTAATTTTTTATAATTATTCAATTTAACGTAATACATAGATGTAGCATAAAATACATTTTAATTCGGTCACATGCAAATATAATGCCGATAATGATGATTGGTAACTCGGAATGTTAGAGAAGCTAGTTGAATAACGATATATAGTACAAAATATTTCGCTTAAGTGATTTCTTTTTCTCTTTTCTACTTTTATAACGCAAAATTGTGCTAGAAGAGATGCAAGGGCAGCCTTGTCATAACGCATTTATGAGTTTACTACAGAATTTGTAGGAGCATTGCAATATTTAGTATACTTATATATATATATATATAAAGGATACATGTGTTTATATGCGATATGTAGAATTCAATGTAATAACTACATAATATATGACTATACTGATATATAAATAAGTCATATATCGTTTCCAAAAATCCTATCACATTCATATAATTCCAAAAGTTGATTTCTGCAGAATACTCTGATATTATGCTATATATATATATATGTGATTTAATATATCATATGACAATATTCTGCAATTTGCTGACAGCAGTGCTGTCATGATTATTTTTACGTTTCAGTTCGTACAGTTCGTCGACATTAGGTCATCTGTTTCACATCTTCAACATGTTGGAATAAAAGAGTATGACAGCTCCAAATGGATCATAAGTAGCAGTATTAATATATAATTAATATAAGAGTTTTATCAGTAATATATCAAGAGTAAATGATTATTAAGATATTTTTGAAAAAAAAATGATTACAATTTCTGTAAATAGCTGAAACTGTATTTACTTCTATAGTTAAAAACCTTAACTAATGAACAATGTTACTTTATTAAATAGCATCTCTAACAGTATGAAATATCTATTTCATAGATATTAAAAAATATTGTACATTGATATATATTAGGTACACAGTATATACAATTATACAAATATTTCCTACTATACTAAACAAACATTAACATTACATATTGTGAGTTAACATTACTTGTTATTTTATTTGTCTCCTTTAGGTAATAAAATTAATCCAGCAACCATACATACAATGGTAAATGCTTGAGCACCAACACGTGCGCGCATCATATATTGTTGCATTTGTGTTCTTCCATGATAAAAGTTGAACAATCCTACAGACAAAGCTACTGTAGTTGCAATGGCTCCTGAAAAAATATAAATGATTGTTAAAATTTACTTTGATAAATTCATGATGAAAAGAATATATCTTTCATATTGTATAAACATGAACACATATACAAGTTACAAAGGATTTACTTTTAAGTTGCAATATATTTCAATAGAAATATATTGCAAAGATAATTATTAACTCGTAAACATTTTATTTCAATTCTTATTGCTCTCTCAAATCTTCAAATAAAAGTATACACATTTTTTATCACAACTATGATAACAAAAATTAGTACATTTGCTCTGCCACTACTTTTAAGGTTAGCTTACCTATTGGTACCAACGGATTTTCTCGTATTTTGCGTGATGCTTTATTGTATACTGTCTCGGGAAGGTAATCTTTATCTATGTTTTCTCGTATCTTCACCCAATCTAATTCGTCTAATTTATCCTTATCCGCCATTTCTTACAATTACCTCGGATATTTAGAGCTAACCTATTTTAATCTTTCTTTATATGTCGCATCCGACAACCTATGTTTGTACCATCGAAATCATGTTTACCATCTTATAGTCGAAGTTCTGTTAAGATGTACGGTGTTAAAACAAGATAAAAAAATTAAAATAATATATATATATTAATTTGTAACTTCCTTATAAATACTTTACATCTAATAAATCTAACAATTATAAGTATAATAATATACATTTCGAAATAAGACATAGTAATACGTATATGTCAAGTAGTATGTGATATAAAATGAAGTGATAATCATTTAACTTTTTGTTAAGAATTTATTTCTAAAAATGCAAATATTTCATTAGTTCTGGCGTAACGATTTTTTCAATCATATGTATTCAATGACTGAATGACCTTTGTCAGTGATCAGTTTTAAGAAAGTTTTAAGAAAGTAAGATGGGCTAGGTATGTCTAATAGCAAATAATTTTGCAGCTTATGCTTATGCTTATGCATGTAACTCGTCATTTCCGGATCGATCTATCTTATCCTGTCGGCTCAATTTCTCGATAACGAGGTGCATGTCGATACGGTGTCCGGGGATTATAATTATTTTGGACCTGGATTAAAACCTTATCACTCATTTCCCGTTAATTAACATTTCGTGACTCGTCATTTCTGGGCCTGTCACGTTTCAATCTTTCGAGTGCTTTAACTTCGAAACGCGTGATCGCAGTTCGATGCGGTTTGCTCGAATCAACTTTATTTCAAACCTGGATTAATGCCTTGTTGCAAATAATTTTACAAATTATACCCGATGATCCATTATTTTCCCCCTGTCTGATTTGAACATTTCTAGCTTCATAATATGTTTCGTCATGTCGATGTTTTGTAGGATTTTCGTTATTTTGATTAGAATATTTTATGTTTCCGTTTAATTCTTTAGCGCGATGTGTAATAGATATTTAAAATAATTTGTTTTACCATATATAATATTTTAGTTTAATATTTATTGTTTTTGTTATGCTGCATACGTACAGTGCATTTTAATACCGAAGCACCACGATAATCATAATTTTAATACGTTTGCGCAACGTTTGCGCAACGTTTGCGCAACGTTATATAAATTATTTATATATATTTGAAAACAAGATATAGTTGATATCTTATGTGCGCATGTCACATATGTGAATTATAGGATACGAATAGTGGTATTTTTCATTTTTACTTGATTGATTTACGACCAATGCAAATTATATATACCGCCAGCATTGAACATTAAACTTTTAGATACGCTTCGTCTCTACATTCGACTCTGCAATACATGCTGACAGTCTAGATGTTGGCTGCACTGTACTACACTCGTGCAAACTGGAACCGAACCATTTTCATTACATTCGATTGTACGTTCAGGGAAGTGTGACGTCTTAAATTGACCTAACATTTGTGTGCAATGACTGTTTGTAACTGTTTGAAAAATTATATTCAATTTTAGACTATATTTCTTAAGTTACATGTTATTTTTCTTATGTGTGGACTCGTGAGTACAAAAATGGATACGCAGGAGTTGATTGAAGAACTGACACAAATTTGCATGAAAATGCGCAGTCATCTGAGTAAATTTTCCGAACAGAAGGATAAGAAGGCGGTAGTTCTGAAACATATTAAACGATTCGAAAAGAATGAAGCACACATTCCTGAATTTCCGAAAGGTAATTATGCTATTTAAATAATCGTGTGGAAAATATTGTTTCATTTATGTTTCTGTACACTTATCTTGCTAATATTAATCATTTATGAAGTTAGTTTTTTTATTTTTATTTGTAATAAGCAATTTTTATTTTTATTATAATTTTTATTTTTATTTGTATTAAGCAAGGACGATATAAAACGCATAACAAAATGTTTACTTGCATTTGCGAATACACATATAATAGTTTCATTATTTTAAAGGTTCGGAATGGTTCAATGTATCGGAAGGATTGTCATTCACTCAACATTTGAAAGGAAAAATTGTGCTTTTGGACTTTTTTACATATTGTTGCATTAATTGTATGCATGTTTTGGCTGAATTGGAAGAAATTGAAAAACAATTTTCTATAGAGGATGGTCTTGTTGTGGTAAATATAAAATCTTTCAACAAGAGATTATATAAATATTTGGAGTTCTATATATATTAATAACTTCTTTTTCAGATTGGAGTGCACAGTGCAAAATTTACAAATGAACGTGATTCAAAGAATGTCTTATCTGCTGTGCAGAGATATAATATCAGACATCCTGTGGTAAATGATGTTACATTAAGGATGTGGAATGATATGGGCATAATATGTTGGCCTAGTCTTGTTATATTAGGTACAAAACTGTAAACTGTTTTTACTTTTTTGTTTATAAAGTTTCAATGGTTTATATTTTAAAAGTTGTCAACCATTTATAAATTTGTTTCAGGACCTAATGGCCAACCGTTAGTAGTTCTTGTTGGTGAAGATCATAAGGATGAAATTGTACTGTATACAAAAGTAATGTTAGCATACTTCAAATCCTTAAATCAGATATCAAATCATAATCTTCCAATGAAACCAGCATATCATCTGTTATCATCTCTTAAAGATGGTCTATTATTTCCTGGCAAATTAGCTATTTTCTCCTCTGAGCAAGGAGTAAAGCTTATTATATCAGACAGTGGTAACAGTAGAATCCTGATTACAAATCAGCATGGGGAAATAGAGCATATTATAGGTGGTACCAACCAAGGCTTTGAAGATGGTGATTTTAAAAGTGCTAAATTCAACTCACCTCAAGGTGTTTGTATGCTCGATGATGTGATCTATGTTGCAGATAATAACAATCATGCCATTAGAAAAGTAAGAGAAAACTATTCCTTATTATACTTTATCACATTGATTCTTTCACGTTTTATTCTCAATGTTAATCTTCTTTTTAGATAAATTTGAGTGAGAAAAGTGTATCCACCATAGCTGGTACTGGTTCGCAAAGCCACGATCGTTGTGGCGGAAGAAGCGGTACTAATCAAGATTTGTCATCTCCTTGGGATGTGGCAATATATTATCACGAATATAAGAACACCACTGTTCCGGTCCTATTAATCGCCATAGCAGGCACTCATCAAATTTGGGCATTATTTTTGAAAGATACTATTTGGTGGAAAGAAAAGTAAGACTCGTTATTCATTTATATCTTGTTTATTTGATTGAATGTAATTTTTCGAATTACAACTTTTTACATGCATGATACAAAATCCAACAACTTTATACACTAATATTTCGTACGATATTTACACACACAACGTCGATCCTCTTGTAGTTTAACACAGCTAAAGAGAAAAACTTGATTTTTCATTGTTTTACACAGAAGTTAAATAATACTCGTTGAAAGAAATCGATGTTCTTAATTGAAACTCTTGTATTTTAGAAAATATATGGCAGGCACATGTGCCGCTATTGTTGGAAGCGGCCGGGAAGAAAATCGTAACAACAGTTATCCTCATACTGCTGGGTTGGCACAACCTTCAGGTATTGTGGTTGTTCAAGAATCTAAAGTTGCGTTTCTGGCGGACAGTGAAAGCAGTGCTATTAGATGTTTGCATTTGGACAGTGGTCGTGTATCCGCTGTTTGCGGTGGAGATAAAAATCCAGCGGTTAGTTTGACAACAAATACTCGATCCATTGATTTTATTTACTTATATTACGTAAAAACCAGAATTTCTATTAAAAATATCAGATTCAATATATATCGTAGAATTTACATGCTTTTGGAGATATGGATGGTAAAGAATATTCAGCCAAACTTCAACATCCGTTGGGAATAGCGTGGAATCATTTGGAAAAGCAGATTTACGTAGCCGACACTTATAATCATAAAATTAAAAGTGTGGATGTTGCGACGGGATATTGCAGGACATTGTTTGGCGATAGAAAACCTAATAGCATGTTCTCTGTAAGTATCATTGTTTCTTTCGAGAAAATTGGCTCGTATGAAATTCTCGTGAGCGTTTTAGCTATTAATGTATTGTTTTAGTTCAACGAACCGAGTGATCTTGCTGTTAGTCCGGACGGTAACATTCTTTATGTGGCCGATACCAATAATCATGCTCTCAAAGTTATTAATTTAAAGAGCAAAGAAATTTCAACCGTGAGTATACTTTAATCTTAGAGAATTACATTGAAAATATTATTTTATTTTTATATATTTCTCTCATTTCATATTTTATATCTTGTACATACATATTATATAAAATATTAACATGTTACATTAATATTTATATATTACATATCCTTACATCAATATTAAATATGCCGGTTTCTTTATTCTTTAGATGGTTATTTCATCTAGACGTGATTCCAATAGAAATATTGACAATACATTTATCTTCGATACGACGATTAGTACACGCGGTGGCGAACTAAATATCTCATTTAATATCGTATTTTTAAATGAGATGAAATTAAATATGGATGCACCGCAAAGATGGACTGTATCCTTACCTGCAAATACGGGGACGACGGACACTTTAACAGGTAGACTACCGACTCCTGTGTCGATAAAGTTTCCCGAGGGTGAAGCAGACAATAAATTCAGCGTCGTGTTAAACATAATAGGCTGCACAACGGATACGTGTTTACCAATGAAGTTGTCCGTAATGTTCAATGTACATCGAAGCGCGGACGTGCCAACAATGGTGACCGAAGAGAAAGAACTTGTTATCCAATAAGAATCGTGAATTTAATATATATGGTAAAAAAGTGAATCCAAAGGAACATTGCGCACATATATATATTTATAAATTGTTAAATATTGCCTTGAAATATACGTATACATTTAATGTATACACATGTTTATTGCAAATCGTAATTTTGTCTCATTTATGTAATCTTTCATAGACTGCGAAAAACTTTATATTTGATTTTTACATCATTTTAAATCTTAATATTAATAGCTTTTTCTTTATGGTTTAGTCAAATTGCTTGATAACAATCTTATCATATCCATCCCATGTCAGTGGGCGAATGCCTAGCGAACCTTGTCAGTCTTAAATAATATGATTATATAACTGTAGTACAAAAGAGAACCATCTAGTGCTTTTTAACCGAGATCATACTATATCAGAATCAAACCTTTGCCACCATTTTTCCGTTTCATCTTCTGACGAGATTTGCGGTAAAGTTGCAAAATCAGCTGCTCCCGACTGGAAGTATTCATATAACCGTGCTTGGTGACCAATTGGTGTTGACCAACCTTTTCGGCAATATCTTTCTATCCATACACTTTCTGCCGTTGTTGGAATATCAAGTATCTGTAATTTTTGTGCATTCACTGTGTAAATACCAACTAACAGTAAAATTACACTAATATTATAATTCCTCACTCCGCAATGTAAGTATAATATATATTTTACATAAAAATTGCATTATTGCGTGAGAAATTATAATATTGATATGATGTTACTGTTAATCAGTATTTATTTTATAGAAATATATATATATATAAATGTAATATTTGCATTTTTATCAATATTAATCCTTACTTTTTTGTTATTGCGATACGATAATATACATTTTTTGTCGGAATCAAAAATTCCAGTACCAGTATCATAGCAAAACGGAGGAATAATTTTAGTCGGTTGGTCATTGGTCTTTAATACTTCCTTGGCTGGCCTCAATCCATTTACTATGCATTTATAAAACCTGAAATATTCTTATAATCAGTAACCTAATTATTATCTCAGTTATATAAAGTTAAATATACATGTCAAATTTTTCATGATTCTTATCCTTTTTGAGATTCTTATGTTTCTGAGTATTAGAGAATGCAACATGTTACGATTATTATCTTTTACGTAAAAATTTATTTAATAAAATATAAAAAATATAACATTTATATATATCATTTTGTCATATAGATCGTAGTTTTAATTTGATCGATCGCAGAAGGGGAACTAACCGTCTGTCAGGAAATTTACAATAATTCCATTCATCTTCTTCATATGTTAAACCATCCGCGAACGTATATCGTTTTTCATTTCCCATCTTTCCGCGATTCCAAGTGCCGTCCATTATTTGCCCACGTGGCCAATACATACTTCCATAGCCATGAAGCATACCATCTCGAAATTCTCCCTCCAATATAACGTCTAAAAGATACATAGAGTAAAATTAATTTACATTAAATATATACTGATACATTATAATCTTGACGATTAGTAAATTAGGCTTAAAAGGTTTATAAAAATAATTTGAAATTCGTGACTGACTGTTAAACGTCACATATCTGCCGATGCCTTCCTTGTCAATCGCGTTCCACGTTCCCTCATATTTTCCTCCGCTGACAAATCGAATCTCCCGTAATTTTTCGATCTCATCTTCCTTTTCGTTGTCATCTTGAGCGATTTCTTCTACCGACATGTCGCTTCGTTGTCCTCGTAGTCAAATGTTTTCAAGACGATTTAACTTAATGTGTTTCGCAGACTTTTAAAATCAATACGTAATATGCTTACAGAGTGACTGTGAAAGATATATGCGTAAAATTGCGTAAAATGTTAAAAATCAAATCAAAATTCGATACAGTTTCCTAAATTTTACTTCATGTGTATGTATTCAATCTTTACTATTAACTTCCACGAAGTTGAACTTCGAAAGTTTGAAAAATCATACGAGTGTTTCTCTGATTACCATGCTTTCAGTGTTGCACTTACTTCATTTTTTTTTTCTTTTGACAATAGAATCGATCGAAGATGTAAATTTCTTAAGAGCATCTGAAGGGAGCATTCCTTCACTCATTCATTAACGTTACTTGTAGAAGAAGAAGAAAGATATCGTCATAGCGAGCTTCTGCTCAAAACATCGATATAAATGGAAATGTATTCCGATGGAAATATCTCGAAGGAAGATATGATTCTCTTCCGTGTATAGAATTTACTTCGCGGAGGCCGTGTGGTGCGCGAACAGACACTCTTTGAGTAACCACCGCGGATGTTTAAGACGGATGACTATATGCATGTGGTACAACGCGGTTTATCGCTACTTTATCGTTTAACATCGCCCGGACAGTCGGCTGCGAGTGTAAGAAGGAAGGAGGAGCGCAAACGCGCGAACTGAGCCACCAACCGGGACTTCGTTTATCCTTACAGGATGACCTCGTTGCCTGGTATTCCGGATGATCTCGGCCGATTCATAGTCGGCTCTCGCCTGTGGGACACACAAACGACGTGCAAACCGGGGAAGAAACACACATATAGAGATAAACAGCGAGAGAGAGAGAGAGAGAGAGAGAGAGAGAGAGAGGGAGAGGGAGAAGGAGGGAAGGAGGGAGGGAGAGAGAAAGAGAGAGAGAGAGAGACAAGCGCGTCTCTCGAATTCGAGAGCACGCGAATGTAAAATAGCACAACCGCTCGTGCATCGCGCATTCTTATATCCACCGATACGTAAGTCAATGAGATTTTGGACGACGAGCGCGGTATGTATTCGTAACACGGACAACACAGCGAGGAGACCGTTATGTCTCTCGTATTTCTATGAGAGAGAGAGAGAGAGAGAGAGAGAGAGAGAGAGACCTCATCCTATACTCGGGCCGTATATACTACTGTTATGTGTCGAAAAGTGGTACATTCCGGTATATATGTGCCGAGGAATATTCGCCAAGTTTCGCGCACTCGTGATGCTAACGGCGATGTCCGCGTTTGGAAGCATCGCTTTAAGCAGTGGACAGGTGGATACCTTATCAAGATATCGTCAGACTCGTCTTTGGAGAGTTTCGCATCTCGCACGCGAGTGACATACACGCAAGACGAACCTGACGAATGCGCAGCGGCATTATCGCGATTATCGAGTCGTATCGGCTATCGAGACGGCCGAACCTCGCTTCTTTCCTCGTCTTGCGGAAGTTATCGTATGTGGTTTCCGGCGTGTCGCCGAGAGATGATAGAGATGAATTGCGATTACAGCGCACCGAGTCATCGAAAGTCATCAGTTCGTTATTTCCTGTGTAAAAGTCACCCAAATTTATCTATAACGACGCATCTTATAGCTCTTCTAGACGTTGAGTACTGCAAGAGATAAATAAACCCCCATAAACAAATAAACAAATAAATAAATAATTAAACAAACTTTGCCTATAAGAAATAAAGAGAGACATAAAATGTCCGCCCGCGCGTAAGGTACCACCTGAAGAACCAATTATCCTTTTCTCTCAACCGCCTCGGTGGGAATCAGTCGCGTTAATCGTCGCCGCCGGTTTCAGCGTTAAGCCGACGCAAGTCAAAGGCGCCGCCGAGTGCCGGTCGCCTCGCGCAATTTCGCGTTTACACGCGGTCGCGTCTCTCGAGTGTAACAGCTGCTGACGACCGCGTCACGCGCGCGCGGTGCGTATCGGCTTGACGCGAATACACATTTCCCATTATGATGTAGATTCGTCGCGTTAGCGGACGGCTCGGAAGAGCCGGCGATTACGACGCCAGTCGTCGTCTCTCAGGCCGATGCTCCCTTCGGAGCAACGAATCCAGCTAACGTAATCTGGAATGTCGTGTTAGCTCAGCCGAGCGTGACACCTCTCTGCCGTGCCATCGCCGGAGAATCTCTCACGCACCTGAGAATTCCTCCGTACGTGGTATACCGGCGGGCGGCTCTCCCTCTGCTCGCGATAGATCGTTATCGTGCGTGTCTTCGCAGGATAACGCGCCGCCGTCGAAGACGGACGTCCCATCAGCGACGGGCGAAACGAGCCGGCCTCCGCGGCCTCGAGTCGAAGGCTGGAAAATCCAAATCGGCGCGGTCCCTCCCCGCGCCCTGACGCAGAGGAAGACGGGAGGGGGGGGGGCTCCTTCGTGGCGCGCGTTCGTCGTATCGGCCGGCGGGATCGATCGTGAATGCATCGCACGCGATGTGAAATCGATGGCGGGCGGAAATAGGTCGGATTTGTGGAGTTTAGCGGCGCTCGTTCTCGCGTTCCCCTTTCCCGTGCTACTCCCGGCATCAAATTTGTCGATAGGTAACCGTTGGATAAACCTTAATCCGGCGCGCGGCCGGTACCGTTGTCTTGGTAAACAGTGGGTTACGGATGGACAGTCGTGCAAGTGGGACGGCTGTTTATTAACCCGTGCATGTTCGACGTTCACAGAAAACTTCAGCGGACGTTGTCGCGCGGGAATCGAGAAACGGGTTTCGCCAAGCGCGAAACCGTCTTTCGTCTCGTCTCGTCTCGTCCCGTCTCGTCCTGTCCCGTCTCGTCTCGTCTCGTCTCGTCTCGTCTCGTCTCGCCATGTCCCGTCTCGCAGTGGCCTGCGAGCCGATCGCTGTCAAACCTAAACCTACTCGCTCTCGGTGTGTCTCGATCTTCCTCTCGGCCCGGTTAGGCTCGGCCTAGAACGGAGGCTTCGATAAGACTGCTCGCAGCGATATCGTCGCGTCACGTCGCGGCAATGTCTCTCCTTCGACGAGGAGCTCGATCCTCCTTCCTGAGGAGGGACGACCGAGAGGACGAAAATCTATCTCGGAGCGCCGAGCGAGATCGATCGATCGATTCGCTCATGAATGAGAGTTACGCGTGCCCTTCGCGTGCACGTGCGCGCTCGATTCACAAGGCGACGTTAGACAAAAGTAATCGGACCGCGTTCTTCCTCTTCCTCTTCTTCCCTCGGCATTCCAAAGCCCGTGTTTTCCCGCGGCGTACGCGTGCATGCGTGCGTGCGACCGATCGGTTGCTCATTCTTTCGCAATTTAACGCGTCATACGCGCGACTCGTTCGGTCGATGTACCGTTAATCGCTGTGAAACGTCGGCTGGCTCGCGCGCCACGTTTCGAAAAATATTTATGGCTGCCTCGCTCTCTCTTTCTCACTTTTTCTCGCTGCGCCTCTCCCCGCCGACCTGCTAAGCGTACGATTTGTAGCGGCGCGCCGCGCCGCGCCGGCCGGCGCGGCGTTTCTAACGTTCCTCGCGCTCATCGTCCATCGAGGAGCGCCTTCGTCGTGAAGCGACTGTAAGAAGAAATAAATCAGATCGGCGTGTGAGTCGCAACATCGGCAGGGGAGGGGGGGGGAGTGGGAGAGAAAGGCAGATGTACACGACATCGATAAGAAAAATATAGGAAAGAGAAGAAGATTGCGGAGGAGATCATTAACGTTCTCACAAATCGTCCCGATCGTGTTCGCGAGTCGAGTCGAGTCGAGTCGAGTCGAGTCGAGACGAGCAATTCGCTCGATGTGCGAAAGAATGCGCGCATCTACGTACGCGTACGTACGTACGTAGGTAGGTAGGTAGGTAGGTAGGTAGGTAGGTAGGTGGGTAGGTAAGGTGCACGCGTACGCACGGTCACCTGTTTCCGCGTAATCCACTCCGTCCGCCGACGTCTCTCGCGAGAGAGGTGAGAGAGGCGCGAGAGTCCTTTCTCTGTCTTACCCTTCAGCAGGAGCGTGTCTCCCCTCTCTCCTGATCTCTTCTCTTGCCTCTTGTTCCGCTGCGCTCGTCCCAGCGAAGGATCCTGCCTTGCAGTACGTGTTTATCCAGGGTATAAGACGGCAGAAGCGGACAAGTGGCGCAGGAAGAGAAGCGCGCGCGCGAGTGTCAAGCGGCGGCGATACGGCAGCAAGCGCGGACAAGAGGGAGTGCGCGCGCGAGAAAAGAGCGCGGCGGCTGAAGAAAAGGGAGAGAAGTCGCGCGCGGAGCGAAACACGCTCCGTGTAATTCCTCGAGCTCCGAGGCTGAGGTCGCTACTCCGCGAGGCGAGTCTGACAGCAAGGTCGACCGCAAAAGAGTTTCAACTGCCACACGTCCTTGATCCCTTAACGAAGAAGGGAAGAAGGGAAGAAGGAGAAAGAAAGAGAACGAGGAGCGCGCGGACGGACACGGAGGAAGAACAAGCGAAAGGGGAGGAAGGAGGAGGATCGAGGGAAAGAGAGAGAGAGAGAGAGAGAGAGAGAGAGAGAGAGAGAGAGAGAGAGAGAGAGACAGGGAGAGCAAGGGAGACGAGAGAGAGAGAGAGAGAGAGAAAGAGAGAGAGAGAGAGAGAGAGGAGAGACTAAGCGCGTCCTGAGCTACGGAATCGCGAGCGTCGCCGAAGGATCGTCGACAGCGAGATTCGCCGGACGTTTGTTATCACAGCATTTTCGTCGATGCCGAATCAACCGGTCGCGCATCGATTACGTTAATCGTGGCGTCGAGTCGCGACACCGGTGGTGTGAAGTCTTGGAGCGCGGTCGGCCGGTAACCACGGTGCCGTGTGCAGGCGAGGACTCTGCTTCCCAGCGGGATTAAATGATATTTTCAAGGAGCCCATCCACGTCTGCAAAGTGTGAGTGACCCTTACGAGGGAGATCAGATTATTCGTTTTTGCGCGCTTTTACGTATTGCCTCTCCTCACGATTGCGCGTGCTGCGAAGCTAACGCTCGAGAGAGCTCGAGGCTCGCGCGCCTCGTCGGCTGTGTGTGTCTATGCGCGCCTCTCTATGATTTATACGAAATATATAAGCCGTGTGTTTATCGGGGATCCTATAAATCCACAGCGTCGCCTGCCGGAAACGGGGAAAATTAGTTGCTATTTACGCTTTATAAGCAGACAGAAACGACATGCGCGAATGAACTCTCCGCGACTTTTGCTTCGCGGGCGGTCTATCATTTTATGAACGTATAAAGGAAGAGACGAGAGAGAGAGAGAGAGAGAGAGAGAGAGAGAGAGAGAGAGAGAGAGAGAGAAAGAGAGAGGAAAAACACTAAAAAGACTAAACGCATTTAATATCGGAATTAACAGACGGTGAAGGATGAGCGGTTTGTAATTTCTCACAAAGGTCACTCGAATTTTTATAACGAGATTACTTTGGACGAATATAATGCAAAATTGCGCAACGGTACATTTTGTATTTTTTTTTAACGGACGTCGAGTCGAGCTGAAAGATGCGAATCAACATTTCCGCTCTCGCGCTCTCTCGCATATTTCTTCTTTTCGGAAACCTTCGCCACCTTTCGAGCGCTCCGGTGGAAATGGGACGCACTGATCGCCTAATAGCTTTAGCACAAAGTCGCCGTGTGTGTCGTCATTAACATGTTAATCTCGTATGTATAACGGTTACTGCCTTCCAAATTTCTACGCGAGTGCGTCGCATGTACGTTCGAAAAACCGGTCGCCGAGATCGATGCGTAGCGAGCAGCGAGAAGAAATTGGGAGTTCGGTGACCCATCTTCTCTCCGCCGTATCTCTCTTTCCTCTCTCACGTTTCTCTCTTTTCTTTTTTTTTTCGCACGCCGCGAGTACCGCGTCATTTCGGCCGACAGTTCGTTGTACGTCCCGCGGTTCGTGAACCGCGCCCGAGTGCTCGCTCGTCGATTCACCTTTCTTCGCGAATGCGATTCATCGAGTAGCAACGCTCGTAAAAGCGACGCGACGCGTCGCAACGCGGGAGAGCGCGACAAGCAGAAGCGACACCGGCTATCTTTCTTCTCACAGAGAGTCACAGGAATTTTCTTCTCCGTTTTCAGAAGATCGAAGATTACCATGTTGCCGCAACGATTACGCTGGCTATTGCCGGCACTGATCGTATCTTGGATGCACCTGCAGTTGGCTGCGGCTTCGCCGGTTCACGATGAACGGAGCTCGCACGTGTCCGCGAGCGCGTTCGGACCTAGGTCAGTATCACACGTGGCATTTTTGCCGAGCGAGGCTATCAATTTTCGCGAACGAGCGAGCGTGCAGTGCGCGCGTTAGCGTGATAGAGCGTCAGAGCGATGAGAGGGAATTCAGAGCGGAGAGGGTAACAACACGAAATTAGAGTCGGACGTCGTCGGGGCCTCTTCCCGACGCGAATTAACGGAGCCGGCTGGCGTTCCGAGGAGCGACGTGAGACGGGGGGAAATATATAACAGTATACGAGCAAACAATATTTAGACAGAAATCACGTTGCATGCGGGAGACAAAGCGAGGGATGCGGGAAAGGGGCAGGACGAGAGGAGAGGACAAGGAGAAGCCGGCTCTTATTAAAGAGCGCGCTCGTCGCGATTTAGTTCCCGAGCTGCCGGCATGGTTTCGCCCTCTTAACGAGGAGTCTAATTAACGAGATTATACGCGGCCGCACATTAGCCGTCTCCATTGTTAGCAAATCGGAGTGGATCCACTCGCTAATACCATTGCCGTTACACGTTATTCCTCATCGGGGTGCGTTTACGTAAGAAGTAAAAAGCAGACGAACAATAGTATCGTATCGTCTCGATAGTTCGCGTGCACCGTTCTACTTCGTGAGCTTCTTTGCACGCATGTTTGAGCATCATGCATCGCGTTCGCGTCCACGACGGAAGATTGCAATTTACGCGTGTGCGCTATTTACGCGTGATTTATGTTAGTAATTTACGTAGTCGAGTAACACTGAATTAACAAAAGCTACGCCGTGGCAACACTCCGGACGGACCTCTGTGCGTTTACAGCGTAGCCACTTCGACAATGACACGCCAGGACTACAATAAACGCAGGCATCCTCCGGACGGCAAAAACGACACGCAGTCCGGCCACAAACTGGTCGCATCCCCGGCCGGACTTTTGCGGCCCGACAAGTTTCAGTTTTATACTTACAACGACAAGGGTGATATGATTACGCGGCAGATGACCGTTCAGGAAATTCAAGGTCTCATCGCCGCAGGTGGCGCGGATCACGTCGCGATGGACAGGCAAGAACCTCAAAAAGCCGACGACGTCCTCACCGGTGGCAAAAAGGTTGGTCTGTTCGCCGTATCTTGTCTCTCCATTGTCTTGTCCATTGTCCGTATGTGGCCATCGATGTTTGTGCAGCTTGTAAACTCTGAGAAATATATAAATAACGATATTTCGATTAAGGTGAATCACATAACAATAATTGCAGTTAAGAATAAAATATATACGATATATGTATATATATAATTTTTTTTATTTACTTATAATTTTATTTTTATTCGTTTCTATTTGTATCTTTTTATTATTTTATTTCTTATTTATTCTTTTATAAACTTATAATTCTTCACTACGGAAGATTTCTTTTATATACATAAAATTACTCGTTAAATTTGCTTTTCATTTGCGCTTTATGCGGATGCGATCGTCGTTCGATTTCGCTCACACGAACGAGACAGATTGGCGGAATTAACGGTGATAGAAACGGAGTTTCTGCTTCTTAGAATCGAATTTGGCTCATCAAAAACGGAAATTCCGTCCTCTTCAGACAAAACGCTCGTGCACTGTCACGTAAATTCGACAAATCATTTTTCCCCTAAGTGAAATCACGCGATGCTGGCACCCGCATCGAGCGAGAATGAAAAGTAAATTTAACGAGCGGACGTTAGGTCCAACGAAACGGATAATCGATTACAGAATAACAACGGATGAGAGTTGATTTGTATAATGTAAGAGAGTCCCATTGTGCCCGCAAATTAATTAAGTTGAAGCAAAGGAGCGCGACACACTCGCTGTACAGGCTTGTGTGAAGTGTCTCTCGTATGAGACGAAATTGCTGAAATTCAGGAAAAAGAAACCGAGGCGCGCGCGAATAAGAACGAGCATAAGTAAGAGCTAACGGAACTGTTACGGTTTCGTTTACGGATTTAGTACACTCCACGTGTCGCATTTTAGGTCATGGATGTAGTGCAGAAGGTACAGAACGTGTTGAAGAGCGCGCTCGACAAGCCGCCGATCTTAACTGGCTCGGTGCCGAAGATACCGGAGCACGCTAACGTCGAGTGGAGCAACATCCTGCCTTCCATCCTGTCCGGCGAGGCAGACGCGATTTCCCCGAGCGGCAACGAGCCGCCGCGCAAGTCCACGACGGAGAGGACGGAAGCCGGAAGCGGCATCACGGAATACATATCGCCGGGCGGAAGCGTGTCGGCGGGCATCAAGACGAACGCGACGTCGAGCAATCCCGCGAAGCCGGCGGCGCAGTCGGACGTTCAGACGAGCGCTTACGGCGGCTTCGCCAACAACGTCGGGCACAACGAGAGACCTCAATACATCCATTATCCGCAGCAAACGCCGCCGGCCGGCGCGTTCTCGGAGAAACCGATGATTCCGGTTCCGGTCATCACCCTAACGGAACAGAAACTGTCCACGTTGCAATCCGCCGTTACCGAGAGTCCGGTCTTCCAGATGCTAAGCGTGATCCCGGTAGGGACCACCGAGAGTGCCCATCATCAGCAAGATCAGACCGTGAACCCCACGGCGAATGCCGCGTCTCAGACCGAGGTGGCGAGTCAGACCGAGCATTTTGTGGAGTTGGCTCTGTCGAAGGTACCTGACACCTCGACGTCTTCGCAACCGCCGAGCTCGGCTGCGCAGCTCGTGAACACGCCGAACAGGCAGACTACCGCGGATCATGACGATAAAGCGAGCGTGGGAGCCTCGACAGTCATGTACCTGATGACCACACCAGGCGTATCGACGACCTCCTCCTCAGCTGTCGACATCAAGCAGACTGCGGGCTACAATGGGCCCGGTGAAGCAATGACTAGCGAGGTTTCTTTTCCTTCTTCTTCTTCTTCTTCTTCTTCTTCTTCTTCTTCTTCTTCTTCTTCTTCTTCTTCTGCTTCTGCTTCTGCTTCTCCTCCCTCAAGCACAAATTACGCTGTCGCGGAGACTAAGAACAATACAAAGCCATTCGTTTCGAAGCCCTCATTTGCGCTTGGCGTTTCGAAAGAGCCTGAGGTGAACGGGACGCGCGATGACGAGAAGATAATCTCGCAAACTAATATCGTCACCTCGCAGCCGCTTTCTCACGCATCTGAGGCTCCGAAGCCCGAGGACACGCCGGACGAGACCGTGCTGCACTCGCACTCGCCGTCCACGTTCTCCGTCTCGAAAACTGAGACCTCCACCGTCCCGAACTCGCCAGATACTGATGGTCTCAATACGAGTTTCTCCAGGGTCACTGAGAAGTCGCCCGTCAACTCGATCACTCCGACATACACGAAAGACCACCTTCGACCGACCGAGACCCAGTCTTCAGTCTCGATGGAGCCGTTGCCCACGCAACTGATCGACTCCTTCTCGAGTGTGATGAGCCAGATCTCAGAGGCGAAGCCACCGATACTACCTCTGTCGTCCACGGGCCGGCTGCCAGAGTTGACGATTGTGAACGTCAGCTATGATCAGAGGCACAATGTGTCCGACGATTCGATCAAGGACTCGTTGATCAACGCAGATATTCGATACGACACGCTCACGATGCCTCTCGGCATCCACCAAGAGAAAGTTGAACATGTCGGTTCACAACCGACTGTCCTCACGACCGTCGCCGCGAGACTTCCGCCGCTGAACATTGTCACGCGGATTCCCGGCTTCTCCACCGTTAAATTTACTACTTCCACTCAACGACCCACAGCAATGGCAACGGACAAAGTATCGATCATGAAAGCCGGGATGAACAATGTTTCCTTGCGGCCTTCACACGCAGCTTCGAGCACGACCGAGGCGATGGAGGGCGACGGAGTGGCGGCTAACAACAACGTAGCCGCGACGTCCTCTGCGAATGTTAAATCGACCGACACGACGACCTCGAGATCAACGACCTCAAAGTCGACGACCTCTTCGCCGGTGTGGGTTCAGCTGGAGAAGATTCAGAACGTCTCGCTGGAGAACCTGACTGAAAGTCCTGCGACTCTCGGGACCGTCACTGTCGCTGATGCAATTTTGCAGAAACACACCCCCGACGGAGCTTCTTCTCCTGAGGGATTCTTCTCCTCACCTGTCACTTCTCCGACGCTCGACGCGACCAAGACGCAGTCGTCGACAAGCGCGTTCGTCGACATGAGCACATCCTTGAAGAGACCCACGCCGACCAAGGAGTACTTTGACTACACTCTCATGAATGTAAACTTGAGCGATCCGGTGTCCGCGGTCGATCAAGTATTGAGTATCGCACCGTTGCCGTCCAGCACTCCCACGGTGGAGCAGATCAGTCTACCTGACGATACATCGAGTCTCACGGCTAGTGAGTTGGCCAGCGGGCTCATCGCCGGATTCGCGAGCAGCACGTCCGAAAGGTCGCCCATCGAGGAACTTGGCGGTGGTCCGATTGTTAAAAACGCATCGAGTGCAAGTACAGCAAGACCGACCGTCTTATCGGACCGTGTAACCAAGCCCGTAGGAACCACCCAGGGTGTCACTGAAACGCATAAGCAAACCATGGCGATCAATGTAACAGCTAATCGCCAAGAAGCTGTTACGCAAACATCGACGAGACCAACACTCGTGACGAGCCCGGTGAAAAGCAGCACGGCAGAATCGAGTACGCTTACGAAAGAGCAGGGTCTGACTTGGAATGACAAGAACATCTCAACAACGAGGCCAGCAAAATTGCCGAACGCCAACGAGAGGATTGACGACTCTACAGAAGTACCCTCGTCATTCTTGCTAGGCGACTCAGCGAGCACCGGTAGCTCGAAAGCCGACGTTGGACCGAGCACTGTCGGAGTCGTCACCGCGAGTCCCGAGCGGCTATCGACGGCGAATATCGCCGTTCGCCCATCTAACAAGAATCAAACGCTGCCCCACGCGAGTTCTAATCAGGACAAGAAGGACAACAGAGAGAAGGTGAAGACGACGGAAGCGCCAGTCGTAAGAACAGATGTGGCTTCCGAATCCTCGACTCCTGCGAAAGTCGCGTCGGTCGTGGCTGATGGGGGCGATACCAGAAATAGAAACTCTTCGGTGCACATAGGAGGTGGCTCGAAAGTGGAAACCTCAGGCGAGAAGAATCAGTCCTTCGCGAGTGCCTCGTTGACGACGCAGCAGAGCATCGTCGTTCACCAGAATTTGTCCAGCCACGTGGCTGACTCCGTCAACGACACTAAATCCGAGCTGCACGCCGGCTCAGCCGAGCACCGCAGCAACGTCACGGCAGACGCAGGAGCTGCGAATATTACGTTTAGCAGCGCGAAGCTGCCGGCTGGCAATTCCAGCAGCAGCACGTTGGCGCAGAATGCAAGTCGTGTCAGCAACGCGACGACTCCCGAGAAGATGAAGGGCTCGACCACGCCGATGGCGCCGTATGCCACGACTAAAAATCGCACAACCGTCACGTCTCGACCATTACAAAGTACTAACAAGACCGATCATAATGTTAATTCTTCGACCGTCACTTCTTCGTCGGATCACTCGGCGGTCCAAGAAGCTGTTCACACCGACCGCCCGATTATCAAGGTCGCCACGCAGTCGTCCTCGAGTGGCAACATGGAGAGACCTTCTCGACCGAGTCTGGCTAATGGCACGAATTCGCCGAAGCCTGCCGACAAAACGTCAAGTCCAAGTGACAAAAATATGCCGCCGCAGCGCACGACGCAGAGCACACCGATGGAGAAACCAGTCGCTTCTGAGTCACCGTCGAGGAACACGTCGACGTCGCAGATGAATGAGCAATCGAACAATACGGAGAGCAAGCCCGCGTCCTTGAAGCATTCCGAGAACTCTGCGAAACCGGACGTGACGCGCCCGCCATCACCGATGTCGAACGGTCCGGCCCGCCCGGCCGTCCTGAAGCCCACGGTGAGTCACAAGCCCTTGGAGAAGTCCGACGTCTCGAAGACCGAAGCGAACGTGAACTCGGAGGAGAAATGGACGCTGATATCGCAACAAGTCCCGCCAGCCGTGACGAAATTGCCGAAGCCGTCGAAACCGCTGAAACCGCTGAGGAAGCCGCCGTTCAACCCGAACGAAAGCGACAACGTTCGTGCTCCGGGGGCTGACTCGCAGGCGCATCAGCAGGACGATCCTTCTCAGACGATGCTTCCTCAATCCGTGCTGCCGCTGGACGCGTCCCAGGGCGCGAGCGGCTTGGACGTCACCGTGAAGCACACGAGCGCTGATATCGTCAACTTCGCCAAGCTGTGCAACGAGTTGGCCTTCAACTTCTGGGTGTCCACCAACAAGGGCCTGAGCACCGCTCGGTCGTTGGCTCTGTCGCCATTCGGCATGACCAGTCTGTTGGCGATGATCTTCCTAGGCGCTCGCGGCCCGACGTCCGATCAGATGAACGAGGTGCTCGGCTTGGACGACGTGGCCACGTTCAACCCGCACCTGGTCTTCCAGAACATCACGGACACGGTGAGCCTGGCCAGAGGCCAAGGCATCGCCAATGCCGCCTTCGTCCGTGAGCTGTTCGCTGATAAGATGAAGGTCAGGAAGCTGATGCCCTTCTACAAGGAGCAGGCACAGCAGTTTTACGAGGGTCTCGTGGCTGAGGTGAACTTCGCCACCATCAGCGACCTCGTGCGCAGGCGGACGAATCTGTTGATTAGAAAGCAGACCGGCGGTAGGATCAAGGACTTTGTGAAGACGAACACGGTGCCGCTGAGGTCGCCTTTGGCGGCTCTCTCCGCCAATGTGTTCCAGACTGACTGCAACACCAGCCTGACCAGTTCCGTCGGCAGAGACGGCGAATTGTACTTCGCGGTCTCGCCAGCCGTCAGGCAGAGGAGACTCGTGCCGGTCCCGGCTACCACTTGGCGATCAGGCGTCTTGGCTGGTTACGAGCCCAGTATCGATGCTACCGCGGTCGCCTTGGGGGGCAGCGACAGACTGGTCTCGACGATCTTCGTGTTACCAGGCCAGCAAGGTCACACCGCACCTGGTGACACGTTGGATCGCCTCGAGCAGCGTCTCGTCCGAAGCGCGTTCCGCGACGGCACCTGGAACAAGTTGCTCAAGGTCTTGATACCCAGAAGCGGCTTGGAGCTCCAGGTGCCAAAGTTCAGTCATCGATCTGTCGTGAACGCCACCGCGGCCTTGAAGAGAATGGGCCTCGACGAGCTGTTTTCAGGCAATGCCGACTTCAAGGGTATCAACGGCGTAGGCCACCGTCTCCACTTAGCCGATGTGTTACAGGTAGATGTAGCCAGTAGCTGATAAGAGTTGCCTTGCGCAGCTATTCGCGCGCAATTCTAATTGCGCTCCGGTGATAACGCTGTTTACGATTGATACTTGGCCTGGTTGTAGATGAACTTGTTCAGCACTTGCGGTGACGAGAATATCCTCAGCGGCCGACACCACGTGGAAACGTACCCAGGGAGCCCGTTGAGACGGCGAGTCGAGGACATCGACGGCGGTCTCGGTCATGTCACCGAGGACGACGTGTCATCGTCGCAGGAGGAGCACACAAGCTCGCTCCACGCGGGCCGACTTCCCAGGGAGAAGAGGCAGATCTCCACGACGTCGGAAAGACCGAGGTTGAAGCTCGACAGGCCCTTCTTGTACTTCGTCCGACACAATCCTTCCGGCATAATACTGCACATGGGACGCTTCAATCCCCGATTACTGCCTTAACTCAGAGGAAGTCTCACACGCGGGCAAATCTTGTTACTGAATGCCATCGATTCGAATGTTTCCCGTTTCTTCTATCTGACCTACCCTCTTACACGTATCTATGAAAATTCATCTCTCCAGTAATAATCGGTTAGGTAATTCTGCTCAAACGGATCTGTCTCTCTACACAGATCAGCACAGATCAGCAGTGCGCGATCACACACGTGGCGCACGTGTCGCGGCCCGCTGAGCCCGTTTGAGCAGCGGAAGGTATAGGATGTAACGCTGTCTCGCGGCGAGTTTTAGAAAATTTGTATACAATTCCGCTTAGAATTAGGTGCTACGTATTAGCTTTCTCCCGATGTCATTGCTTAGAGATAAGGAATCAGCGCGATACCGTCCGTCCCGTGCTAATTGCTAATTATAACGCGAAGCGAATCCATGACATCGACATCGTCGTATTATCTTATGGTATACACTAGGGAGTGGTAAAATAAATAACAGACTGAAAACGGGCGGGAAAAGAAAGCAGTGCGAAAGGGGAAGCGAGGGAGAAAGAAAGAGAAAGATCTTAATCGCGGTCCAAATGATCATTATTTCTTTTCACGCAAGAGCAAAATATATAAACGACGATTGATGCGATCAACCGCGGGCGAGTTAAACACGAGTTTGTATCGAGTGTCGATAATCTATTTGGACCCTGATTGACATTACGTATCGACAGTTGTGATATGAATGAGCATGGAATTTTTGTACATTTCGTAGAATTATGTAATCTTTGCTCGGATACGCGCGTCAGCTGCCGCACATGACGTCAAATTGAAAATCGTTGGCTATGTATCTCAGTCAAGTGTCGAATTAATGACGCGTTGAATAAATATTACATTCTCCTTCCACCTCTCGGTTTTCACAAGACGATTTGAGTATGTTGCGTTTGGGCATTACAATATGTACAGTCGATGGATCGGAGAGAGGTTGCGACGCTTTTACCTGAGAAAGTCTCGCAACGCGTCCCGCATCTAACAAGAAAGCATGTCTGTTGAGAATCATCGAGAAGAAAATTCTCCCGTTCGATATTGAGTTCGCTATTGAGAAAATCATTGAGATAAAGGTATTGCAACTTTTCATCTCGCTGACTGTACGGACTGTTAAGCTAAGAAAGAATTACGTGGTACGTTTGCTCTCGATACGGCACGGACGCTTTTTCGATGCAATTCGGAATGCAGCCAATTCGCTTCGACAGAATCTGTTTTTTTTAAATAATATCCGGAAATTAAATTTCCATATCTCTCGCGGTTGCGTTCCGAGGTGTATTATTGAGAAAAATGTTCAAGCCGCCTTGAAACTAAGCGTGCGACGCAATTAATGCAAACACGGACGTAAAGTATTTGACACATTTTTTTTCTAACGGAAGAATTTGTTCTTGAGAAATTCTCAGAAGGTAGGGAGAGAGAGAGAGAGAGAAAAATTTTCTTATTAATAATAAATACTTACTATTATTTATTATTAAATGCGTTCCGGAGTGTATCGAGATAAGAAATTGTATCAACCTTGATGTCCGCGATCGCGTGCTGATATCGTATAACATATACATGTACACACACATACATCCTATCTATATAATATGAACAATAGCTTTTTTCTTCAAAAATTCGAAACCCCCCTAAACTTGATACGATAAGATAATTCCTGTCATCGTGTCGATATTTCAGATTTATCACAGCTATTATGACGAAGTACATTACGCTCCTCCTGCTTGGAAATGAACTTTTAACAATCTTTGACGAATTACCGACCCAGCTCGCGTAAATTTAGACGCGATTAAATTTTCCGCGATTGTACTTCGAACTCGACAACTTAGTGTACTTCGAACTCAACCTGTTGTATCATCGTGTTGTTGGTAGAATTCGCTACTTGTTGCTCGCTGTGCACACTTTACTCGATAACGTCATATTTGGCGGTGTTTTCATCATACGGACACACACACACACACACACACACACACACATATGTACGTACAATTCGCAACACGATACCACAACGGTGTCGCATATCTCACTCGAAGATTTTTACTATCTTAGACTAATCACATAATCGTCGTTATCTGCTTCAAAAACGATGCATACCATTGGTAGACGATAAGTGCACCGAGACCGGTGGTGGGGATTCTTTGTAAATTCATCGTGCAGCCGCCGTAAAATTGTCGTCGTTAAAGCACGGCAGAAGCCGTGTCGCTTCTTATATTTCGACAGTGACGGCGCGACCAGTGAAACCGTGAGCTTGCCCGGATAATTTCGTTTGTGTGTAACTTTGTATGAGGAATAAAACGCGAGAGAGTGTTTCCCTCCGGTGAAGTATATTGCCGACGCACGTGGTGATCGAGTCGCGTGACACATGTGAAACACATCGGTCTAAAGTAAGGTACACAGCTAAGCTGACGAGCATCCTTTATTCGCGTGCACAAAAGCGACACGAAGCGATACGACGAAGTGGTCTGCAAAAGATCTCAGCATACATCTGAGGTACGTACGCGAAAAATTCAAACATTCTTCGGACGCATCTCGGTGCGATTCTGCCTCGCTAAGACAGTTTTCTCATGCATTCTTGAAAATCACTCCTTCTCTTCTCTTTTTGCACATTTTTATTCCACGAACCGTCAAGAATATATTCCTACAATATTATATTAATATTAACGCAAAATTAATATTAACGCTTCTTTTCCAGAAGAGAAGTTCTGAAGATGGAATCGTATAGTTTAATTTTTTTTTTTTTTAATTAGTTTATTCTATCTTTCCGAACATGTTTTTTTCTTCTGGAAATACATTTCTGCTGTCGGTATTTGGCTTTTCTCGGGAAATAATTAAGTGATGATGTTAAAATTTGGAGAAATTATTTTTTAAATGTTTCTTTACTAACATGTGGCAGCAATTTTCAGTTAATGAAAATTTGTTTCCAAGGTCGTTACAAAAAGGTCGTTTGAAGTTAGAAAAGTAAAACTGAAAATTTGTCTCGTTTTACTAATTTTTCAAAAATCCAATTTCAAATCATATATATATATATATATCTTTGTAATCTGTACTTTTTCTTTATCCTACTTCTCACAAATCAGTAAAACTTTACACTAATCGCATTAAGTTTGTTTGCATAAAATTTTATGTAAATTAATTTTTTTCGCCTGATGCATGAAAAAATTTCCTCAACCTCGTTTAAATTTGTCAGCAATCATAATGATATCTCCAACGTCGTTAATAAATGTGATCGTGTTTGTTGGACTTAAGGCGATTGATTCCGTTCTTTAATTAATGTGTTGTTTTTAGCTCTCGCGTCACACATTGGAATTTCGTTGATCGGGCAACTGTCAGATTCAACGAGTATTATTAAACATACTATCTCTGCATAAACTCGACGTTTAAGAAATTGGTTGTGCAGTTTTCGTGTCAGTGTATGCTCGCATATTCGTCTCGGACGCTTGATGAGGCGAATCGTCTATCTTTCAAGATCAGACCAAAAGCAGCCGGGTAAGTGATGGATCGCCAATAAATTTAAATGTACTCGCAAGACTCAATTTACATATATTTATACATACAATATTTTTCGGTTTTCATTATACAACGTTAATATAATTTGCAGACGACGAGCACGATGCTTCGCGAATGTGCGATGCGATAATAAAAACAACCGATAGATTCGGATCAGGACGATTGGGCAGCAATTAGCGTATCGCCCTGATAATTTGATCGTACTTCTGAGAAATCGCCGAAGCGAACGAAAAGGACACATATCGGACACAGTATGGAAGGTAAGTTTCTTTCTGCATTCTCTCTTTCTCTCAATCATTCGTAAACAATAGATGTATCAGTGTATTGTTCACTACCGTGTCCATGATATTCGTAATCATAGATAAGTATACCGTTGCCGATAAGTAAATAAAATTAATAACGCTGATCTGTTTGACCTGGGAGGATAAATTTTATCTTGGGTCGCCCGTAATATCCAAGGATGTTGTTCTTCCTCCTATTGGTACGTATGGTGCCTTAGTAAATAATCAAATAACGCGTGACAATTTTCGCTCACTTTGTACAATCGATACGATATCGAAGCTTCCAATCTCGATGAAACAATTATCAGCATTCTTTTATCCTCTGACGAACAAATAATAACGATCGAGTGACGCCGTTGACGGACCACGCGCTTGTTTGTCGAGTTGAAGTAATGAAAAGAAAAAAAAAAAAGAAAAAGAAAAAGGAAGAGGGCGGCGTTGCGGAGGAGAAAATAAGAAACGTGTCTCGAGTAATACGTTTTACCTTGAATGCAGGCGATATCTACTGCGCAATGTGCGTATGCCTAATCGGATGTATTCAGGATGCAGATTGCTCCGGCCGCACGTTGGCTACTCTCTTGGTTGCTTGGGTGGCGACCTTAATGGTGACTTCGATATTACTGCAATGGGAGTACATGTGGATCGTACTGACGTTTCTGACCATACTGTTCCTCCTAATCTGCGCCTGTATGGCCTACAATATAAAGAAGACTCACATGAGGACTTGGCTCAACGAGCACCAAAGAGCGACGAGTGAGACAGAAAGAGAAAGAGAACGGGAGAGAAGGCCTGTCTGGACTATCTCTAACGGGTTAACGACCGACGATTGCAGAGAGGTATCAACTGGTTTGCATTGGGACGGATTCCCGAGCATCTTGCAGCCATTGTTCTCTCGCGTTCAGTCCGATTGTAAAATAAACAATACACCGAGATCGACCGAGTCAAATGCCGCGAGTGGCAGCGAAACGTCGATGAAGGAATGTTTCAAAGAGACTGACGCGTCAAACGAAAATGTTCGCGCACTTTTGTCACAGTGGAACATGGCGCGATATTCCGTGCGCGATGCTCCTACATGCTTTCCTGTCGTTTGTTCCTTAAAATTTCAAATTTGGCTTTCGGCTACCGTCGCTCGCTCTCTCTTACATCGCCTTTGATCATTTTTAGTCGGTTTTTAAAATCGTTTTTTCACCTCCCGTTGCTCGATCGTGTTTGCTTCGATTAACGTGTACACATTCGCTTGATGGTGTCTCGATCGAGCAACCTTTACATCTGCGATACTCTCTGCTTCTTCACAGGCGGAATCTCGACGAATTGTGGATCTACCACCATCGTACTCGTCCGTAGTATTCAGCATGCAACCTACGTCGGGATCTTTACGCCCGTCGTTAATCACCGGCAATTCACCCGCCGATGCCAAAGCCGAAGACCCACCGCCGTATTCGAGCATGATGGCCATCACCGACACGTCTGGTCGAATTACGGAAGCTGCGAACGGACCGAGCACGGAATCCTCCGCGTCCGCGACGAAGAACAATATCGTTTCCATTGACATCTCGAATGCAAGAGACGCGCACGACTGACGATTAGTACTTAGAGCGTTACTCATTATTTCTTATCAGTGCGTGAATACTGTTTTACGCAAGAGGATACTAAAATCAGTACCGAAAAATAGCAAGTTGAGAAACATGCAGGAGTAATGTTACGATAATAATGTCTTACGAAACATTGATATTTCTACCTGGTCCGCTGCATTATAAATGTATCGCATAAGTATACTTTACCGTATCACAACACCATATTATTGCATCATAAACATGTCATAATAAGACGTTCGACTGACGATTTGTACTTAGGGCGTTATTAGTCATTCGTTATTAACGCGCGTATTTTGCTTTATAGAGAAAAACGGCCAAATCAGTATCGAAAAATAATACTATAAAATATCATAAATATAAATATGCTATAAACTGACTCTTAATACAACATGGCTTTCATTTGAAACCTTTGTAATAGCACCTTTCCGAAATGTTAGCAAATATTGGCAGGTTAGCGGCAAATTTAATTAGAATACAGTGACAGATTCATATATATAGCTATCTCTGTTTGTATTAAGCTTGACAGAGCATATTGACATAACTTGACAACGGATTGGCGTCAATATAGAAATCGATTAGATCTGCTATATGTCCCACTTAAATACATTTAGACAGTTATGGAGCGACAATTCTGCTCGGTTTCCGCCGTCAACCTGCCAACAGATTCCGCCGTGTACTTCTTAAGCAAGACACCGACGAAACTGTATTCAGGTCTGGCTATCTTGATCTCAAGTCTTAAAATAAAAGGAAGTGTTACTTGACCTTTAAGAAGTTAACGAGAAGAAAGCCTCGATCAGGAGACGATTCGTCGGAATACTGATACGACCGAAAAGCTCACCTCACCTCTCTACCCCGAAGATAGACGTTGATCAAACACGCTCACTGCAGTACCGACCGTTCCCGATCGTCGTTCCCGATGATTATGCCTTACCGACAGTAGATAACCGCAGTTCCCGTTAACGGGTCCTACGAGCAAGATTAAAGCTTCCTAGGTGACGTCCGACGTCCGGCGCACAGCCATCTTGACGGTTGCCCGACCGCGGCGTCGTCGAATGAGTAATTCGATACATCGGAAAGATTCAACACGAGGCGCGGCATTTATCCGATCACGTCACTCGAGAGTTGACTCGCGTCATCGGCACCGTGTGGTGAGGAAGCCCGTGCGGATACAGGAACGTCGGATTCCTGACCACTCGACGCGCACACACGTTGTGTGTATGTGAATCTCGCGATCGCTGGAGCACGGGTGGATAGTATCCTGTATCGGCCGAGCGTCGGCGAGAGGCAACGGATCGTCGTTGGCGCGAGTGATATATTTCGTCCGTGTGGTAGACGGCTCCGTCGAGGATAGTGACGTTCTCTAGTCCAAGGCGATGGTACGATGACCGCTCTCAAGTGTCTCGTGTATGCGCTCGTTGTAGCGTCAGGCACGCTCGCCGCGTACCCCTGTAAGTACCGCCAGCGTTCATACCAACTGACTCCAGTGAATGATGACGACCCAGCCCATCTCGAAATAACATGGCGCGTGCGGTTATTCGCATCGCGCGATTGTATGCACGCGCTGAATAACACACCGTGCGCGCGTTACGCACGCTCCTGCGACCGTACATGTCATGATAATTTTGCCATTTGTGTGCGAACTTTTTTTCGCACCAGTCGCACAAACCTGTCGTCCTACGCTTTACGTTGCAACATGTGCTACAATGTTTGTGATTAGCTAGTCATTGCATTTCCGCGTGTGTGCGTGCGTGCGTGCGTACGTGCGTGTATATATGTATGTGCCCGTTATTATTAACGTATTTATTCTTTCATGCAGTTATGCACATGCAAAGGGATGTTAATATATATATATATATATATAATATATATATGTGTGTGTGTGTGTGTGTGTGTGTATGTTGACATTGATTCTATACATAGAATCAATAACTTCATTGATATACATTAATGTTGTTAGAAGTGTTTGCAGAATTTAACTTACTTAAAAGTTACATATGTTTCTCATGTTTGATGCATTCCGCTTTATTCCAGTCGTTAAAATTTAATGATATAATTAGGTGATCCTATACAATACAATTTTGTGGCATTAGTGGGATCGTTTGATAACATTCTTTACTTTCCGTTAGCTTTTATACTTTACTAAATGAAGTACTAAATGAAGTAAATATTCCATAATTTTCTTTACATGGAAAAAGATGCGATAAAGTACATCTTGACAAAATTACAATTGTGTCTTTTAGATGACGAGGAGTGCAATCTTCCTCTTTTGGATAGAGCTCATCTAACAGCTACCTCTTCCTTGCCTGAGAGAGGCCCAAAGAATGCCAGGTTAAATGGTAAGAGAAAATGTTTGATTGTTTTAATATCTAAAGGCGTCTCGTCATTTATTAAGTAAGGTCTATCGTATAATTTTCATTATATATAACATATGATTATTATATGATTATATTGATAGTAGTTTGTTGCTTGCTCTCTATTCCTACAGAATCTGTTGTTGTCTATATCGCACACTGTATTTGCTTTTGTTCGCATTGATAATGATTGTAAATAATTTTGTTAATACTGTTTTTCTATAATATTTTTTAATATCTAAAAATTCAATGAAGTTTATAAGAATTAAATTAGTATCAAGGAGCATATCTACCATGATGTGCACAATTATGCTCAATTATGACACATGCCCCTATGATTCATCATCCAATCATTTTATACTTATCTGTCTTCATCTTTATTACATAATACTTTAAGCAGAGTTATCCATCTTAAAAATAGATTCTTTTTTTTACTAAAAGAAAAATATGATATAATAAGTTGATATGTATATTTGCTTCAGGTGGATCCTAGCAAGTAGCCTGGAGAATATCTTATAAATGAGATATCTTGAAAAAAAAATTATTTTTATAATCAGAGATAATTTAAGGGTGTACCGACTGCGATCCCAGACCAGCCAAAGACTATTGGGATATATAAACTGTGATTAAATAAGTTGAATGCTTAAGCTTGGCACAAACATTTTGAAAATGTCGACGGCCGTTCGTTGGGCGTTTAATTGGAAAGAGTGGAGTCCGGATCGGAAGGAGTTTGAACATGCGATTTCTTGCGTACAGAGCGACGAGAAAGAGAGACTAGGGAAGTTTGTATTTCGTAAAGATGTAAGGTCTTCTCTCGCAGGCAGACTGTTAATGAGAAAATTCGTTAATGAATACACGGGACTCCCATATGACGAAATAACTTTCATCAGAGATGAGCATAACAGGCCGCAGTTGAAAGATAACGCCGCTATTGTAAGTTTTAATGTCTCTCATCAAGGCTCCTATACAGTCTTAGCGGGTGAAACTAGAGATGTAAAATTAGGTGTGGATGTGATGGCCTTAGAGTATACTGGCGGCAAAAGCATCTCCGAATTTTTTCGTATAATGAACAGAAATTTCTCGACGGCCGAATGGACGGAGATCAAAGGCTCCGTTCCGGGAAAGTCGGAAATGGAACAGATATCTATGTTTTGTAGACACTGGGCGTTGAAAGAGAGCTATGTTAAAGCGCTCGGTGTGGGAATTGTCGTTGACTTAAGAAATATAGACTTTCGGACAAATTCGGAGTTGAGTAAAGACTCGGTTACAACTGATACAGTCCTGTATGTCGACGGCGTTAAGCAAAATTGGTTGTTTGAGGAAACTTTACTCGATTCACAACACTGTGTTGCTGTGGCATTGCAAGAAAATGACAAAACACTGTCGCATAACACCACGTTTGAGTTAATAGATTACGATAAACTTATGACGCACTCGGTTCCACTCTTTCCGATAGATCCACCATACACGACGCAATATTTCGCTAAATCAGAAAAGCCATAGCTTCTTTAATTTACTTCTAAAATAAGATCGCGACACGCATGACAAATGTCTCTTCCTCATATCTATGGTAAAAGATGGATATTGCACATTGTATACAAGTTTAACCGCAAGCCAATAAAGCACTAAGCACTACTTTTCAATAATTTTTTTACTTACCTTTTTATAAATTGGATAAATTTTCCTGTGCAAAAGTCGCGGTGTAATTCGAATCTCGAAAAAAAATATAAGATAAAAGTCTTAAATTAAAACTACCGTGATGAAAATTCAAAGTAATCCTTGCAGAATAGATGATTGCGTTCATTCATACAGTGTGGAATTGATACTGAGATAATGAATGCCACTAAAAGAATTCTTTGAGAATTTTTATATGATTTCGGAGAAGCGTGTGTCTCTCTCCGGTGTACTGTTTTACACTCTATTTGAGAAAGGAAATGTTTGATTGAGCTTACGGCGTAATATAGCTTTGGTACACCCACGTAAATTAGTCTCTGAGTATAAAAAAAAAGGCGCTGCTAGAAGCAACCCCCTGATTATGCCGCTACGTTCCCTTTCAAATTATTTATGAATATTTTTCTACGTTTATTTTGAGTTGCTTGCATGCATAAATGTTGTGGTGTAGGCGCAAACGCATGGACGGCTAGCAGTTCCGATTTCGGTCAGTATTTAATAATCGACTTGGGCGAAGTAATGAACATCTCAGCCGTGGCGACTCAGGGACGATCGCTGAAGAATGAATATATTATGGAATATTGTATTAGCTATGGTACCAACGGCCTCGACTATGTGGATTTCAAGGAAGAAGATGGCTATACGAAGGTAAGCTCGTCGAAGCCCACTGTCTTGCTTTTCCTGCTTTTCGATACGGTGGTGAGGTGAGGTATGGTACGCTTAATTAACACGCATCAATTTCTCGATAACATACGGGGCTTGCTTATGCATGTGGTACGTAGTGCAGTGATTGAAGTTAGATGTACAGAGAGAAAGTGTGCAAAGTTGTTAAGTATTTTTTGTAACACTTGATAATCATGAGGTTATTGTGTGCCTGTGGAGTTTTTTTTTCCCACATTGGTAAGTACTTTGATGTATGCTTTAGAACTTACAAAAGTGCTTCGCATTAGTCATTATTCCGACACTCATGTTGTGTTTAGTACGTTTCGTGATTTTCTCTAACGTCACATGGACACATGGACGCGCGTGTGCGCACACGAATGCTGAATTAAATTATGTCCAAGTTGTGCGGTAATTGGGTGTAAATGTTTACTTTTGGAATTAATTCGCGAAACAGAGTTTGACTCGTAGTGAGTTATATGAAATAAAGGTGAACTTGATGATTTCTTTAAGTACTCTGTTTCCTATATATCCGTTTGCTTGCTTCGCTTCGACTTTTCTCCTCTTACACATGGACATGGAGCTGGGCTTTACAGGAGATTCCACGTGGTCACCAGAACTTAGCAGTTACAATCAACATCTTACTATGGAGCTGGGGGACAGATATGAGATACGGAGCGTTGCTACGCGAGGGCGGGCGCATACTAATGAATACGTGACAGAATATATTATCCAATATTCCGATGATGGTCAAGCTTGGGCCAGTTATGAAAGCGAGGATGGCGTAGATGAGGTATTAAATTTGAAGGATGGAGTCTAAAATTGTCCTACTCACGTATCTAAGAGTGTAGTCCGCAGATTTACAAATTGTGGTTACCCGAGAAAGGTTTTTATGTTGGATAGCATTTCCTTTTTTTCTATCTTGAAGTTATGTAGAACAATTGAAGCTTTCTTCCTTATTATGCTCTAAGCTACGTACGTGATAAGGTACACGTCCAAAAACATTACGTAAAGATATAGATAAGATATAGATTTCGTTTTATTGAAAGATGGTCTGCAGATATCAGCTTATCGTGGACGATATAAAGTCTCAAGAAAGTAATGAGAAACGCACATACACATTTTAGTTTCCATCATTCATAAGACAAATTCATAATAAAAAAAAAGAACGAGACGGATATTAATATCTATAGACATATTTGAAACATAAATCTTATTATTATTATTGATGTTACATTAATTTCGGGTTGAAACACAGTTTTGTTCGTACATCTTGATATTGTTCTGGATAGGTGTATTGTGCAATTTACAGATGAACGCACGACAAATTTAATTTCAGCGCTTTTGTCGGTTGCTTTATATTTTATGGTGAAAACAAGTATTATAAAATTTCTCTCTGTAGAAAGTCCATGGAAAAAACGTCCAGCTATAAAAAAGTTTTGATATACATCAAGAGAGAGAGAGAGAGAGAGAGAGAGAGAGAGAGAGAGAGAGAGAGAGAGAGAGAGAGAGAGAGAGAGAGAGAGAGAGAGGAAGAGATTCTGTTTGAAATCTTCTGTTTTAACAATTGCTGTTGAAATTCGAAAATCTGCAACAAATAAGATTAAAAAGCGCGACCGTAGGTCGCGCACAACAAAGTAAACGTTAAAGACTACGATATATATATATATATATATATAAAATCGAGTGAGGTTAATAAACTTTCACGCGGAAAGACACTATTGTCAGATTTAAGCTTTTCTTTTTTTTTTTTATTATTTCTCTCACATTGCGTCTTCACTGATATATTTCTTCAAAGGAAAGAAACGTATATATATAATATTCTCGATAAAGACTACAACATATATATCAAGTCGAAAGAAAAAAGAATCTCAAGCCAGAAAGAGGATCCTTAGACGATACGGACTGAACGAATACACAGATTAAAGGAACACAGATTATACACCATACAGCGTGTTGCACTATATATATATATATATATACATATATATATATACTACTTAACACTGTTCGATACGGACCATCTCTTTTCGTACGTACATATATAAAGATTTATTTATATTACGCCGATATGAATGCTCTAAAATAGCTGTGATCAATCGCGAAGAGGATGCGCCATTTACATAATAGAACAGTAAACACACGCGCGTGTGATTTGCACGAGCCGCAGGTACGCAATATTATGCAGTTAGAGGAATTCAATCCGATCAACATAAATCATATGCGTCATGTATACAAGAAATCTTCCAATGAGGAGTCGGTCGCACCTCAAAGGAACCAGTCTCTTTCTTTCTTCTTTACGAGTGCACGCGGTTTTGCCACTTGAAAGAATAAAGAACGTGTCCTTACTTAACTTAAACAATAAATATACCTCTTGTGTGTGTATGTGTGTGTGTGTGTATATGTGCGAACAGTGTGTTACTCTACACGACCGAATCGACACATCAGACTCATATTCAGTTGGACTAGCATTAGCACAGTTATTAGTACATTTATGTGAAGGCTAGTGCTCAACAGACATACTCGATACGCATCTCTCGTCGGGATTAGTTGTTGTTATTGTTCGTGAAGCCCTGCCCCTGGCGTGTATAGTACACTCGGTAATACAGTCTTTTGCTTCGCCAGAGTGAGTACGAGTTATCGAATTTCAGAAGGTACACTCCTTCACCCGGGTACTGATGACTCCCACCGTAAATTTCGTCCTGAGAGTCTCTTCTGTAGACGGGTACTATGACGCTGATGGGTGGTGTGGTCATTCTACGCTCCGGCCGGGAGTTGTTGTTCACCGGTCCGCTCTCCAAGTCGGCCCTCGATTCGTACTCTTCGTCCTCGTCGTCATCCTCGGACTCGCTTATGTGCACGGACACTTGATTCGTGTCCGGCTTGGACCACTCGAAGTACACGCCGAAGCCGATATCGTAGGAGTCCGTCACGAACTCCCAGAACAAGCACGTACCGTCCTCGTGTGTCGGCACACGGACGGTGACGGTTTCCCCGTGGCCTACCCTGATGACCGCATCGGGCGCTTCTCTCCAGATGGTTCGCTTGAACTCCTCCACACCTTTCCTCGTCCACATCTCGGCAGGAGTGATGGGTGGCCAGTCCTCCAAATCATCGGAATCCTCGTCGTTTGTATTCGACGCATCCTTGTTGTCGTCTTCCTTTGACAAAGTCTCCTGCTCGATGTTCTTCTTCTTATCCTCTTCGCTCTGGCCCAACTGGTTCTGGTGCAACTGTTGCATGTACTGATGGTAATGTTGCTCTTGCAGCTGCCTAATCAGAACACCCTGTTGCTCTGGATTGCCAGGATACTGCTGCTCAGCGTACATCTTGAATTGATGATACGTTTGCTGATTCAAAGCATCCTGAATTTGTCTCCTCTGAGTCTCCTCCTTCAGTCTTTCCTCCTCCTGCTTCTTACGTTCCTCCTCCAACTCCTTAAGTTTCCTCTCCTCCTCCAGCATTCTGGCCTCCTCCTCTTTCTTCAGCCGCTCTTTCTCCTCAAAGTCCCTTTTCTGTGCCTCAGCCACAGTTCTAAACAAGGGACATAGCTTATCCAACAGTACTATAAAACCCTCCATCGCTTGCTCCTTAGTTATATCACCCAGATTCTGCCACGCCATGCGCCTGTCTTTCCCAATGACGTCTAACACGCCCAGTGGCGGTGCGTTCTCGGTGGTGCACTTCCCATGCGTCACTTGCTGGATGAACGCCACCAATTTCAGCTTATCTTCATAAGAGATGTGCACGGCCTTACCCTTCTTCTCTTTGTAGAAGTTGAGCGCGATCTTGTAAAGCTCTCGCGTCTCAAAGCCCCAAAGCTGCGGCTCACCAGCTTTCCCATAGTCGACGACGTCATCGTCGCCCTTGTCCGCTGCCGCGTCATCCGTCGTAGAAGAGAGATTCAACTTCTCGACCTGATCTTCGAGCGCGGGAATGTCGTTCTCTCTAGCGGCCGCCATTTGCCTTCGCTCGCGTTTGACACGTCGATGAAGACTGATACGACGAATCGCGCACCTAACCTTCGCCGACTGACCTAACCTGCCTGCGCGACTGCGGCCGACCGAGCGGCGTTGGTAGTGTGTATATGTGACGATATGACGGAGATTCTGCGCGGCGTCAATACACGCTGATAAAATGGGCGGCCGGCGGCGACGAATCGCAAGCGAGCGCGTAAACTTACTGCGAGAGGCGAATGTCTTTAACGTTTACTTTATTGTCGGGATACATTTCATTTCTTTCGCGCAACTTGTTGACGCGGGGAGGCCAGTAATTTTTAACGCTATATATTTTTTCAATGTCACATAGGATTTATATGCACTTGATATATTGACATTTACGCCGTATTAATATCGGTAATAATTTTTTTCCGTATTGTGCAAAAAGAGGCCAGTACATTTTGTTTCTTGAAAATTGAAATCGATCACGATGGTATCCACAGCTCTTGGGATTCATGCATCCGCTCTTAACATTGGCGTTTCCTCCAGTACTAACAATCTAGTTAGAACTAATACATATACATTTGCGCAATCGGTAGCGGTTGGGTAGCGTTTTGCATTATACTTACTTACTTACTTACTTATTGAAAATCTCGAAATTAATGCAATTGATTGTCATCTCGTTTATCCGCATAAAACACGCACATACAAAATCGTGTAACTACTGAATCAATTGTCTCCTTCACTGTCTGTTCAGGATTTTCAAGCTGATCTGGAGACTGGTGTTTCTATGTAACATATAAAACTAATTAATCATATTTGATTAACAATATCCTATCTCCTTGATAGACATTTTTGTGTTCAAAATTAGTTTTAACTTACAGCATGTATGCAACTTAACTATATTCTGCACGATTGTTGCGCCATTAATTGTTTATTACTGAGAGGTAGCTGGTGGAAAGTATTGATTTAGCAAGGATAGCAAGTGTCTAAGACGTTTCTTTTTTTTCCGCAGATGTTTAAAGGTAATGTAGATGGGGACAACATAACACTTAATAGATTTAAGGTACCGATAATCGCACAATGGATTCGAATAAACCCGACGCGATGGAGAGACCGAATATCCCTGAGGATTGAAGTCTACGGATGCGACTATGGTATAAAATAATTACATGCATTTGCGTCTTAAATTGTGCGAAATTTATGTGAAGAATGGCGAATCTAATTTGTTTCGTTTCAGTGTCCGACGTTGTTGCATTTAACGGATCGTCTCTTATACGCATGGATTTACTCAGGGATCCCATCGAGACTGACAGACATCGCCTACGTTTCCGCTTTAAGACGAATAATGCCGACGGCGTATTAATGTATTCTCGCGGTACGCAAGGTGACTATATAGCCTTGCAACTGCGCGACAATAGAATGCTGCTCAATATCGATCTCGGATCCGGTATTATGACCAGCCTTTCCGTCGGCAGTCTTCTAGACGACAATATGTGGCACGATGTTTCCATTGACCGCAACAGAAAAGACATTTTGTTTTCCGTCGATAGAGTACTCATTAATGGTAGAATAAAAGGAGAATTCCACCGATTGGACTTGAATCGAGAGGTGAATAGGGCTCTCGAGGCGAAAGGGAATTTTTGCCAATAGATATCTGATTTTAGATAGCGGATTTTGTATGCGTGTTTCCGCTTCAACGAGCCCTTTTTCTTTTCTCTCTAGCTCTACATCGGTGGTGTGCCCAATATGCAGGAAGGTCTGATGGTGAACCAAAATTTCACCGGCTGTATAGAAAACTTTTACTTAAACCATACGAATATAATCAGCGAGCTGAAAGAGATGGAAATATCGGATGAGAATCTGAGATATTACAAGATCCATACGCTCTACACTTGTCCGGAGCCACCGATAATACCGGTGACATTCTTAACTCCTGGATCCTACGCCAGATTGAGAGGATACGATAATGTACGGACGATGAACGTTTCTCTCGCGTTCCGGACGTACGAAGAGCGAGGGATCATTCTTTACCATCAGTTCGCGTCTCCAGGTTTCGTCAAGGTTGTACACAGTTTCAGTCTTGGTCCTTGAGAATTTCAAATTTTCCTTAATAATGTCGCGTGCCAAAGATGGCAAATTGTTGACTTAATTCTGTATCATCGATTCAAGACTCAAGAGTCTCTTATGCGCTTACATACGTCGCTACGAAAGACGTTGCGATAATTTACCATTATTTTTTTATACGCAGTTATTCCTGGAGGAGGGCAAACTGAAGATCGAAATAAAAACCAACGATAATCCATGGACGAAACTGGACAATTTCTATGAGAAATTTAACGACGGTAAATGGCATCAGGTGATTCTGACGATTCAACAGAATTCTCTCATTTTAAATGTAGATGGAAGGCCGATGAAAACAAAACGGCTGCTGAGCATAGCGACTGGAAGGTTTTACATGATCGGCGGTATGATCGGAGAGGGGAGCAATTATGGTTTTGTCGGTTGCATGAGGATGATAAGTGTCGACGGTAATTACAAATTACCGACCGATTGGAAAGAGGACGAATACTGCTGCAAGAACGAGATGGTATTCGACACTTGTCGGATGGTGGATCGTTGTAACCCGAATCCTTGCAAGCACTCCGGAGTTTGCCGGCAAAATTCTGATGAATTCTTCTGCGATTGTGCCAACACCGGATATACGGGTGCCGTTTGTCACACCTGTGAGTATCGTCGCATTTTAAATGCCACTCCAATCCAACATCATAAAGTTGATTCTGTCGTGAGAATGACGTATCGATTGTGTCTACCTAGCACTGAATCCTCTCTCGTGCGAGGCGTATAAGAATATAAATGCGGTCAATCGACGGCAGGATATTAAAATCGACGTCGATGGAAGCGGGCCGTTGAAACCGTTCCCGGTTGTCTGCAAATTCTCTGCCGACGGCAACGTAGAAACAATTGTACATCACAGCAATGAGAATGAAACACCTGTTGACGGATTCGAGGAGCCCGGCAGCTTCATCCAGGATATCAAATACGACGCTGACATGGATCAGATAGAAGCTTTGTTAAATCGCTCCACCAGCTGTAATCAGAGAATCAGTTATAGATGCAAGCGTTCCAGGTTATTTAACTCGCCAGGTAAATGCGAGTTATCACAATTATCACGATACAACCCTCTATTTCTACGTTTTTGTTCTCGTTTTATCTTCGTCGTTTCTTTCGTTTGTTGCAGTTTCTCCAGGCGAATATTTCCGACCGAATTCCTGGTGGGTCAGCCGGCAGAATCAAAAGATGGATTACTGGGGCGGTGCGCTGCCCGGCTCGCGAAAATGCGATTGCGGTATAGAAGGAAGCTGCACGGATCATACCAAGTGGTGCAACTGCGACGCTAATTTGGACACCTGGATGGAAGACAGCGGCGACATTACGGAGAAAGAGTATCTTCCCGTGAAACAGTTACGTTTCGGCGACACGGGCACACCGATCGATGATAAAGAGGGCGCCTATACGCTAGGTCCGCTTATCTGCGAAGGTGACGGTAAGTTTACCAAAGCAGGCAGGTTGTTCCAACTCCTTGGTAAGTTAACTGATAGTTAAATCATACATCTGTTGAATCTGTATCCGAGTTGGAGCAGAAACAAAGATAATTGATGATAAAACTGATGATTTAACTATCAGTTAACTTATATATCAAGTTGGAACAACGGGCCCTTAGTCGTTTATGATACGCAGAGTAAGCAGAGCGAACGATTCAGCTTCATCATCGAGTTTCACTCTTGAGGCAGCGCGAGCACAAGCGCATGACACTCGCCGATACTCTTGTTACAGGCTTGTTCAAGAACGTAGTGACGTTCCGTATAGTGGACGCCACCATCAATCTACCGACGTTCGATATCGGCCACAGTGGTGATATTTACTTCGAGTTCAAAACCACCATCGAAGACGCCGTGATGATCCACAGTAGAGGACCGACCGACTACATTAAGATTTCCATAAACAGCGGAAACCAGATACACTTCCAATACGTGGCTGGTGGTGGTCCGCTGACGGTGAGCGTGCAGACGTCCTACAACTTGGCCGACAACAAGTGGCACTCCGTGTCGGTGGAGAGAAATCGCAAGGAGGCCCGAATCGTCCTCGACGGGGCGCTGAAGAACGAGGTGCGAGAGCCACCGGGTCCGGTGCGAGCGATTCACCTCACCTCGGATCTCGTGGTGGGTGCCACGACCGATTACAGGGACGGTTATGTCGGCTGCATACGATCTCTGCTTCTGAACGGCCAACTGCAAGACCTGAGAAGTCACGCCCGCCGCGGATTGTACGGCGTTACGGAAGACTGCGTCGGCAGATGCGAGAGCAGCCCTTGTCTGAACAACGGCACGTGTCATGAAAGGTACGACGGCTACTGGTGCGACTGCAGGTGGACCGCGTTTAAAGGACCGATCTGTGCGGACGGTAAGTACAGGAATTTCATCAAGAAGAATGCGAACGATCGCGTTGGCTACTATCACAGATCGATCGTGTACTTGTGATTTCCAGAGATTGGTGTAAACATGCGACCGAGTTCGATGATAAAGTACGATTTCATGGGCAGCTGGCGCTCCACCATCGCCGAAAAGATACGCGTCGGCTTCACCACGACGAATCCGAAAGGATTTTTGTTGGGTCTTTTCTCCAACATCTCAGGAGAGTACATGACCATAATGGTCTCCAACAGCGGACATTTACGAGTGGTGTTTGACTTCGGCTTCGAACGACAGGAGGTCATATTCCCGTACAAGCACTTTGGCTTGGGACAGTATCACGACATCAGGATCGGTAGGAAGAATTCGGGCTCGGTTTTGACCATGCAGGTTGACAATTATGAGCCGAGGGAGTTCCACTTCAACATCAAGGCCTCCGCGGACGCGCAATTCAACAACATTCAATACATGTACATTGGTAAGAACGAATCTATGACAGAAGGATTCGCGGGCTGCATATCACGAGTCGAGTTCGACGATATATACCCGCTGAAGCTGCTCTTCCAAGAAAACGGACCCGCGAACGTGCGCTCGCTCGGTACTGCGTTAACCGAGGACTTTTGCGGGGTCGAGCCGATCACGCATCCACCGGATATCCTGGAGACGCGCCCGCCGCCGATAGTGGACGAGAATAAACTGCGAGCAGCGTACAATGAGACCGACACGGCCATTTTAGGGAGCGTACTGGCGGTCATTCTCATTGCGCTTGTGATCATGGCGATCCTCATAGGTAGATATATGTCTAGGCATAAGGGCGAATATCTGACGCAGGAGGACAAGGGTGCGGAGATAGCCTTGGACCCGGATTCGGCAGTCGTCCATTCCACCACTGGCCATCAAGTACAGAAAAAGAAAGAATGGTTCATCTAAAACGCGTGCGGATGTATTGAAGTTGAATTAATTCTGGTCTTATTTTGTCAATTTTTTTATCTTTATCTTAAAGATTTAAAGAAATAGCTAAATTTATATCAGTTCAAACATTTCCCGCCGTTAGACGATTAGACTTTTTCCCATCTTTCTAGCAACATAGATTCCGTGATGACGATAGGACGATCTGTCTTTCGAAGGAAACCAATCGGACACTCATTTTTGCACATTCTGTAATTATTGTATCTGTAAGCGTGTATCTGCCTGGCAAGCAAAGACATGGCGATATTCAAACGATTTGCAATGACACTTTTACTCAATTCATGTGGAAGCCATTTGCCTTCCTTTTGAATTCTTCCCATGGCGTGTAGGCGTTTAGAAATTGTTGATTTATCGACGTTGAGTTGTTCAGCCAATTGTTTTTCCGTTTGAGCGGTGTTTTCATTCAATAATGCTTGCAATTCAGAATCTTCGAATTTTTTCGGTTGACCAATACTTTTGAATCATTGAAATGAAAATTTACAGTTGGAACGCGATGGAACTTGATCACCAATAAGTTGTAACAAGCATTTTACGAGCTACAGTTGCCGATTTTTTCAAATCAAACGAAAAGAGTAATGAATGTCGAAGATGCAATTTCGTACGATTCATTTTAGACGCGTATAAACAACGAAACTATAAGTGACAATAGCGCGCAAACTGTCGTACGTCATAGAGAAATGTCAAATCTTTCAGTGTTGCCAGATTTCAACATTTTCGTACTAACCATTAATTTGTTACTGAAGCCATCAATTTTGCTAGGGACCAGAACTAATTCAATGTTCTAATATGTTTCCCGCTAAGAGCTACGCAAACGTTGGAGAGGAGTAATGAGTAAGCATTAACTTAATCTAGATCTATTGCATAAACTGTCTTGTAAGAATGCTGTCTCTTTAGTTCCGTTTGGATATTATTTCTTCGTGTATGTTATAATTTTGAATCGAGAAGAGACAAACGGATATCATTTTCCGAGACTGCCATTCCGCATAGTTTCTTAACGCATTTCTCTCGCCTTGGCGACAACAACGTGACTGCCGAAATCTCACGAATCTTCGAAACTTGTGGTTATAATGATTGATGGACGATATTCTTGCATCCTCTGGTACGTTCGGTTACGTTCATTGTGTCAACGAGATAAAAAATAGAAGAAATAAAGGTGACTCATAATACAATATTGTTTCTCACTGAGAAGTATATACGTTGCAAGCTCCAATCGAAATGCATTTTTATAATCGGACATAAAAGAGCTTTATGTAATATATAAATAGGTTTCCCATGTACAAAGCTATTTTTTTAATTCGGATAAAAATTACTTACGTTTACGCATTTCGTCCTTCTTTACGATAATTTGCACAGTATTAGTTGTAATGCCTACCGTCCAAAGTGCGTTTTACATTTTAATTTTTTTTTTTCTTTTAGATTTATTTTATATATATTTTCACTTTTGTTTGTATAATTATATTTTACAGATGTTTACCTTTTTTTTTTTTACATAGATCTGCAACAACACCGTAGTAATTTAATACTGATATATATATAGCACTAAGAATAATAATTGTAATGATAACAGTAACAACAAAAACGATAATAATAATCATAACCGTAACAATAATAATTGTATACTAAGCATGTAACACACAATGAAAGTGTACATAAATCATTTTTATATGAATAATACATTCGTTATTTCTTGTTATTGAATGGATATCTCTCGTTTGTCACACAAGCAGACACGAGAACAACAGAGATGTACAAACTGAACTCACCGAAGTGACGATTTATATTTGAAGAGAATGATGCTGATCGTAATGAATGATATGTCACTTTACACGGACGTTTATACATATAACAGAGGACGGAATTTAATGAAATAAATCATCCATCTCATGCTCTTACTTATTGATCTTGTAAAAACCGGATGCCAAGGTCACCTTGCGTTCTTTTCATTACGTATAGATATGTCTCTGCATCTTACACGTTTCAGTCTCGAAGGGAAGAGTATCTGATTTTCGAAAGAGTTGCGTGCTCGATCAGCGATCTACAATCTGAATACTTTCTCTTCAGCTGCGAATATTCCCCGCCCTTACCGATTACTTACCGATATCGAGAATCTTTCGCACGAAACTATATATTACTTACGTTCTTTACATTTGGCAGGTTCATCTCGTCGGGAAATATCGCATCCGAGTATGCAGCAGAATGCGAAAATACAAGTCTTGCAATCGGCGGCTTCTTCGCCGATCGCGTCTAGATAATAAAGCTTTCGTTTCGGCGGTTTCATGAATAAATAAATAAATATATACTTATTTATTCGGAATTTGTGAGATTTATCAGCGAAAGAGAACAGAAAGAAATCGAGTCAAATAACGCTCAGCGAGTGAATTTCTTTCTTTCTTTCTTTTTTTTAGGCACGTAAGCTGTATTTACACGTGTACTTGTCAAAAACAACTGGTTGAAGTGTTAAACAGTAAAATACAATATTAACCTTCCTAAAAGAATTCGCTACCTCCAAAAATGTTGACTTTTTCCGCGTGTCGCGAGATACGTGTCCCCTCGATATCTACACTTTCATCTATCCGATACTTAAGAGGTAATATATCGCTAGAGCAGTCTATAAATATACATACAAATGTCTCTTGTATCCTTAATAAGTAAACAATCTCAGTGCGTATTAATAAAAGTGTCTATTTTTAATATCACTCGTGTTCCAGATTGCTCGGTCGTGTCTTTCCACGCCAGTGGCGTAACGCGACTGTGTATAAATATCGTCATTTGATCTTTCCTCTTTCTTTTTCCTTTTCTTTTTCACGTATGTGCCACTCTCGTCATGACTCGCCCAGCGTTTTGCAGCTCTCACGCTCGTCGAGTCCGGGCGTGCGTGCGTGCGATGGAGTCGCGCAGAACGCCCATCTGCATACGAACGAAACGCGAACAGGTCCAGCCGAGAGGCCACACTCTACCCACTTCCCCGATCGCAAGTCGAAATCTAAAGAACAAGAAGCATTTTGCAACAACGAATCATCTTTGGGAGAAATCGATCGTACGTAGGACGTCTCGAGTGTAACGACGCGCGTACGACAAACTCGACTCGATCAACTAAAACAAGAAACAGACTCCAGCGCGAATCGACAGAGATAGCGATTTCTCTTAAGTGTACTGCCGCGTGCTTGCTTTCCCAAACACGCGTATTTGTATTCTGCGTATTTGTATTCCGCGTGAAAATTGAGATAAATTCGAATCCGCGCCTTCTCCCGCGCTAAACCAAAACGAACGAACGAACACGTTCCGAGCGTGTGAAGGAGTTTCACGTTTCAAAAGTTTCAAAATTATTTAAACCTCATTGTTTCTTCAATGCACTTCGCAACACGGCCGGTAATCCACCCACGAGAGAACCTGTTTTCAGTCGATTCCCCGAAAATAAGATTCTCCCTCATCGGAATATCGGCTGCGTTTCCAAACTGTATCCGGAAGAGCGCTCAAATTGTTTTGAAACCCGCACGTGAACCGTTCGCACAGACTCACATACATAGATTCGGCGTTCCACAAGAAGCTGCGAAGACCGAGAGGTTTCTTTTATACCGCTGAACTGATTATTTCGCACTAATTTTTTCCCTCTTTTTTTTCATAAACATAAGTCTCGACATCGATATATCTGTCTGTTTGGAAATTTCGAGAACGCACACAAGTTCAGCGATAAAAAACAAACCTTACATCTGAAAAGGACGGTCTGTGCCACAGGCACGTTCGATTTTCGCCTAACTCCGCTCTTGGAGAAAGTTAGACGAAGATGGCATATCCGGATGGACAGCGGAAGAGGTATATAACTGTCCTTTACAGCGTGGTCTTCAAACTTCTCACAAGAAGACGCAGTCCATGTACACAAAATTCTACCGACCGTTCGTCTCATCCGCGCGCAACGAAACAACACACTACAATACAAAATATGTCCAAGTGTCACGCTGTGCGAGAGCGAACGAGCGTGCCAATGGAGTTGCCGCCGCGCTGTCGCCGTCGCTGCCGGCTCGATCGCGGAGTAACACCTAAACGCAGTGCGAAGTTAGTCCTCGTCCCTGGTGGCGCGCGTATGCCAATATATCACATGTATAATAAAATCGCGGGATCTCCTATGGTATTTGTTACGGTCTCTTGAGCGTCTCGCGTCTCAAAGTCACTTGGAACACGCACGGTGAACACGCATGAATTAGTTCCCCCTTGGCTCCGTGCGCTCAGCGCGCATCGACATCTCCGAAAAGTCAACATACATAATAATTTATTCATTATATTACAATAAATCGTTCTACATAATGGAGAAGAGAGCGATTGTTGTTACAGGCGTACGCGCCGTAGCTCGCATTGGATGCGTGCGCTCACGCGGCGGCCGCGAGTCCGCGATGACGAGAGAGAGGAAGAAGGGCCGCCGTGGTGATTTCGACAACGACACGAGGTGTCCGTTCGCGAGTCGAATCGCGACCGACGGAATTTAGCGTATCACTGATATGCACGAGGGTCGGATGTGGAATGGGGCGGGAGCGGGCTTGTGGGACGAAGGGCGAGGAGGCAGGGAGAGGACGGGACTGAGGCTGGGTAGAGGACTTTGGGTGTTGTTTTAATTACAGTTGCTTAAGTACACGCGTTCCGTTACGCGTCGCACGGCTGTTCTCACAGGATCCTACTGATGGTGGTGCCACTAGGACGCCGAGGTGTACCAGCCGTTCGCCGTCGACTTGTTAGTCGGATGGTAGATGTGGAAGCCGGCGCTGCCGGCCGGGTGGTGATAGAACTGCGGCTGCTCGGCCAGACCCGCCGAGGCGTACGCCGCTGCGGCGTCTAAGGCACTCGGATGAACGGTGGCCGAGTACACCTGGGGTTTCAGCGGTAACGGCTGAGCCGGTTCGTATTGATGACGGAGCACCGGTTCCGCGTACGCCGACGAACTCTCGTAGCTGCTTATCACGTTGACGGGGTGTAACTGTTGTTGCTGTTGTTGTTGCTGCTGCTGCTGTTGCTGCTGCTGCTGCTGCTGCTGCTGCTGCTGCTGCTGCTGCTTATCCCGAGGCGAGACCGACGACGGCGGCGTCATCGCCGAATGGTAGTCTACCGAGTAACCACCGGCTGTGGCGGTTGTGTACGAGGAGACCAAGCTGGTGAACGCGTCGGCGCAGCTGCCGCCGCTGGTGCCCTTCTGATTGTGCGCGGCCAGGACGAACTGATGCTCGCCGTACGTGCTGGAGCCCTCGGAGCCCGGCGGCGTCGGCAGCGGTCCATTAGGGCCGCCGTCGCCGGGGTAATAAATGCCGGCCGACGAAGGTGCGCGTGCACCGCCGCTCGACGTGATCCCGTGGACGTTGGCGCGTATCACGCTCTCCCGGTTGGCGTACAGTTGCCTGAGGAGCGCGGAGGCGGGTAACGGGGCGGCGGTGGATTGTTGCGGGCTCAAGTGGCCGAGGTGGTGATGAGCGCCTATCCATTGTATCGTGCTCCTCTGCTGCTGCTGCTTCAGCAACGCGTCCGTACTGAAGTCGGTCGGCTGGTGGAGCGCCGCCGGCGAGTTGGACTTGTTGAGCGAGCTCACCGGCAGGTGCTTCGACATCGCCTGCTCCAGATCCTTCACCGAGGTGCCGGTACTCTCGGAATTGTCGAGCCTGCCGGCGGCCTCAGTGCGACGGGACTTTGGGCTTGTCGAGCAGAGGGTCTGCTCGGTCGTCGAGATCGAGTGGGTGGATGCCGCGGGACTGAGCGCGCGGCTCCTCTCGTTGCTCGTCTCCTTCGTCGTGCTCGCGTCCTCCTCGTCGTCCTCGTCGTTGGAGCTGCTGTCGTCGTCCGGGATCTTCCGCTTGTGCCCGCGTAGTCTCACCACGAGCGTGCTGATGTTCCCGACCGGCGTCTGCGACTCTTGCTGCAACTGCGCTATATTGTCGTGGTGCCTGCTGCCCCGTTTCTCGCTCTCCGAGCCGTGGCTCTCCTCCCGCTCCTCGGCGGGCGACCGGTGAGACTGCTCCTGGTGCTGATTCGTAGGGCCGCCTCGACTACGACCCTCTGAAATCAGAAGTTGCAACGAATATCACGTCGAGAGCACACGGAGGCTGCTGGGAGGCTGCTGGGAGGCGCTTCAGCGTTTTTTGTTCAGCGGCGCTCTCGCGCTCTCTTCGGCGGCTCTGCCCGACTCTGCGGTCCGTTAATCGCTAAATCAAAGGCTGTTTTGTACCTCCTCTGTCAGCGTCTGGCGACCCGTTCTCCGGATCGTTCCCGGCCGTGTCTTCTCTCTTCACACCGGTCACGCCGTCTTCCAGCTGGCAGCAGTCCATTATTAAGTTTTCGTACTCTCGGCCGCTGTGGGGGACGAACAAATGCGACATTTTAGGGAGGCGATGTCTCGATCAAACGCGTGCACGCGCGCATACATACACACACACACACACACACACGGACGCAGGCGACTCACCTTATCACGTAATTGACGCAAATGATATTTTGCTCCTCGGCATTTTTCGAATTGCACACGACGGTGGCGCACGTCTGTAGCCACGTGTAGCCGCCGCTCTTGTTCATCAGTCGATAGTAATGTGTCAGTACTTGCCCTTTGTGGATCACTACAATAAATAGCTGGGTGTTGTTAAAGACCTCGACTGGAGGGATGTCCGCAGAGAGATGAGTTAACTTATTGAAATATGAATTGCGTAAGTTCTCTCTTATTTCTTCTCCTTCTCTCAAAAACGCTTATCCTACGTTTCTGCGTTTCTTTTTTTCTTTCTCGTTACTCGAAAGTGCTGCAGTAATCAGCGTCGAAGCTACCGTTTGTACGACTGTGAGGAAAAGACAAGCGTCTTGTCGCAAATGCAAATCTTGATTGATCGTTTCGTTTTTTTGTCCCATTGGGGCGTATGTATGTTATGTATGAATGTACACGTACGTTTCCATCTCTGTATAATGCTCTCGGAAATGGCGTCCGCACTACTACAGCCGTGTCGCGTGTCTCGCGGGAGGAGATGAATCGCTCGTCATTAAGAGGCAAATCTCTCTTGTTGAACCGAAGCGCGATTGCCGATAATATTTCCGATAATTATCTTTGCCGTCTTCGACAATGCGCCGGTTTTGCCGGCGAATGTCTTGTCGCTATTGTTCGAGGGATCAAACCGACTCTTGGGGTCTCTCACGTTAGAGCGATCTTTATAGAAATGACGGTGACGTTTGTTTCAGCGCGTCGATGTAGAGCGACGATCGCGTAAGCAAGGATTCTGCCGTCGCGTTATTCCCCCTCCCCCCTCTCTTTCCGTCTTGCGACAGGAAACCGATCATTTTCTCAGGGATTTCCGCGAGAACTGTGCGAATTATCGAGAGCGACTAAATTCAGCGAAGAAACGCGCGCGCGAACGATCAATAATTTCGGGCAACCGTACTCACTACCGATCGCGAACGATCGCCGATTAAGGACCGTTACTCGACCACGCCTACGTGCACTGACTAATATCTGATCTGAAACGTTCAAATACAAACAGATACGTACTTACTAAATCTGCAAGCGGTCGCGCGCAGTCGCAAAGACCAACGTATTAATACTTTCGTGCTTTTCTCTCTTCCCGGACAGCTTTGACACCCATCGCGTTCTTTCACCGAAGTATCTCCCTAGAACAATAGGAGCAAGAAATTCTGCGTGGCAGATCTATCGGCTTTTGTGTTGGTTTGTTGGAAACGTATGTACATTAATAACGTTACGACCCTATCCTCCCCCCCCCCACCCTCCCTCTCTCCCACCCACCCTTCCCGTTAATCGGGAATTCTCGACTGCTGACCGCTGCGGAGAAAATGAAAGCGAACGGTTTTCCGCGCCGACGGAATTTTCAATCGCGACGCTCTACGACTTTGCGCTAATTGCTTTTCGCGTCTCCTCTCGTCGCGATATCCTTAGACGTCCCCCCGCGAAAATTTTGATCTCTCAAGGCTCACGTCCTTGATCCTTCATACATCTCTGCTACGGTCTCTTCTTCGACTCGTTATTTCTTGCGAATGTTTCTTTATTTTTACAAAATAACAGCGGCTACTACGGTGTCTCTGGTCTTTCATATTCGTGTCGCTTGTTTATCGCTTTATTGATCGATTCGGTCTTTGTCGCAGCGAGCTTCATTCTCTGTCTGTTATCACTGAATCGCACTCGTCCTTTGTTTCGCATACACATTCGTTCATTAAGTAGAGACAGACGGATTGAGATCGGCATTTCCTCAGACAACGAGCGAGCGAGCGAACGACGGTTTACCACGGATCTTGCGAATCTTGTCTTTTCGTGTACGTATCGCAATACGGAAACGGCTTTCTGTAACGTGACTTTTGGAATTCCGACGTGGCGTGTGTAATTAACGTGAAACGCATTCTCATTCGGGCCTGTCGTCTCGCAAGATTACTCGGACTGATCTCGGCAAGGACGAAACATCGCTGCGTAGCAGCACATCGTCGCACGTGTCGGAAACACCGATGAGAGACGAGTTACTTCCAGCGATCATTATGGCATCGTGAAATTCTCTCCCTCAAAAGTCCATCGAGTGCATTTACTTGGCAGGGTGAACTCGGAGTACGGAACGCGCGCTTATTTTCCATTCTCTCGAACATCACACAGAAAACGTGAGGGAAAACGCAAATCTCAGGCAGCTCGACGAGCGAAAGCCCTTCCGTGTGATTTCGCGCGATCGTGCAAACGGTAGTGCTCGACGACTTCGTATATCTAATCGATCGACGGCGACACACATCGCGCGATTACAATTCATAACAGTCATACTCACGATCTATGTGGGACTTCCGCAGGCGGTTCGCGTCTTCACCGTGGCAGAGCGTGTAGAGGTTCTTCCCCGTTAACTCGTCGGCCGTGTAGTCCAACAATTCGGAAACCCTGAACACACGAATTTGCACGCTTCTATTACGAAACAGCTCGTCTTTTGCAACGCGGAAAGGAAAATCCGCGCGATTCGTCGATGGGTTTCATCCCTCGCCTTCGCCCGATTTATTTTCAAGCGGACGTGTCTGCCCGGACTGTGCAAATTTATTACACTTGTTGCAGAAAGAAGGGCCTTTAATTTGTATAAACATCCAAAAAAAGGTATTCTATTTGTAAAGTAATTTTTCCCACAGTCTCGTATTCTAAGCGAAGCCTTTTACAGAAAAAGGATTCCTCTTTCGATAAAGCGATTAAAGTGAAACACTCGTCTAAAATTTATTAGACATTACTCTAACTGTTTTCCTCTTATTTCAAGAGGATTTTCTCTTATATCAATTAATTTTCCTCTTATATGAAGAGGAATATGTTGATTTGAATGTCAGCTTCTTTTGTTCAGTCATGCTCTACTTCCAGACATGAACGGAAAAATAATCATATGAGTCAGAATATTTGGAACGCTTTTTAAAAAAGCTATGTATATTGCTGTAACATATAACGAAGATAATTTACCAATATTTGGTCAACTACAGTTTATAATCTATTGCAAGAAGTCGAATAATATATTCTTTCTTTTAACTGATTGATTGTGATAAATATCTTTGTAGCTATAAAGTCCAGAAACAAAACTGATTGAAAATTTATTCGTTATGATGATCTTATTTCATTCGTGCCTACTTATTGTAGTGTGAAGCCAAAAGTGCATCTTTATATATATGTATTATTTTTCGCTATACATTATGATAATTTTTTCAAATTAACCAGTATAACCAGTAAGAATGAAGTACAGTAAGAATAAATAATAATCCTCTTAAAGAAAGATTAAATAATCTGTGTATATAAAAGGAAATTTATATTAAAGATTTGTATTATGCATAGGTATAACATATAAACGATCTAACTTTAAGAATAATGTGTTTGTAATATTTTCCTCTTAATCTTGGAGGAATCCTCTTGAGACCGTATATAAGAATAAAGCCCTCTAAAATTTAGATGATTCCGCTTGTTCTGAAATTACACTTTTTTTGCGTGAACATTGAAATATTTTACGCGGAAAAAAGACTGCTTGCGGACAAAACTCGTCGCTTCGACTGAGAGGGTTAAATTCAGGTGTGTTGTACTTACTTTGGTTCGCAATGTGCTATCCGAAAGTCGAAATTAATTCGTGTGACGAACATGTCGGTCTCGAGACGGATCTCGTGCACGCTCGGCGGCGGAAGCGCGATGGCCAGACCGATCATGCCCATCAGAGGTGGTGCGGTCTTCCTCGTGTGGCTAAATATGAGCTGCGGCCTCAAACGACACAGCAGCAGCACGACCTGCGTGTGCACGCGTACGTAAAAGGTGTGTCCTATCTCGAGCCGAAATTTTCATTCTACTTTCGACCTCAATATTTCATCCAACGCCAGTTGGCACACACTCTGAAGCCTCTATCAAACTATATTTAATCCGCAACCTCGCCTCTTAAAATCTAAAAGCGGCAAATTGGAAACGTCTCTTCTCGTTTAGAGGCGCCGAATAAAGGAGCTTGAGTTTCCATATAAATTAAAGCTTCAATGCTTCTTCGGAGTCTGTTAAATGTTAGGCAGTCCAGGTCGGAAATAGGGCTGAAATTTCGACTCGGAATCTTATGCGACCTTAGATCCAGATGCGATCTTAGAAGCGATTTCACTTGTAAAATCATTTGATCGTTGGATCACCAATCCATCCGTCAATTGATGGATCCCGACTTACGAGAAGATGATCGAAAAGCGGATAATTACGGGATAATTACGGGGTGAGAGCTACTCTAATGGTCGCATCGTCGAATGAATAGCGCGAATTCGCTTACCCGATAACCGGACGACTTGAAGTGACAACCTCTCTTCGTCAGGGTGGATTTCATCCTAACGCAAAACGCCCGGTCGTACCCCTTGTAAGGTCCACTCGCTGATAGCGACATTATCGAGGACACTGAGGATAACACACGTACAAGAGGGAATTGAGTCTCCTTCTCTCTTTCTCTCTTTCTCTTCGTTCATGACACATACGCCGATTATATTTGCATTCTTATATTATTAGTCTTAGCGATAGTACGCGCACATTCTCTCATTCGTACGACGAGTTGAGCGGGGGAGTTGTTACCGTCGGGATTCGCGGTGGAGGTTGAACCGTGCTCTTCCGACGCGGCGCTGCTCGGCGAGGCCAGGCCAGAATTCGACGAGTGCGGTCCCGACGTACTCGTCGACGAGGCGAGTCCAAGGCCAAGCTGTTCCGCGACCTCCGCGTGATCTTGCTGATGGATGTAGTCGAAAACGCTCGACCCCGTCATTTCTACCTGAAATTAAGGCACGGTCTTCTTCTCTTCCTCGTCACAGCTCCTCGTCTTCGCTTTTCTGCCCTACCCCGCGCCCTAATCATCAATGTAACACACGTCGACACGTCTCGTTGAGAAGAGCGCGCGAGTCGTTGTCGCTGCACCGAGAAAGAAAGGTGTTTCGTAATTACTCGTAATCACAATCGCATAGCCAAAAGACCATTACAGTCGGGAGACTGTATTTCTGTGCTTTTGTGGCATTACTTCTGCTGTTATTTGAGCAAGAAGATGCAGCCGGCCAAAATCGTCGAAAATGACTATGAATCTGACAGCGTCAACCATTCCTTTCTCTCAGCGTGGCAACGAAACTATATATCCCGCTTGGCCGCCAGACATTTCTTACACGCCGCCGTGTATGAAGCTGATGATTTCGGCAATGCGCCGCGAGACAGGGGTACGCAGGGGGCACACCTCGAGCTAACGAGGGAAGCGGTTGCCGCAGCCGCGGCCTCTCTTCGCGAGAAAGAGAGAGAGAGAGAGGGGGGGGGAGAGAAGGAGAGAGAAAGATATAAAGAGAGGAAGAGAGGGAGAGAGACCGCGGCAGCCATGTTTGTTCCAACGCCGGCTTTCCGTCGGTTTTCCGAATCCCCGAAACACCCTATTGATTGCCCCACGAGCTTCGCAGAACCGAGAGAGAGAGAGAGAGAGAGGAGAGAGAGGAGAGAGAGAGAGAGAGAGAGAGAGAGAGAGAGAGAGAGAGAGAGAGAGAGAGAGAGAGAGAGAGAGAGAGAGAGAGAGAGAGAGAGAGAGAGAGCGCTAGTACACCGGTCACCTCCCGTACACCTCCTCCGCGCTTTGCCCCGCGTCGCTTCTACTCGCTCTTTCCCCGTCCACCTTCGCGAGCGGCATTAGGAATGGCGAACACGCCGCCGTGCAGAGGCTACGTGAGCCGCATGCGACCACCTCCGCCCGCCGCCATCCACCCATCCTTCCCCCTTCTATGTCATGCTCGCCGTCGTGCCAGCCAGTATGGCCGCCAACTCGCACAACCTTCTCCTCTTTTCCTCCCTTGACCTCTCCTCCTTATTCTTCTACAACGCTATCAACTTTTCCTTCTCCTCCTCTTTCGCTACCTCCGCCACCATCGTCGCCGCCGCCGCCGCCACCACCATCACCACCACCACCGACATCGGCATCGGCACCGGCACCACCGTCATCACTACTACCACCGCCGCCGCCACCACCACCACCACCACCACCACCACCACCACCACCACCACCACCACCATCACCACCACCACCACCATTACTACTACTATTACTACTGCTGTTACCACCATCTCTCACCACTACCACCACTACTTTAACACGCTTCAACCTCCTTCTCTTCCGTCAACTTTGCTCTTCCCCCTCCGCCGCCCTCCCACAGCACCATACCCCTTTTATACCTTTCTACTATCTCCGGTCTTCCGGTCGCGGTGCACGTTGCATTCGCGTTGGCGCACTCGCGTTGCTTTTTATTCGCTTTCGCTTTCTCGTTATCGTTGTCACTTTTCCCCTACGCACCCCTATAGCCCGCGCGCCAGCTTCATCGACGCCCCCGCTGCAGCGAGTCACGCTTACCTGTGAGAGGCCGAGATATATGGAAACGGTCTCGGATATGTACAGGAATCTGCCATCAGCCGCCACAGCCATCGCGAAGCCATCCAGGGACTGGCGACAGAAAATACGAGACGCTTGAGGGAGTCCGGCTCGCACATCGCCGAATGGTACGGAAATGTTCTTCGCGTACGCTCGCGCGGTCTCATGAGCGTATCGACGAGTGTATCGGCAAAATTTGGTGGACTCGAGCGCGACTTTCGATCGTTACGAGGAGAAAACGAGTCGCGCGATACCAAGAATTCAGAGAATGCTCGTCGTTGAGAGTCATCGTTAAACCGAGAGCTTTAATCTGCGTTATCAATATTGTTATTGCGCTCAGTCTTGTCGAATTCTACGGGAGAACTGTTTGCCGAGGCGAAAATGGGATAAGCTTACCTGCAATATGTGGGTGCCTTGATGAATTTCAAAATGATCTATCGCTGCGCTGCTCGATGATCTCACCCGGTTAGCACCTGCGAATGGAGACAACTTTAATCGTGCAGCTTTAACGCGCGGCGCTTCGTGTCATTTCCGGCTATCGGAATCTCATGACTTCTCCGGACATTCCGCAGCAGCGGTAATTCGCCACCGAGACGTCTCAATTAGCGCCCCGTTACGATACGTTATATATCAGCTGCGCCGTTTTTCGACTGGACAATCGGACCTCTCTCAATTTGCGCGAACGTCGCTCGGCGCGACGCGACGCTGACAAGTCACGACGAATCGGGCCGTATTTATCGGGAAAGCTACCTTCTTCTTCCGCTTCTTCGATTGATCAGCGATATGTGAGTCACGCGGCGCGCGCCGCGTCGAGTCGAGCCATCATCGCCTCGGCGACCCCTTTTGCGCGCCTTCTTTCTCCCCTCGTTTAACAAACAAGACGAGCTACTTCTTACCGTAATAATAATCCCACGCTCCCCAGTAGCCCGTAATGAAAGACTTAGAAGACTCGATCAAACTCGCGCGCGAACCGCTTAATCTCGTAAGTCCATCGGGATGAGGCGGAGTAGCTCGCTCGACTCGCCGGCGCTGACCCCAACACGTTCGGGTTTTCGGTCAACAGGGTAATGCCGATATTCCTGCCGTATAAGAGGAGGACCGCGGGCTAATCTAACTGGATTTCCTCTTGACGAACGCCTTTGTTCTCTCGATATCGCCGAGTCCGTCCCGTCAAACGTGTACGCGCTCTCGTCTCGTCTCGGCCGAATCCTGAAGAAACGCGTTTAACGCGAAGCGCGTATATCGTTGCCGTCAAAACGGCCGAGACGAGTGAAGCATCGCGCATAGAAGATCTCTCGGAGTATAATTGGAAGCTGCTGATTCCCCAAAGTCCCCGAAGGAGATTCAGGTTGTAAGAGTGATGTTTCAAACGCGTTTCAAATGGAAGATTCCAAAGTTTCCCCAATATTTTTCTCGACTTTTTCACTTCATCTTTGTATTTTGTTTATTTGATTTCTCATCCTATTGACGATACCACAGAAGTATACTGATGTTACTGACGGAAGAAAAGCGCGAGTTCCCAACCGCTTCGATTCCAGGACGCACAAGGATGAGATTGTCGATTGCTATCGCAAGCGAAGAACCACAATTTTAAGGCAACTTTGGGAATTCTAGTCGGGAACTTCACTCAGGGTATCAGGGCAAAACCCTGAGAAATTGCTACGCGGGATGGATCTCGGCCCAAGAAGAATTACGTTCTGTAACGAATCGTCGAGAGTACTCGGAGCATTCTCGCTCGCTCAGACGCGGTCGGCAACCCCCCCGGGTTTGAAGGTCCATCTTGCCCGCATACTCTTTTGCCATTTATCACAATATTTTGACAAATATAACTTTCGGCGGTGTTTGCTCCGGCCAGCTAGAAAAAACAGTGGCGCGCTTCCGAGGTGCTTCCGTTCGAGGTGCAAGCGGCAGGTAATTACAGCATTATGAGTGCGATATCGAGCGATATCGATCCATCGCACCGGACCATCCCCCGTCGGATCGAGCTGACGAGTCGGCCAGGGAGAGGAGCAGCCGACGCAGCCTCGAAATCTCGAATGATTTTACGCGGTTAAGTCGAGAGGCCTCGTCGTCCCGGCAGTGGCCCTGACATGCGGCGCGAATGGCAGAGGGGCGCACTGGATTTAGTTTGACGAGGAGTTGTGGCAGCGATGCGCGGCACCTAACTCAATTTCGTTAGTTTAGTTACATTGGCGGTTGGTAACGCGAGGTGCGCGCGCGCGCGCGTGTAGGGGTTGTCGTGATTAGATTTCCATGTGGATAGTGGTAGAGGTGTACCTAAGCCTTTATACGTAGCCGCGTACGTGCGGAACCTCTCTCTGTCTCTCTTTTCGCGACCCTCCCGTACTGTAAATATTAACTCAAGCAGCCCCTCGCACTCCGAAAATATGCGGCGACTACGAGAAAGTGAAGTTTCCCGACGTTCGACCACGGCGCTCTTCCTCTTCAGGGAGGAAGGATTTTTTCTGCCGAGATGCGGACGCGAGCGGGGCCGGTTGCTCCCGGCGAGCAATCGTTCGCCGTTCGCAGCATGTTCGTGCGTTTCGCGATATGATGTGAAATCGCGGCGCTACGCGAAACGATCTCTCTCTTGCGCGAGAAAAGGAAATCGGAGACGGAACGTATTTTTTAGGGGCTGCGCGTTGTTTCCGAACAGAACCATTTTGAATATCAATTTTTTTAATATTTTTCTGCCGACTGTGCGAGACACTTGTTGTATTTTCATTTATCATTGAAAACCAAATTGATAATGCAGGAAACTCTTCAAAGTATCAATCGACCTATTCTTCTCACCGAAATGCTACATCGATGATTCAGTTATCAGTACGGCAGTGCAGTAAAATCTCGCCGAAAGCATCAGTTAACAACAACAACAACAACAACAACAACCTATTGCCACTATTTTCGAACACAGACAGCGTCACAACATGCGAGGAACGCACACGAGCCGTTAATCCCGCCGTCGCAAACGCGAAAGATTGGACTTAGGAATTTGTGCACTGCGAATTTCATATATTTGAGATTTTACCCTCACTATCGATCTTCCAAAATCAGTGGACAGAGCTTTTCCATCGAAGATCAGCGAAACGCTCCTCTCGCTGATTCAAACGGGAACATTTGAACCAACTCATTTGGAGAGAATATATTTCGTGCAACGAAGACGAGATGGTGAGAGAGCGATGAAGCGGAAGTACGCCGGAGAATAAAGCAACGGGCTTTTCGCCAAATGAAGCACGAAAATGAAAGAGGCCGATGGCGATCGTATCGTTCGATGATCGCCGACAATTCTCTATTACTATGTATCTAGAAATCTCTCGCCGGTCGCTGGAATTATAAAGGGTATCTGAAAGCTCGATCTATCGCTGAAGAGCTTGCTTGTTTCCTCAAGGAGGCCACTGCATAGTCCACTCCATAGAATCCTGTTATATTGTTTTTATTTCGCGTTATCACGCACACCCCAACCACCTCATCGGATCGAGTAGTCGTCGGAGACCGCGCGATATCGCGCTGAAAGTAGACGTTTCACGAACAAAATTCCATCTACCCGAGGCGCAAATCGAATCACGAGGCACGATGTCGCGACGCGACGTCGATTCTGCCTAATATTAGGTGACACGTGTCTATCGGAAAGACATCATCCATAATCGGAGACAAGCCGACTTGCTAGCTTTAACGCGATTACGACCAGGCCGCACACGGTCGCGACGGTCTCCTCCCTCAATTTCTACCTCTACTCTTCTATTTTTTTCACAATCAATCAATTTTAACCGAAATACACACACATCGAACAGCGAAATGTATCGAGCTCTCGATACAAAGTCCGTCAGTCGTACTCGGGTTTGCGTATTCACGCGACATATTTTCGTAAACGAGAATCGACCGACGAGAGATAAGTAATGTCTGACATAATATTTTTGCCGTGTCTAACGAGATATTTTCACGCGACTGCCCGACACGCAGCACGTCTGATATACTGAAAGAAAAAGAGATGAGACACGTACGATGCGAAGCACATTGGGACGATACATTTTACGCGTGTCCGCCGCAACGCCAGTCTACTCTACTGCAGGTGACGTCGAGCGTAAAGGAATTATAACGCGGCTGACTTCCTCTCTTATTCTTATCCCCAGAGAGAAAGTTAGGTCTACGGAATACGGGTCCTGATCCCTATTAACAGTCTGGATGACTCCCCCATCCGAGGTTAAACGCTGATCCATCAAGAGACATCATCGGCAGATATATCTTTATCAAAACCCGGCTGTCCGAGCTGTATCGTCGTCTGGAGTTTCTATCGGAATAAATTACGGCGAGAAATAAAAGTTACAATGAAGTTCCAACGACAAATATTCGATATCGATAGTGCGGTACGTATCACGCATATGAAACGACAGAAACGAAAACGGAATGACGGAACTTTAAGCACAAGTTATTCGATGTGTGTTGCAATCCACAGCTTCGACTTCGATTTCGATATATTCTCTAAACTCTCTTCCGAGTAAAGTTTCACTCAAAGAGTAGACCGAATCATTTGAATTCGAGCGATTTTTCCCTCGATTTAGCATTGATTGAAGTCTAAATCATCGAACTGAGCATTTTTATTCGAAATTGAAGAATTTTGCGGGGGGGGGGAGAGGGGAGGGAAGAGTGTATACTTCACCAGAGGAAGAAATTTATTCTAATGGAAATAATCGTTCGTGTGGATTTTTCTATCAGTAAGTTTAAGTCTGTCCTAAAAACTGCTTAATTCGATATTACTCCTCGATCATTTTAACAGTTATTTTTCCGTACTTGTAATCCTGTGTTAACTTTTTTTACGATACCAAAAGAATCATTAACCCGTCGATTAAAGAAGAATAAAGAATAAAGAATCCGCTTTATTAAGTTCGAGTTGTAGCCACACTTGAGCGATTCCAAATATTCGTGTGGATTTTTCTATCAGTAAGTTGAAGTCTGTCCTAAAAAGTGCGCGATTCGATATTATTCCTCAATCATTTCAATAGTCATTTCTTCGTATTTGTAATTCTGCACTAATTTCTTTTACGATTTACCAAAAGAATCATTAACCCGTCGATTAAAGAAGAATAAAGGATAAAGAATCCACTTTAAGTTCGAGTTGAAGCCTCACTCGAGCGATCCCAAGATGGCAGTGTCAACGATCACTTTGTGCGAATTTTACGTCCGTTCCAGCGCGAGATTTTACTCTGAGAGATTTACTCTGAGAAAATGAAAAAGCCTCGACGAGTGTGAAACGCTCGCTAACGCCGAAAGCTTCGATCGCGATCCCGACACGCGAAACACGCAGAAGCGCGCGACGCATTGCCTTACCTTTGACAGACTTGATGGGCGGTGGACCGTCGCGAGACCACGGCGGGTCGCCGTGGCTGGAGAAGTCGCGGAGTTTGAGATACGAAATCGTTAGTCTTATTATGGATGCTTTGTCCAGTTGGGAGGTAATGGCCGCCGGTAGTGGGAGCATTTTCGCAAGCTCGTAGAACTCGAAGTTCTCTTTACCCCGTCGCGACCTCGCCGCGTCCCTGCTCTTCTCCTTGCGCAACTCCAAGATGCTGTAATTCAAACACGCCAGAGGTTACGGCGACGCAACGGCAACATACCACATACAATTCTATGTTACGGACTTTGCGGTGGATAAAAAAAAAACGATATCTCGATAATACGGCGACCGCGACTGTTTCTCGCGCCTGTGTGTTTCGCGCAGTCCTCCGCGCTCCAGAGGAATCTCAAACAATCCCGGCCGCTTAACCCTTTAACCTCAGGTCTCCTCCGGGACGTTGAATCGGGCAATTACTTCCGCCAGCTATAGAGTCGCCAGCGTGAAATTGCGCCGCTCGGCGTTCGAGCCGAGCCGAGCGCGGCTACGAGGCTGTCGGTTAAAGCTTTAACAGTCCGATAAATATTCTCGCGTTCGATCGTGATGCTTATTCGACGACAACTCGGTCAGACAGAGAAAGACGGCGATCGCTCCGCAGGTTCGTTCCATACTTTCGCGTCGCGCTCCTTTTGCGGATCCTCGCGTGTTTGTCGCGACTTTCGTACCCTCCTCTCCCCCCACCCCCCGCCCCACTCTCTCTCTCTCTCTCTCTCTCTCTCTCTCTCTCTCTCTCTCTCTCTGTTAATGGCGAGCGACACGGCGGCCACGGAGACAACACGGAGGTGGTGGGCGTTATTTTGCAGAAACGCGCACAGCGTACAGCGTAGAGCGGCGCGTGCGGGGTACGCGGCGGGGCGCGAATTATGCGGTCGCGCAAATAGATATAAAGGAGGAGAGGCGTGGCGATGTGTCGTAGCGCGGCTACCGCTTAAGCGGCATACATTATTCAAGCGCTATGAAGCCCATGTTTACTGACAAGCCGACGAACGTATCCGCGAGTGAACATCGACGTAACGTAACCACGCCCAATGCTCGGCCCCCCGGTTACCGGTTTTACATTTAAACTGTAAACGCCGGCCAATGGTTCGCGGTGGTTTCGCGCTGCTGCGTCCGCGAAATCCACTTCTCGCGCTGTGCCTCTCTTGGTCATTAACCTTCCGCTTAACGAATGCTCGCTCGTTCGCTCGCTCGCCCGCGCGCGCGCGCGGGTGGACGTCGCAGCCGATCTCACCTTCGCGAGAGTCCTCGCGAGGTTTCTCGCCACGTGTGCGAGATGCGGGAGTCTCATCATCGGGGTGATGATTCCGGGCTCTCTCGGGGAGAGAGAAACTTCTCTTTCTCGCGGTAGCGCAGCACGGAAAGCTTGTCCGCAGCTTTCCGCGGCGCCTTTCGGAATGTAGCCGTCCGGTCCGGTCCGGATCCGGAAGAATTTGTCCTCCGATGGGAGAACTCTCTCGCACTGCGCAGAGAAACGGATGCGTTCCGGACGCGTGAAGGAGAAAAATTACGGACAAGCTCTTTCCGTCCACGATCGTCCAAGCGAATCCGCGAGCAACGGCTGCGGCGCGCATCTCGAGGGGGAGAAGTGCGCCGTCTGTTCCTCGTCTCAAAGACGCCAAGACGCTATTAACTCTTTTCGCCGGAGAGCACGCAATCGGAAAAAGCGCGCAATCTGTCCCCAGGAACGCATCACGCTGCTAAGAGTTGGCCCATTAACCAACTTCCGCAATTTCTAACGCGCGGGCCAACGTCCGAAGGGGGCAAAGCCGCGCGCGGTTGTGAAGCCGAAGCGATTCGGGGGCGCGATGGGATTTTTATTCGCTCGCTATTGCGCTTAACGACTGTAAAACGCCACGGTACTTTCCCTACCCGCCGCCTCCCCCCGCCAGGGGTTTGTCTCCCCCTCGCGCGAGCGCGGAGATGTGCCAACACGACGGTGTAACCCATTATGACCGTTGTCGCTGCCGCCTGAGCAGGGATCGGAAGTCGTAAAAACGAAAGGAAGGGGCGGGGGGAGGGGATCCACGGAGCGTCCCCGCGATGTAAAGCCGTAGCTGACTACCCCGTGTCAGAATCTTGTTTCGCCATTTTACAGACATTCCGCGACACTCTGTGTGTCGACTCTCCCCCGCCCTTCGCTCAAGTTTCGTTTACTGGCGGCGGCGTCCCAAAGGGATAATGACAGATTCTTCTCTTCCGTGGCGTTCGCGCCCAACGATGGAGTCTAACACTTTACATCGGACCGTGCGGCGAACTTTCCCGCCGATATCTCGCCGATGTCGGGAGAGGAGCGCTTCCCTTTCGGCGTTGAGCCCTTGCAGCTGCGGTTTATTAAAAGGCGATGGGGGGGGGAGGGGGAGTAGCGTCGCGATTCGGTCGCTTCGATGCGTTTCTGTGTGTTTCTAGATGACCGAGAACGTCGCTTCCCGTTTCACGGAAACACAGGGCGAAGGCGAGGAGCGACCAAGAGCCGACGTTTCCGCCGTTGATTGCGCAAAGATAAAGAGCGCGGGGAAACGGGGGGAGGGGGGGGGACGGCCGGGCTCTCCTGTTTCTCTTTTTCCTTTGACCGTGCCGAATCCAACCCCCAAGAGGAACGGGACTTAACCCGGAGGAGAGTTAAACCTAAGCACGCGGGAGAAAGAAGAGAACGACAACGAGAGCGAAAGAGAGAGAGAGAGAGACAGAGAGAGAGAGAGAGAGAGAGAGAAGCAGCAGCTGCCCTCGCTCGCAGCTACGCTTTTCCGTCGTGTACGCTCGGCCGCGGCGGAACGTCTGCAGACGTGTGAAAATAAAATTACGTCCAACTTTCGGTCAAATTGGTTGGAATTGGGCGGCGGCGGTGGGGCGTAGCGAGGGCTCGCGAGCTCCCGAGAGTCCCATGGGACCGGCGATAGTGGTCCCTCATCGCAACCATCGCCGGCGTATCCTTCTTAGCCGATCCTCGGAGAGGCTACTGTGCGCGCTGCCGCCGCCGCCGCCGCCGCTGCGTCCTGACGTCCTCGCCTTTCTAAGTGCTGCCCATCAATAATTCAGCAGCGAGCTATGACGAGCTCGCCCTTCGGATCTTCGCAACCCTCCGCGTCCGTTCGCTCTGTCTTCCTCTTTCTCTCTTTTTCGTTCTTCGCGACGCGGATCGGTGTCGGCGACTCGCCACTCGCCCGTGCCGGTGGCACGAAAACTGCCAGCTGCGCGTAATAATCGGCCAGATTACCGCGCAGATAACATCATTTCCTCATGTCGACGGAATTCGCGGTGCGGGCGAGTCCCCGACGCCGACGTTCGTGTGCGCGCACCACCGCGCCCGACATTTTTATCTCTCGAATCGATAGCGCTCTAATCTGTGTCAATAGCGACACCGTAAGGTGACGTCACTCCTGCAGTATCTCGCCAGGTACGGATAGAACGACTTGAGTAGCTAAAGATGATCTTGATCCCTCGCGATGAGTGATCGCGACTTCCTTCGGGGGAAGGAATATAAAGTCGCGATTTCATTATTAACGGATTATCATTATGCCTCTTTTCGGGATTGTATCGTAGCCCATAACCTCACTATTCTCGCGAAGAGGATGCTGTTCGGCCAACAGAACAGCGAATCTACCTGACTCAGTGGCGATATTATTGAAACTAATGTGTTGTTTTGTTAACTCGAGTATCCCCAAGTACTTAAAAGCACCTAAAGTACCTTTCAGAGCTACGTGTCCCGGCATCGGTGCTCTCACCTTGCTTCAATTACGGCGCGATTGACCGGCGCGAGGTTCCGTCGATTCGACGGCGATCTTCGGCCGTTCGTGCGCATAATTACGATAAACGACAAACAATAAAAAAGCTGCGCGTCCTGTGCGAAGAGAAGGAAGAGAGCCGAGCCCGAGGCCCGACGACGATCGTCCGCGCGCGGCTTCTCGCCACGAGATCTCTCGTGGCGACAAGCGCGGCCGGGAAATGAAAACGATATCGGCAACCGTAGAAATTATAATGCGCGTCGCAGCGCGGGCTCATCGACTAATTCAATTAAACGATTCATTTGCCGGTCCGAAGCACCACCTGAGGGTATGTCCCGTTCCATCTGTGTTTCCGCGTCCGTGTATCGGCGGGCTCCAGTGTGCGTGCGCGCGCTCGTCGCCGCGAAGAGGAACGTGAGCTGGAAAAGGACGAACGGACCTTCCCAACCTACTCCCGGGAGAGTCGTATCCTCGCGCAACAATACAATGCTCCTAATGTTACGGCTCCAGTTTCGACATAATTTTCTTTCGCGGCCCCGCACGGCTATCGAACGCGCCCGGGGCTTTTGTAGCGTTCCGCCGAAAAAAAAATGTCATTTCCGCCCTGACCGCTCGATAACGAGGTGCGAGGATAAGTTTTACGGCCGCGACGCGTTTAGATTCGCGAGGCCCGGCTGGGCCGGCCCGGTCACTCGTAAACCGTGCGAGTCGCCGCCGAGTCGAGCGATCTAGATGGGATTTTCGGGCGGAAACGCGCCGCGCAAAATCGGCGCACTTTCGGCCCCGCAGGATCCGCGCCGCGCCGCGCCGCGCCGCGGCGATCCTTCCTCGAGGTGGAAGTCGCCGGAGAAAAAGGAGGTATCGCGCGGCCGTTTGTCTTTCGCCACTTATGCTTTTATTCGATGCCATGAATAATTCACCGTACATCCCTCGCTGCGCCGCGCGGGTGGACCAAAGCACGGGCCGCGATTTCATTCATGATGCAACGCTTGAATCATGGCGGCTTTTATAAGCGAACGCGAAGGAGATAATGTCGCGCTCGCGCGCGCGCGCGCGCATGTGTAAATACCTCTCGGCGCGTTACGCAATTGCGCGTATCGGGCGTGAGAGCTTGAGATCTGCTTGCGCCGGAGCGCAAGCGGAAGCTCCGCGCGCCCGCGTTCGCGTCCGAACGATCCTTTTTGCCGCAATCGTGGCCGCAATCCTCGAGTCCGGCTCGGTAGCAGTTTTTATCAAAGGGGCTACGGTACATACGGTATAGCAAATAAAAATTTATCGCGATACCGCTACCGCGCGCGCGTATCTCGTATTCTCCGACGACTCGGCAGACAACGGGCGCGAGCGAGGAAATGTTTTTCCACGGAACACGGCGAGATCTGAATGAAACCGGGCGCAGCAGGGAAACAAAGGAAGAAAATAACGTCGGGAGCACTAAAGCATCCCGCTGCATCCG